CCACACGACAAGACACACACCGACGCTATGCGCATCATGGCGCTAAGAATCATCGATGTTGCGCTGGAGGTTGCCGGCCCTTGGATAGCAAAGCAACCTGTGCTCGCGGCCCTTGTGCAAGACGATCTGTGCCGCCATTTATTCCAGCTAGTTCGGTCGGACAACATGGTGCTGCTCAACAGCTCGTTACGAGTTGCAGGGACATTGTTAGCCACATGCCGAAAACTACTCAAGCTTCAGCAGGAACTATTTCTGTCCTACCTTGTGGCTTGTCTGCATCCCCGAGTCGACATTCCACAAGAGGCGGGGATTGATCCGTCGCTCTACGAAGGCGTGCCCCAAGCTCCAAAGTTGGTCAGACCGGCGCCGTCGCAACCAAGCAGTGGCCGGTCGACCCCAGTACCCATCAAAGACCGGCAGAAGTTGGGCCTGGAAGGCGGCGCTAGGAGACCAGAGGCGCGCGAAGCCATGGTTGAGTCCATTGGCACGCTCGTTCGGATGCCGAGCTTCATGGTTGAGCTCTTCCTCAACTATGATTGCGAGGTTGACAGGCAGGACCTCTGCGAGGATATGGTGGGACTTCTATCGCGGAATGCCTTCCCAGACTCTGCGACCTGGAGCACAACGAACGTGCCTCCACTGTGCCTCGATTCTCTGCTGAGCTTCGTGCAGTTCATCGCAGAAAGGCTAGACCAGGAAGTGCCGTCCTGGGCGGAAGAACGGATACGACAACTTCGGCTACAAAGAGTTAGGAAGAAGATCATCAAGAGTGGGGCATCGAAGTTCAATGATGACCCCAAAGCAGGCGTGGCATTTCTGGTCAAGAATGGCATCATCACAAACCCTGACGATCCAGTCCAGGTGGCGCAATTCATGAAAGGCACTTCTCATTTATCGAAGAAAGTGCTGGGAGAGTTCTTGACCAAGAGGTCCAACGAGGCGCTCCTCACGGCCTTCATTGATCAATTCGACTTTGTGGACAAACGGATCGACGAGGCGCTGCGGGAAGTGCTTGGTTCCTTCCGTCTCCCAGGCGAAGCAGCACTTATTGAACGAATTGTAATAACCTTCACGGAAAAGTACATCGAGGCGACGGCGCCGGAGGACATTGCAGACAAAGACGCAGCCTTCGTGCTCGCCTATGCGATCATCATGCTGAACACGGACCTGTACAATCCCAATGTTGCCAAGACTCAAAAGCGAATGTCGCATGAGGACTTTGCCCGAAATCTTCGTGGCGTCAATGCGGGCAAGGACTTCCCTCCGCAGTTCCTGCAGGACATCTACGAGGCTATCAAACAGAATGAGATAATCCTGCCGGACGAACACGAGAACAAACACGCCTTTGAATATGCTTGGAAGGAGTTGTTGTTGAAAACACACGACGCTGGCTCCCTGGAGTTGTGTGACACGAACGCCTTCGACGCCGAGATGTTCCAGGCCACCTGGAAGCCGATCGTCGCCACGCTTTGCTACGTCTTCATGTCAGCGTCGGATGATGCTGTCTTCTCCCGCGTCGTGGTTGGATTTGACCAGTGCGCCCAGATTGCCGGTAAGTACGGCATCACCGAAGCCTTCGACCGCATCGTGTACAGTGTCAGTCAAATCAGCGGGCTGGCGACTGAAGTGCCACCAAGCACGTCCCTGAACACGGAAGTGCAGGTGGGAAAGAAGAGAATCATGGTCAGTGAAATGGCCGTCAGACTCGGACGAGACTTTAAAGCCCAGCTGTCGACCGTTTTGTTGTTTCGCATCCTGCAGGGCCACGAGAATGCGGTCGGAGACACGTGGATTTATATCGTGCGAATTCTACGGAATCTCTTTGTTAACTCTTTGATCACGTTGCCGACGTTCGAACAGAGCAGACTGGGTGATATTGGCCCGATCCCTCTGCAACCACCTTCACAGGTCATCGATCGAGACGGCCGACTCAGTGAGAGCGGTATCTTTTCGACTTTCACGTCCTATCTATCCAGCTATGCGGCAGATGACCCACCCGAACCCTCGGAAGAAGAGCTGGAAAATACTCTCTCTTCCGTTGACTGCGTGAAAGCCTGTCGACCGGATCGTGTGCTTCAACATATGTTCTCGCTGCCTCCGACACAGATCAAATATCTGGTTTCCGCTCTACTGTCTCAACTAGAGGAATCCTCCCCGGTGGTGACAGTCAAGCCGGAACGGCCTATACCTGTTACTGTCAGGGTAAACGGTCATCGGATGCCCAAGGCAGGACCTGAGTACGATCCTGGCACGGTATTCCTGCTTGAACTTGCAACACTACTCACGCTGCGAGACGACCAGACGATTGCTGCAGCGGGTGAACAACTCACCGGCTCACTACAGAATGCTGTTAGGGATGCTTCGAATCTTCACCCTCTTGCAGCAGCCCGGGTGGTCCACTATCTCCTGGAGTTGCTGGGGTATAGCTACGTAAGTTATTATCTGCCTCGCTTTCGGGGCCTTCACGGCCACTAATAATCGTACAGACTCACGACTTCATGCGCGCCCCGGTCGTCCTCCACGCCATCTCGTCCTTCGATGACCAGACCCTCGATCGCACCGCTTCTACGATAACTTCCGGTCTTTCGGCCGCGATCTCCAGCGCCACCCCTCTGCGCAACGAGATTACCAAATCCCCTGATTTCTGGTCCACCCTACAACGTCTACATCAGCATAAAACCGAAGCAGAGAAAGTCTTGGATATTTTGAGCCACCTGGCCACCCAAGATCAGGCGCTCACAGCAGACAACTTCGAATCCGCAGTTAGTTTGGCAAACGATTTTGCCTCTGCGGGCTCGATCGGGAGTATCCAGGAGAAACGCAAGGACTTTGCGGCCAAGCAGGGACGTAGGGCCAAGGACGCCAGACCGGAGGACGCCGCGTTGGTAACTCGTGCCAACCAGGCAGTCTCATTGATCTACCAGTTAACCGAGCGCGTGCCTAGCCTGATTGACCAGAGCCATTTGGAGAGAAGTGAAGCGTGGGCAGCCTACTGGAGTCCGGTATTCCGTGCGCTGTGTTCTCAATGCGTCAATCCCTGCCGCGAGGTCCGCTATCGCGCCATCTCAGCTCTCCAGCGGACTCTACTCGGCGAGAGTGTGGCGGATACAGGTCACGAACACGCCGAATGGACCGCCATCTTCGACGAAGTGCTATTCCCTCTTACATTGAGGTTGTTGAAACCTGAAGTCTACCAGCTCGACAGTTTGGGCATGAACGAAACCAGGGCACAGATGGGCGGACTTTTGTGTAAAGTGTTCCTCCGCTATCTTGATCGACTTCACGACATCCCTCTCACCACCGAGACTCTCGCTGCCGCCGAGGAAGAAGAAGATGAAGAAGATGAAGAGGGCGAGGACCATACAGAAAAACAAACCAACGAGAACCAAATGCAAGACGTCAAAGACGATGCACTCGCGCGGCACCAAGTCGAGGACAAAGGCACAGGAACCAGGATGGCAGACATATACCTGAAAACCCTATCCCTCCTGGACCGCCTCATGAACGCCGGCACCATCGATCCCAAATCCTCCCAGACAGACGCTTTATCTGAAGCAGTCCGCGAAGGCGTCAAAAACACGCTGCTAGTCATGGACGGGGCGGGATATCTCCAGCGGACCGACACGAGCGGAGCGCCGTCCCAAAGCCCTAGAAGTCCACGAACAGATATCAAACCGCAAAGAGGCGTGGTGACTGATGCCGAGATCTGGCCCGAGACCGTAAGACGGTTGGAGAGGTTTCTGCCAGGTCTGGTGGGGGAGTTGTTCCCTCGTGAAGCGGAAGATAAGGAGGCCCAGGAGGAGGGGAAGAAGACGAGGGAGAAGGAGAAGGAAAACGATGCAGGCACCAGTGCTGGCGATGAGAATAGGAAGCCTGGATCGAGACCGCAGACATATGAGCGGGAAAACGCCTGAGGTGGTTTGAGCCGTGATACAGTATCTCAGCATCTCAGTACGTAGGTATGTACTGCCTAATTACATATTGTCTCGGCGAATCGAAATAGGCAATTAAAGAGGACGGACAGCAACGCGTACACGGGCAAGGGCAAGGGCAAGGGCAAGCGTGTAGCGTGTAGTGCCCATAACCCCTACAAGTACGGAGTGCATATACTCAGTATATTGGGAGAGAATGAATGAATTAGATTCATCCAGTCTCCCGGTCTCGCAGTCTCCCGGTCAGTGGTGTTCGTTCGTCTGGCTCGACGCCGTGGTCGTGATCGTGATCCCTTCCATGCACACAGTTCAGTATACAGTATTCACTGTTGTTACTACATAGTTTCAACGCCCTCGGCGGTCATTGGCAATCTGCATTTCAACGTCTCCGCATTCACGCGTGTCTGTTCACTACCGCCGACGTTGATGCCCGTGGTTTTTTGCCTGGGGTACGTATGTGCGTACTGCAATGTATTGCAATGTACTCCAAGTTGACTGCTCTCTCTGTGGGTTTATATTTGTGAGTGTGTTGATGGGTGAGTGGGTGAGTGAGGGAGGGAGTGAAGGAGACTGTGTATTCCATAAGACAGACAGACACACACACACACACAGAGAGAGAGAGAGAGAGAGAGAGAGAGAGAGAGAGAGAGAGAGAGAGAGAGAGAGAGAGAGAGAGAGAGAGAGAGAGAGAGAGAGAGAGAGAGAGAGAGAGAGAGAGAGAGTTGCGCATACACAGGCATCAAGTCGGGCCACGCATCATGTAACGACATCACGGACGGGAGTAAGTACTCGATCTACGTTTTCGTGGCGCCTAGCCATAGGGATGAATGGCATCGAATCTTCAACTCTAGGGACGTTTTCTCGTTTTTCGGTTTCGTTCTCTATGCCTCCACCTCCGCCTATCCTACGCCTGCTCGTACTCGTATGAGATTGTGGGTTTCATGATTTGCTTGCTCGCTCGCTCGCTGTTATATCGTACCCTATCGTACCCTATCGTGTCCTCTGCGTGACTCCAGTCAGTTGGTCAGTCAGTTTCACAGGCGTGCCCTTGTGGATTGCCCTCACTTGCTAGCTCGTTGATTGATAATTGGTGCTCGACTTCACGCTCCCCACCGACGCCTTCCGCCTCTCTGTCTGGCAATCACATTTCCACTGCTTTCTGAATTCGTCGACGGTCAATTTCCCCAAGATCTTCAGTGCAGCCTTGCTTGCTCGGACTTTTGCGTACTTCACACTGTGGCCCTTGCCGATGGTCACGATCTTGCCATGCACCATCCACCCCAAATGGCATTCCACGCCTGTCATTGCGGCATCGCCTCCATCAACGTCAACATCGCCGTCTTCTCCTTCTTCGGCGTGCGTGGTGGGTGGGACAGATCCTTCAGTCGGGACGGGCACGGCTTTGCGGCAGCCGAAATCTTGAGTCAGGAGACGGACAAGATGGGTGGTCGGATGACGGTTCGCGAATGTATCGTAGGCCTCGATGTTCTCAAAGTGCCACTTGACGTGCTTTTCAAAGAACTTCTCAATCTCTCTGAAGTCGAAGTTGGAGTCCACGAGCACGGCCCCGAGATAGCTCTCCACCAGGTCGGCGAGGACTTTGGGGACATTGGAGCCGGTGACCACGCGGGTCCAGAAATCGGGTTTCACATTGGCGTCTGCCCACGCTTCTTGCACCTTGCTTGCGTAGCTGCCAATCTCGTCGTAAACGGCGGTACTCGTGGCGTAGACGAACTTGTTGAACCCTAGGATGACGGCAAGAGCGGCCAGGAATTTGTTGCTCACCATGGCCATTTTGTGCTCGGTCAACCACTGCGGATCTCGGGTCGGATTGGTCGAGAAGAGCCACCAGATACAGACCCAATCGAGACATGCGTCACCGAGGAACTCGAGGCGCTGGAGATCTTGCACGGGAGAGTGCTGGTCCGACGAGTGGGTCATGGCTGAGCGGATCAAGCGTGGATGTTTGAATCGATAGCCCGTAACCGCGAAGACTTTGTCCGCATAATCATTGGCTATCGGATCGTTGAGCTCTCCGACCCAGGCGGCAGGCTTGTACATGGGCAGGACCTCCTTCCAAGAGTTGATCGCATGGTCAGGGTGTTCGACAAGCTTGGTGATTGCTTTGATTCCGAGGTCGAACTTCTCTTCCGTGGGTAAATGCTGGCTCGTCATGATACATGCTCCGATCGTCGCCTCGCATACATCTGCGATGGTCTTCTTGCCCAGGGCATGCTTGCGGTGCTTGTCTGTCAATTTGATGATACGACCCTTTCCAACCCGCTCCAGAAACTCAGGGTACCAGGTATCTCGCCAACTCTCGCCGGTCGAACGGATGTAGCGGTAGAGCTCGTAATGAGGCGCCGAAGCTGTCTCGCACAGCCGACTATTCGATAGCAGGTTCATACGTTTGCAGTGCATGCCCTCCTCGTTACAGGTCGTGCGGTTGTAGACTGTGATGGTGGTCATCAACTTGAGAAGCGAATCTCCTATGAATTCGAGCCGCTCGTAATTCATGGCACCCGTCTCCTTGGACGTGTCAGGCTGCTCCTCCCCTTCCGGCCGATGCTGACCCCCAGCATCCGATCCAGATCCGGCAATCTCTGCTTCGGCGGAAGAGTTTTGAGTATAAGCCTCCAAAGCCAAGTCCAGAGGTACGTGCTCAAGGTCAAGCTTCTGGAAGGCCTCCCTTACGATGAGGTAGCCTTCCAATCTGTGAAGAATAGAAGGCCACAGTATGCACGTTTGGGCCACTGAATAAGAGATCCGACCGAGTTCCAATGGCTGTGGAGCAATGTGGCAGAAGGCATATCGCTGTTCTTTCTCGGGACATTTCTTGGTGTACTTCCGACCTGCTATGATTGCTTTGGCGTCCAGTACAGGCTGATGTGCATCATACCCGTCCTTGACTTCTTTCTCAAAATCCTTCGACTTCGCTCTCCAGGTGCTGTCCGAGAATTCAATGATTGTCTTGTCGTACTTTTTGTTCAGGCTCTTTGCGCTGTCAGGGGTGGCATCGAAGATCGTCTTTCCCGGCAGAATTTCTCCCGTGAAATAGCGGAACTTTCCGCTTCCTCGGTCGACGAGAAAGGCGTTACACCATTTACGTGCATCGGATGAACTCGTAGAAGGGTTCCACTTTCCTCGTTCAGGTGCCCCTGCAGCCAAAAGCTGTTTCATATGTACGACCTTTTCGAAAGCCCTCGATTGTCCTGGCTGCCCTGGGGGGGCCAGCCAGTAGCTCATTGAGGTCGAGTTGTGGGAATATTGCTTGTTGAAGATATCGTAAAAGATGCCATTTAGAGTGTAAGTAGTCAATGCTTCGACTTGATCAGTGGTGACGACGACTGGGTCCGCATATTGGTAAAACGTGACATGCTTCTCAACATTATTGTCCACATAGACAGAGAATCTGGGGATGGCTGGGAGTTTCGCGCGAGAAAAGAGAAGCACACCCTCGGATGACCATGCGCTTGATTCAGGCTCGACCCGTATGTGTGTGACGAACAGCTCAGTAGGTAGTATGGGTGATGTTGTTCCGCTGTTAACCCAGAAATCCGGTTTCACTTTCTTGTCGTACTCATCCTTCCTCTCGGATACGGCAATACGAGCATTCAGATTGGCTGGTTTCACCTTCGAGAAGATACTGTCCAGATTCTCGTCCAACAGATGGGCTTTCCGCAGTTTGTAGATGCAATGCCATGCAGCCGAGCGCTTCGCCAACGCCTTGTTTGTTCGTGGTTCACCCTTGGCTCCTTTCACTCCAGCAGTTCGCGGGTCATCGGTAGGAGGAAGGATGACCTTGTACTGAAACATGTTCTCTTCGGCGCCGATCATCTCATCGTAAATCTCAGAGGAAGCCGCTCCGATCTTCTTCAGCGACTCGGTGTAGCGCTTGAGCAACAGTAGCGAGTTTGCATAATTTGCTAGAACGCCAGCACCAGTGACGAAGCTCTGGCAACTCGCATCTCTGGCCATCAGTTGTTTTAACTTGGAGCCTTGGCCCAACAACCGATCCGGTGGCAGTTGCCGACAGTACTCTCTGATATATTCGTCCTGCTGCATGGCAAAGTTGACACCTGCTTCCTGTGAGAAATTTCCTTCTTCAATCATATGCACAAAGACTGAATCCTTCATTCGCGCTCTGCCTCGACTCTGCATATATTGGATGGGAGTTTTGTAAAGGTCAAAGCGGATGACAAGGTTGCACTGCGGGATGTCAATGCCCTCTTCGGCGACGCTGGTTGCAAAGATGATGTTGATGACTCCAGTCCTGAACTTCTCCATAACGGTTTCTTGGTCCCGCCACGAACCTGCCTCTATTCCAGACTGTGAAACTCCGACGAGAACGCCAGGGCGGAGGTGGGGGAGAGCAACGGACTCAAAGAGGTCGCAAAGAATCATGGCCGTCAGTCTCTCCTCGACAAATACTATCGATCGAGTGGTTGGCCCCGCCAAATACCGGTCTTTCAGCTCCTCATACAGCTTTGTCACTTTCGGAGACAGTTCCCTGTCCTCATCGACCTGCGGGGGACGGAAGGTGTATCTGTGCACGACCGAAACAGCCTCTCGAATCAGTTTCATCTTTGCCTGTCGCTGATTGGGGTCTGTTATCTCCATGTATGCTACGCTCCGCTCATATTTTCGGACGATTGCCGCCGACTGGTGCTCAGAGGTTGGGAGTGCATATTTCCAGATCCTGTCTGCTGCCCACCCTCCCAGGTGTTTGGAGGCGAACCGCGAGAAAATGAAGTAATGAGCCAAGTCTTTGACAAACCCACACAGCGGCTCGAGGGTAGAACATAGATCGGTCTGATATTCACCGTCTAGCGGAGGGTAGAGCCAGATGACGTCCTTTGCTCGAGGCGCAAACTCGTAGATGGAGAGATCAGTCGTCGTGACGATCTTGCTCTGCAACAACGCCTCCAGATCAGAAACCACCTTGGCAATGTCTCGCTTAGAGTCAACAGGGGAAGCTGTCATGCCGAAGATGCGCGGTCTGTCACCTTTCCATTTGAGGTAGTAGTCCCTGATGATCCGCGAATATGGGTGGTTCTTCTTGCAGTGGTGAGCTTCATCGAAGATAAGAAGAGAGATCTGGCCAATCTTGACAAACGAATGCATGAGACAAGAATCGAGCACAGCAGCTGTGCAGACCACGACGCTGTTTTCGGCAAAGATTCTGCTCCATTCCGCTTTCTTCCACAGGTCGTCAGATGTATCCCCGAAGAGAGGGATGACCTTCTGTGGTAGATTGCTGCTGAGAAAGCGAGCCTGTTGTCGAGCAAGATGGACACTGTTGACCAGAAAGAATACGATCTTCGCCGCCTTGCCCTGGTTTCGAGTAATGATTTCTTCGTGGAGATAGTGTCTAATCAGCAACGCAGCAATGAGGGTCTTGCCGCTGCCAGTATCGAGGACAGCGATGATGTTCTCATCTTTGGCCTTATCAAAGAGCTCTTGCTGATACTCGCGGGCTTGGTCGATAATCCTGTTAGATTCACCGTTTTTGATCTCTCGGGCTGCCACGGTGTCGACACCATCGTTGGCGTGGGCGATGATGTAGTTGTTCAAGGTTGCTTTGTTGAGATCGAAGTCGACCTGGCTCGCTGAGCTCAATAGTTGAGATCCAGATTCATCTTCTGATTCAGTGAGATAGTCTTCGTCTCGTTGTCCCAGATTTACTTCCAATCGGTCTGCCAATTTTGTGGCGCTGTCATTGATCGCCATTGCGGGACCGTAACAGCCTCAAGGTGGTTGACAGAGATCAGAAGCAAAGACATCATTGGAGCAACCCAAGGGTGCGGCTGAAGAAAGGTGAAATCTAAGGCAACAGGGAAGGACGGTGAGTGACGAGTGAGAGTGGCCGGGATCATGCAGACGAACTGGAAATTGAAGCAAACAAACCCACGAGACAGACAGAGCTCAGTGATGGTATCACCTGGGCTCCTGTGAGCATTCGTACAACATTATATCCATGGACGACTTCGCAGCTGTTTCCCTCGGCGCCATCTGCCACATGTTGCAGGAAGTTGGACCAGAAAGAAGTGGTCGAGCATAGAGCTTCGGTGCCCCTCTGCGTTGGAGGAACGAGTTCTTGTCTTTGTGGGTATGAGCAATGCTTAGTAGGTGCCAGCTACTGTAGCTTGCTTTAGGCTGCCTCGGTTAGGCTCTCCGATCGCCAGGCACAAAGCTACGGTCAGTTAGGAGTCGTGATACGCCTAGGCAGGCTAGATTCCTCCCTGGGCGACATTATGTCATCCGACTGCTGCAGCAACACCAGTAAATCAGATATTTGACCACGACTTCAGCAATTGAGAGCCACCAATGTAAGACGAACACTGCCTGCAGTCCAACATGAAAAGCATCACTGCTGCGCTCCTCGCGCTTGTTGCCGTCACCAGCGCTCATGGCGTCCATCCTGATGAACGAGTCAATCCCGCGGACGATTGGGCACTGTACCATATGCAGGAAGAGCATCGTTCGTCCAAGTCTGCATCTGCACATGAGCCAGTTGAACTGACACGCGCAGATATATCCAACTTCGACCCGGCCTCCTTCTTCTCGCTACACGACTTCAACAACGACGGGTCCTGGACGCCCGACGAGGTCCGCCGAATCTACGGTCTGGACGACGAATCTCTAAAAGATACACCCGCAGACCAGAAAGACAAAGCCGTCTTCGACGTCTTCAAGATCTTTGACCCCTATCAAAGTGGCGTCATCACTCGAGATCAGTGGACCAAGAAGATCAATGAGGGCAAGAAGCTCCCCGACTTCGGCCTGGGACCCGGTCATCACGGCGACGATGAATATGAATACGAGATCCACCATTTCGAGAAGTACCATGATGAGAACACAAGAGAAGAGGACTTGATCCATCCAGAAGATATCGAGCACTTTAGGAAACACGACCTGCTGGAAGATCAAGCCGACCGGATATTTAGAGAGCAACAGCAGACCATTGTCGAGAGGAATATCCCTCGGAAATTCCTACGGCGGGCGTGAGGCCGGGACAAGAGAGATAACCTGTACGAGTATGACAAAATAGGGATGAAGGGATGATGGGGTTAACCATTTGATGTGATTGCGACATCAAAAACACAATGCATGACTCCAGGCGCATACGTCTTGACCTGCTCAACGTGTTGGCAACATGCGTGGAAACGACGGTCGCCCGGGCTGACCTGAAGCAGCCTGTTGACTTGGTCGACAACTTCTCCAGTCATACGCTCGATCTCCCGCATATCGACGTTCTCGTGAACGTGAAGCCAGCCACCTTTTCCACCCTCATGCATGGTTGTGAGAATAACCACGGCGTCACGCCAGCTCGCTCTCGAAGTAGGCAGTAAGCCCAGGTTGGCATGCCTGATGTTCAGGTTCGACCTCTCCACCCGAGCATTGCCCTCCATCCTCCTTAACTCAGACTGAATCTCCTGCAAGACTTTCGCTGCCCACTTGTTGTCTCCCAAGAATGCCACACATCTCACCACGTTCTGTTCTCCTGGCCCGCCCTGGTCGCCTTCTCGAATCCGTTCCGCGAGCTCCCTTACGCTTCCTCCCGCTGCACTTCCTACACTCCCAATCGCGTCCACATTGACAACCAGGCACTTCCATCCATTCCTGTCACAACCCCTTCTCAGCCCCTCGATACTCCATGGATTGATATCCCACCCGTAAACCCGCCGCACTCCCCTCTTCAGATAGCAAAAAGCAAAGTATCCAATCCCGACGTACATGTCCACAACATCCACCATGGTGACGTCGTCGTGACTCCCGAATTCAATCTCAACGTCGACCTCTGACTCGCGTGCCGTGGTCATTCCCGGAAACCAAGACCGCAAGCCCAGAATGCGCGCCTTCTCAGACACATTCCCCCGGCTGAACATCGTGTAAAGTGGCGCCCAAACCTGCGTAACGCCTTCATGCTGGGCCGTGGCCGTCCAGAACGCGGCCTGGAAGTCCTCCGCTGTGGGCGTTAGAGTACGTACTCTATGCTGCTCGAACGGGAGCGCAGGGCCCCAATCACCATACACGGGGATCAAGCCCGAGGGGCTTCGAAGGACGTTTGGACGCCTCGTGCAGTCCTTGTCCTTATCGTCATATCCACCTTCAAGTCGTCCCTCTTCCGCTGCCACTTGGTTAGTAACCTCCCCCTCCGACGCAGCAATGGGTGCGTTGATCGCGATCCGCGAAATGTCTAGCCCACGGAATCCCTCCTCGGTAATACATCTGAATAGAGCGGCCCTCTGGCTTTCCGTTAGCGTGCTGTAGAAGCGTGGCCATGCGGCGAGAGGAGGAGTCTGCTGTGCCGCGCTGATGAATGACGGGGGCAGTAGTAGAAGGGGCGCGTAAGCCGTGTATCGTTTCGGGAGGTCTGAGATGGCGAGCACGACGGGTAAACTTGTGCTTGAACTTGAATTTGCACTTGGACTTGTCCTTGTGTCGCCGCTAGTTGTGTTTGTGGTTGTCGGCGTCGGCGTGGATCCAGTTCTGCGTACAATTCCTACATGGGGCTTCTGATCGCAGAAGGCCACGATCCCTCGGATCAGGGGGTTCGCGGGCTGTGTTTTCCTTTTTTTAGAGATTGAATCGCGAGGTGGCGGCGGGTCGTCATGCATACTTGCGTTTACCTCATTTCATTCCATTCCTTTTCCTGTGAGTGCTAGGGTGGTGTTTGACTTTGCCGAATACAAGTTCCGTTTGATCGCTGACACGGGCCAACAGGACTAGCTGATCCAGACAGGGAGTCGAGAAAATCATATGAAGTGGAACTGAAGAGCATATTCAGTACGAGGCAGAGTGCAGCACCTCACGGAATTTTACAGTATTGCCAGCTGTAGTGGGCAGCGGGCCTCCGTCAGCCTTGTTTGTGGACATACCGAGTACGGACTACATACTGCCTCGCTGATGAGCTGCTTCAACTGTGGTGTTGCTATTACGTGACTGGCTGCATCGAGATGGAGAGTCGCGAAACTGACATTATTGTGTCTAGCAGATACGATCCTTTCCCCCCATAGTAATGCTCTATTGAAAGCTCCTCTCGTCTGATTTCACCGTCAGCTGGTCCTCCCCTCGGACCCGAGTCAACAGTGCATAACTTGTCATATTTTGGGCTTTGCCAGCTCTGCGCCTCTCTCCTTGATGGTTTTCCTTCTGGCATACCAATTCCAGAGCACCTCCCAAGAAGCGACCGTAGCCATCAGGGGCGGACAAACCAGGAGCAGCAGGCTCCACCATCGGGGACTGCCCGATTTCACTTTCTGCATCATATCGGCGATCTGAAGCTTCAGGTCCTCCTTGCTGCCATCATTGTAAAGCACGAAACCCTTGCCGGCGTCTGTCTTGCCATTATTCCGCCGCTCACAGCGCGCAGCCTTTTCACGAACATCAACCTGACTTTTAACCCTGTTTTCTGCATCTTCTGCCGACAAATGCGGGTCTCTCGCTCGTAACCTCTCCATCTGGATTTTCGGATCTGAGACAGCAACCACGACGACGGTACTGCAGAAGATGTCCAATCCGGACTCAAATAGCAGTGGAATGTCCAGCAGAACGGCCCAGTGCCCTCGGAAATAGTAGTATAACATAGCTCGAGCCATCAAAAACCGCACCGCGGGGTGTACAATTGCATTCAGCTTTTTCCTGTCTCGTGTTCGTTCTTCAGAGCTCCCAAATACTCTTCTTCCCAACGCGGGCCTGTTCAATGGTCTCCCTTTCCCTGTAGGGCCATCCTCCTTGCCCTCACAGAGTGGATCTGACGGTGGAAGGAGCAGATCTGGTGTCGTAGGACCAAACGTAGACACTATGCGACGATAGCCCCATGTTCCCGGTTCCACGGCTTTCCGTGCTAGCAAGTCGGCGTCTACCAAGGGCAAGGAGTAGGGTGGAGAGGAGAGTGTCTGGGAACAAGTTGATTTGCCTGTTGCGATCGAGCCTGTGAGACCGATCACGCGCATTTTGGCCGTTCAGATGTTTCTTACTTCCCAAGGATTGGTAGTCGGCGTTGAACCGTCATAGGTTTGCGCGACGGAGTGCAGTATCCTGGTTCAGAGAGTTAAGTGAGCGCGCCCCTCCAGCGTCGAGTGAGCTTGCACCGAGGTAGAATTCGGCCTGCGGAGAAATGATATTCCGGAGTGGTAGTGGTTTTTGTCATTCCCTCAAATGAGGCTGATGTGCAGCCTGATGGATAAAGACGAAGATTGTCGCAAAGTCAAGCAGATACAAACACCGCGCCAACATTGCTCGAAACTCGCCTATTATTCAAACAGTTGGAGTCGAATCTGACTGACTGGCAGCCATTGATGACATCGTTTGTGTTTCCTGATTGCGGTGACTCAATCTTTGCTTGATGGGAAAACATCACCATTTGTCCATGCACGCTTGCCAACTCACATAATGTCAATGAACATGATTTACCCAAAGTCGCGGTGATATTTACTTCTGGCCTCAGCCCGAAGGTAAATAATGAGCCTGCGAACTCTACATACTACCAAAAGGATTCTACGACTTAAGCAGACCATCTCTCAGTCAAGCACGCGCCCAGCCATGACCGCCGTCCAACTTCCGTTAACACCAGCCGAGAAGCTTTTCCGACAATGTCTGCTAGATTGCCGGCAGCAAATGCAGGACACCCCGGGGATGAAGGAACTTGTGCTGCGATGGACAGGAGGCTGGGTCAGAGATAAGCTGCTAGGTGTCCAGAGTCATGACATCGATGTGGCGCTGAGCTCTATGACCGGCTTGCAGTATGGCCAAGCCATGCAGGCTTTTATGAAGCAGCACGGCGCCAAGTACGAGGAAGAAGCTATCAAGGAAGGCATTAACCCACAAGTCAAAGATATCCATACAATCGCAGCCAACCCAGAAAAGTCTAAGCACCTCGAAACGATCACGACAAGGATGTTTGGTCTCGATGTCGATTTCGTCAATCTCCGCAAAGAGGTCTACGACGAACAGAGCCGCAACCCTCAGATGGAATTCGGCACGGCTGAAGAAGACGCCCTACGTCGAGATGCCACAGTCAATGCTCTCTTCTATAACCTGGACACACAAACCGTCGAAGATTTCACCCAGAAAGGACTGGATGACATGAGGAAGAAGATTATCCGGACGCCGCTTGCACCATTCCAAACATTCAAGGACGACCCTTTGCGAGTTTTGCGCCTGATCCGCTTCGCTTGCCGGTTAGGATATGTTATCGAGTCCAGTGCGCAGGAAGCGATGAAAGACAAGAGCATACACAAAGCTCTTCGCTTGAAAATCAGCCGAGAGCGCGTAGGGGTAGAGATCGGCAAGATCATGGCCGGACCAGATCCATACACCGGATTGAAATACATCAATAGATTCGACCTTTATCCAACCGTGTTCGGTGACCCAATGGCAGCTGAGGATGATTTCCCGGTTGACGCAAACCAAGCACTCATCGCATACGAAGGATTGAGCCGCATCCTCGAGGAGAAGTCGTCGATCTGCTTGGTTTTAAAACCCAAGGAAGATCAATCCTTGAGCTGGTTCCTGGCTGCATACACTCCTTTTGCAAGATCGTCGGCCCGCGCTGAACAGTCATCGAGGGAGGGCATCAAGGCTACGAACAAGATGAGCAAAACTCTGAAAGATGCCATCGATCTGCGGCCAAGGATTCTCGAGGTTGTGAAGCTGGTCAATGACGACCAGGCTACCCGAGCAGATGTGGGTATGGCGCTCAGACAATGTAGAGAGGCGTGGCGGTCGCATATCCTTTTCTCCCTCCTCTGCGATATTGTGGAGGAAGACTTCTCAGCAGTGACAGATCGATACCAGAAGTTTCTCACTTTCATACACGACCAGAAACTCGAAAATGCGCATACGGTTGTGGCTATTCTGAATGGCAACCAAATCAAAGATGCATTGGGTGGTCCCAAGGGCGGTCCTTGGCTCAAGAGAGCAGTCGACATGCTTGCACAATGGCAGTTCGACAACCCTGAAGCGCCGAAAGACGAAGCGATCAAGATGATCGCGGGCAAAAAACAGGAGCTTGGTCTAGTCTGAAGTCTCCTTACAACTTCGATGATGCTGCAAGCTTTGTTGCTCGCAGCTGCACATCCCTCGCCTCCTGACGGACAGCCAGATCGAGCATGATCTCTTCGCTGCCACCTCCCACGACATGCACGCGCACATCGCGGCTGATCTGCTCAATCCGAGCACCTCGGCCAGTCTTGGAATAGCCAGCTCCACCCATGATTTGTTGCGCCTCGCGACAGACCTGCTCCAGACACCTGGTGCTCATAACCTTCAACAAGGCCGTCATGCCCCCAACGTTCACTTCCTTGCCTGTGACTCGGGAAGTCTCGATGATGAAGCAGAGTTGTTCTAGGAAGGAATGTGCGGGTTCGATCAGGATTCCGAACGTAGCGACCTTCGACTTGATGCCAGGGTGCTCGATCAATTTCTTGCCGAAAGTCTCGCGATCGCAGGCGTAAGCATACGCGTCCTGGGCGCAAACTCGAGCTAGACGCAGTGCGGCGGTCGCCAGCGACAACCTTTCGGGATTGAAGTTTGACATGATCAACTGGAAACCCTTGTTCTCTTGTCCGATCAGATTCTCGACAGGGACCTCAACATCCTCGAAAGTGATGAAGGTCGAACCTAGAGAGCCTTAGTGAAGAATACGAACATAGCTGGAAAGGATCATCATACCACTTGCATTGACACCCTGGTTCTCCATTCGTCTGGTCGAAGCGCCTTTCGCCTTCAGTGGGACAACCAACAAGCTAATACCCCCGCGACCGGGTCCGCCTGTTCTAACAGCGGCCGTGCAAAAATCGCACCAGATGCCGTTTGTGATCCACTTCTTACTGCCTGAGATGGGTGTTAATCCGTACCAGGCAACACCTCTGGCTAGCTTCACTTACCGTTCACGATGTATTTGTTGCCTCTCCGCTCGGCCGTCGTCTTTATGTTGGCAACATCACTTCCTCCATCCGGTTCCGTAATCCCTAAACAGAACCTGATCTCCCCTCTGGCAACCTTGGGCAACCACTTCTGTCTCTGCTCTTTCGTCCCAAATCTACTGATCGGAGGACATCCAATGCCATTTCCACCTCCTAACCCCCAGATTGGTCCACACCAGCCTAATCTAGCAAACTCGTCGCCCAGAATTACACTGCACCAGGTATCCCATTCATCGAACGGGATACCAGCGGGTTGTAGAACACCGCCTGCATCAGCAGGATCAAGCACGGGGTGCGTAATCGCAAACCCCAGTTGGCAGTGCCGTAGACGGACGCTCTCCGGTACCTGGCCCGCTATTTCCCACTCTTGCGCGTAAGGAGCGAGCTCAGTGTCTACGTAGTTGCGGACGAAGGCACGAAGACGATGGTGTTTCTCGGTGTAGTACGGGTTCGTCGGCAGGTCTAGCTGAGGGAGCAGGGGCTCGGAGAATGGAGCTGGAGCGACGGAAGCCATGGGTGATGTGTTCTTTGTGAGATTTAGACAACTAGGAAGCTCAGAGCTTCCTCCTCATTTCGTGGCTACATCTTGGACAATAAGGCCACCGAGGGTGAATCCAAGAGCCGCGGGACAGCGAAAGTTGAAGGCGGTACTAGCTACCCGCGCGGGCATCCTCGGCTAACAATACAGGCTTCAGGGAAGGATTCTACCCGGTAGTGAATCTCAATTAACCAGAGGGGCTCGGACGGAGACGCGGGATCTGCCGTGCTAGTACTTGTTGCTGGCTGCAGTACGAGGTATAGCTTGCCTGTGTCGGAAGCCGAGGGTGCGCGTGCAGGCAGTCAATCTCAATCTCCAGTCAACCCCGTACTACGAGGTAGTATTGGATCTCGTCGAGACGCGCGGAAAGGAGCCTCGGTCGACTCGGCTTGGCAGGCTAGTCCAAATAAAGAGAATAACGTCTTGGCAAGACTAGTCCCGTTCGAGGAACAATGGCATCATCCGACATGCCATTTCTCCAACGCGCATGGCGGACAAGGGTAAAGAAAGCTTCTCTCCCAAACCTCCACCATCTCACCAGCTCTTAGGGTCTAGACCGTACACCTGCATCTCATACTAGGACCTACATTGAGGGGCGGTATAGCGATCTGCGAATCCCAGCTACTCTACTGGTGATCGACCAGCAACGCGGGACTCGCCAATGGGTTGAACACTGTCTGACCATTGCCATTTTCGGCAGCACAATCTCCGTGGACATCGGACGAGGGTGTCACATGCCTTGAGTTTGCGTTGGCATACCAAGATGGAGTCCTTCAAAGAATTCGTTGCAAACCAGCTGCCGGTCAACGCTGGCGACGACCGTTCAGCGCATGAAGGAGATCATGCCACCAACGATGTTAGTGGAGGGACACTGAACGATGATGCAGCTTCGCAGAAAGTCAAAATTGAGGATGGCATGCCTCGTGCTTTAGAGGTCAACAAATCCGACATAGATGAGACGGAGAAAATCGTGCCTCAGAAAAACCCTCATCCGAGTCTGTCGAACAATCCTCCGGACGAACCACCTCTGGCACCTGGCCAGAAGGATATCGATGATGAGGAGGACGAGCTAGATCTTTCCAAGTCCTTCCATCGCACCGCGAGTCCATCTCCCGCCGCCCTTCAACGCAACAAAGGCGCCTTGGTCAGCAAGGTAGGAGAGGAAGGGGTCGTGAAAATGCACAAGTTCACCCTGCATGAGACCGCAAATTACTATTACATCGTTGGCTCGGATCTTTTGGACTCTGCATTCCGGATCTTGAAGATTGATCGAACATCCGAACCAGGCGAACTCAACATCACAGAGGATGACATTGTCTACACCAAGAAAGAGACGCAGCAAATCCTCAATGCCATCGACGAGGGTAATCGTGCCACGGGCGGACTCAAGGTCAAGACCAGCTTTTGGGGCTTGCTTGGTTTCATCCGCTTCACGGCCCAATTCTACATGCTGTATGTGACCAAACGAAGTCAAGTGGCCATGATTGGCGGGCACTACATCTACCAGATTGACAAAACAGAACTCATGCCCCTCGTTACGGCGGCCTCTACACGAGCCAAAACGGATCGACATCTCGAAGAAGCTCGCTTCGTCAGCATCCTAAACAATCTCGACCTCACGAGGTCGTTCTACTTCAGCTACTCGTACGACGTCACCCGCACGTTGCAGCACAATATCATGCGTGAACGCCAGGCATTGCAGGAAGATCTGGCTGCACCTCACAGACCCGACCACAACGACATGTTCGTCTGGAACCATCATCTTCTCAAGCCTGCGAAGCAAGCCCTGAAGAACCCGTATGACTGGTGTCTGTCAATTGTCCATGGTTATGTCGATCAGAGTGCCTTGTCAGTATACTGGGGGAGAGTGGTCTACGTGACCATCATCGCACGTCGGTCCAGATTCTTCGCTGGCGCCAGGTTCCTGAAACGGGGTGCCAACGATCTCGGATACGTGGCAAATGACGTCGAAACCGAACAGATCGTGTCGGAGATGTTGACAACCTCGTTCCACTCCCCTGGGCCAATGCTGTTCGCGAACAACAAGTACACGTCGCATGTGCAGCACCGAGGCAGCATACCCTTGCACTGGACGCAGGATAGTACGGGCGTTTCACCGAAACCAGACATCCATCTCAATGTGGCAGATCCGTTCTTCAGTGCTGCGGCACTGCACTTTGATGACCTCTTCAAACGATACGGCACACCGATATATGTGCTCAACCTCGTGAAAGCCCGCGAGCGGACTCCCAGAGAGTCAAAACTACTTAAGGAGTACACAGTCGCGGTGAACTACCTCAACCAGTTCCTGCCCAAAGACAAGCAGATCCTATACCACGCCTGGGACATGAGTCGGGCCTCGAAAACTCGGGACCAAGATGTCATTGGCAGTCTAGAAGCAATAGCCGAAGACATTTTGCCGCGGACGGGATTCTTCCAGAACGGCAACGACGAGGAATCCGGTCTCAAACTTCAAAGTGGCGTCGCTCGGACCAATTGCATCGACTGTCTCGACCGTACGAACGCGGCGCAGTTTGTGATCGCGAAGAAGGCCCTGGGCTATCAACTCCAGGCGTTGGGCGTGATCGAGGAGCCGTCGGTCGAATACGACTCGGACGCCGTCAATCTGTTCACCCACATGTGGCACGACCACGGTGACACGATCGCCGTGCAGTACGGTGGCTCGCATCTCGTGAACACCATGTCGACGTATCGCAAGATCAACCAGTGGACGAGCCACTCGCGCGACATGGTCGAGAGCTTCAAGCGGTACTACAACAACTCGTTCATGGACGCCCAACGACAGGAGGCGTACAATCTCTTCCTGGGCAACTACGTGTTTGCCCAAGGCCAGCCGATGCTCTGGGACCTGACGACGGATTACTACCTCCATCACTCCGACCCGCGGTCCATGTTCGGCAAGCGCCGGCCGAGTTACCGGCACTGGTACACCGACGCATACCTCGAGTCACCGCAGATGCCGCCGTCGCTCTGGCCGCGAGAGCTCCGCGACCGACCGCTGGCGTACTTTGACGACTACTGGATCGAATACTACAAGCCGCTGGCCATCTCGTCGTTCCGCAAACTCCATTCCTTCAAGATGCACTCGAACCTGCGATACATACCCATCAGCTCCACATCCGGGGGAAAGTTCGACCTCAGCCCGTTTAAGGTGCGGACGGCGCACGAAAGCGACGGAGAAGGAGGACACGACAAGCAGCGCAAGGGAGTCAAAATAGTTGCCCCGTCGGACGATACTTCCACCACCGCCGACGGACGTCCGGCCGCCGGTCCTCCAACCGCAGTTGAGCCGACCCCGAAACCGAACACGCTGGGACCCTGGCTCGACGCTCAACAGCAACTGCATAACACGTTGGCCCGCCGGACGAACTACACGGGCATCATCAAGGAGGCGTCATTCGAGGTCCAGTCTCCGTCGGCCGTGCCTCGCGTGCCCAAACTGCCGGTCGCGGGGAGTACCGACCTGACCAACAGCTCGCTGCTGAGTAGTCCGCCGACCAAGGAAGAACTGGCCCTGCAGGCCTTCACCTCGCTGATCACGTCGTCGTTGAACCCCACGGTCCGCCAACTCTCCGAGTATGAGCGCTACGTGACGCATCCGAGCAAGATCCCGCTGATCACCACCTCGGCGACGGACTACTCGGCCGCCCCGCTCGAATACCTCGAGTACCTGTCCAAAACCACGTCGTCGCAAGATCCCGCCGAGGCGTATCCACACGACTCCATCCTGCGTCAATATGATGACGAGCGCGGAGCCGTGACGTTGACCATGGACGAAAAGGCCGAGGCCAGCTTGGAGGAGTACTGGGAGTACGTGCTCTCGGGCCAGGTGGAGGAGCCGCTGAGCGTGACCGAGGAGGAAGAGATGGGCGGCAAGAAGAGGTATAAGGCGTATCGGAAGTGGTTGCGGGGGAAGAGTCTGTTCAAGCAGAGGCCTGTCATGGGCGAGGACGTCGATGGTATTGGTCTTGACTCTTGATGCGCGGGGTGTTGCTGACCGAGGAAGGGCTTCGTTTTTTTCTTTTGAGATTCCGTGTGTTCTAGTGATAGCCCTCTTTACGATACCCGAATAGATTGGAATAGGTTGGACAAAGAGGAATTGACGTGGACTGACTGTTCTGTTCCCTGCCGTGTTGGAATGGGAGTTGCTTGAGTTGCGAATGGCTTGGACGGCGAGTTGATGAATTGTACAATCATCGAGGTTGCGACCCGAGACCTCCTCTTCCTGGCCGTGTACTGTGATGTGTACTACCTACACAAGCCGTGCTAAGCAGGTGTTCAGCCCAGCCATTATCCATTGTCAAGGGGTCGCCGCTGCCGCGCCTCGCGACCCTGCGCTTCATTGGGGGACTCCCTCCTTGTATTTTTGATCTCAAGTCATCTGTCCCGAAGGCGTATCGAGCCCTCGTAGTGCCGGGGCTACGTCCGTGTGCAGGAGGCTCGCATTGCCGGGTGTCTCTCTGAGCGCGTATTCGTGTCTAAAGAGCTGGGCCAGAATCATTTCTCTAGGAGACTGCTGCCCCAGCACTAGAGACACTCTTCCTTTCGCCAGTCAGCATTTACTTTTCCCTCTACCTCCTTCAATCGCCAAACAAGGCCGTCAGATCGTCTTCCTCCTCGACAAGCCTTCTCTTGACGACACTCCACTCATTCGGACCGACAATCTCTCCCAGCGTTTTTACCATTTTCTTCAACCGCGCCATCGTGTCTTCTAGGTGTGTAGATGTGGATGCGGATGCGGTCTTTCCGGCTGGTATACTCTCATTCTCATTCTCGTCAACGCAATTCACCCAACAGCCCACCAACCCTCTCAGGACTTCGGGCCACCATTTCTGTTGGACCCTCGTCCTCGCGACATCAAAGACACTGTCCACAATGTCAAGGATTGCGCTCACCATATCCGGCGCGGCCAGGAGAAAAGGATCCATCAACGAGGCTCTCAGCATGGGCAAGAGTCCCTGGAGATGTTTGACGCAATGGATCCCCATTCTGGAAAACACGGGTGGAATCTGCCGGAGGAGCAACATGGTAAGAGGCACGGAGATCGTGTTTGAGAGGCACCCAGCGTTGGTGCTTGAAGAAGATAAATGTGTCAAAGAGGCCATGATTCCATGCCTGTACACTAGCGTGAGCATGTTCTGGTAAGGGTTGAAGTCGGTGTCGATGTTCTTGTCGTCGCTGTCCTCGTCCGTCCCTGCCCCGCCTTGTGCCTTAGTCTGGTTTGACGGCGGCCCAAGCTTAAACTTAAGTCTAAGCCTAAGCATCACGAATCGCGCATCCACTAGCCCTAAAAACGCAGCATACACTTCCCTCAGTAGCGCCAGGCTGTCCGCCTCGGGCGTCAACGTCGGGAGCGACAGGAAATTCGTCCTCAGCGCGTCGACCATGACATCCGCTAGACCTGAGCGCTTGAGCATCTCAGAGTGCGTGGAAGTGAGGACCTCGCACAGCATGGCCAGCAACTTGCATCCCGCGGACTTGTACGGCGTGGGCGCCGCATCATCGATCATGTTGAGAATAGGCGGGACGAGGAGATGGAAGTGTGCTTCGATGGCCGTCTTGCGGAGAGTATTCTCTCGCGGGTCGAATGGCAGGGCAAGGTAGCTGGTTAGGATATATTCCAGTAACGGCACTGTGAAAGGGGTTGATGTCTTCCATGGGGGCTCGTCGGACCCATCATCTAGAAACCGGCTGGCAATTGAGGGCGGAGGAGAGGCTACGAGAGATTTTCGCCCCGTAGACGTCAAGTGAGGGTGTCTCGTCTTGGTGAATAGAGGTTTGATGATCTGCGTGAGCAGGTCGAGTAGTGTGGTGGGTAATTGCTCGATGGCGTGGGCGTCAGTAGCGGAGATGATGGAGTGGGCTTCGTGTCGGAGGGCTGTTGTTTGGGGTGGTTCGTTCGTCGGTGTGGTTTTGAGGGCAGCCAGGATAGCGTCTCTGCTCATGTTGAGGCCCTGAGGGGAGTAAGCGAGGTATTGTTGGTTGTATGAACAATGTCGCATAACATATCAAGTGAGCATCGCAATGCAAAGTGATTAATTAATTAGATCAATGAGACGATTGGCAGCGATTGTCTTGCGGCCAATCAGAGCTCAGCTTAGTCAGCATACAGCCTTGCCAACTCCCTGCGCAGCCCTGTGGGAGTTGACTTGCAACAACGTCCTAGTTTATTGGAGGCCAGAGGTAATCGTGGAGCGATCTTTCTTCCTTTCTATTACTCACTGCATCGTGCTGCATGTCCGAGAAGAGCCAGGGTCTACGTCTAGTCACAATTACCATCCACGAGAAATGCCTGATGCCGACAGTCAGTCTACACGGTACCATGGCTATGCTCCTGTAGGATCACCGTTCTAAGGAGTGCTTCGTTAACACCCCGCAAGACAAAACCGTGGGTATACTGTATGTTCTCTCTACACCGCCCTCAATTCGTCCTGAAACCCCATCAACCGCGTAATTCTTTCATTCACGGCCGTTTTTCTGACCGTCAAATTCTGGTCCCTCTCCGCGTCGACCGCTCTGGCAAAGAAATCCTTGTCGACGTCAAAATCACCGTGAAACAATTTGTGTAGAGGCCGGAGGAGATGCCTCTCAATGACCTGGATGACGACATTGTCGATGAAGACATCGCGGGCGACCTGGCACACCGCACAGTCAGTATCATGAACCTCTTTTCGTCGAAGCGCAGTCATCGCAAAACACAGAACAGAACACAATACACGTACCTCGTAGTAGATGATCATCCGCCTGCCCATCTCCTCGGCTGACTCGGCGCGGCTGTCCTGCGCGAGAACCCGGTCCACGTGTGCGGGCGTGTATCGTATGGGATTCGCAGTGGCATTGACACTGGAGCGTCCAGGCTGTCCAGGCTGTCCAGGTGTGACGGGGGTCATGGGCACGGAATCTCGTTCTCGCCCATCTCTCCCTTGTGCCTGCGCATTCGCATTCGCCTGCTCCAGATACGCAGACTCCTCCTCCGTGACGCGGTTGATCATGGCAAACATCTTGTTGGCCCTCATCTGGCGAGCGCGCTGTTCGACCCGCTTACTCTGCGTCTGCGCGGGTTGGCGGCGATCGTCCTCGATGGCGCGCAGCTCGTCCTCGGCTTTCCTCTTCTGTGCCTCGAGCGCTCTCTTCAGGTGTTCCTTGATCGCCTGGGTGACCCGCTTCGGCAGGCCGGGCAGCTGATCCTGCAGGACGTGGTCGATGATGTGGTCGACAAAGGTGCCGCACTGCTTGTGCGCGCGTTCCAGGTGCTTCTTGGCGATCTCGTTCCACGGCGCCGAGTGCTTCTGGAACAGCAGGTTCATGCGCTTGGGGTCGTAGCTGCCCTTGAGCTCGCGGCCGCGCGTCGATTCGAGCATCTCCTCGACATACAGCCGAAACCCGTCCCTCTCGTCCGTGAGGCTGCGGGTGCCACTTGCCGATCGCAGACCGTGACCGTTCGTCTCCACGTCACGCGCAAACTCCTCGTGGTCCTCCTCGATGCGAGACCGCAGATAATATTCGGGCGACCCGTCCCAGTCGGCCGAGCCGTCATACGTGCCGTCGACACAGCTTTTGGCCTCGACGGCGAGGTCGGTCCGTCTATCGCAGAACTTGGACCAGATCTGGTCCGCGTCGGCAAGTTTCTCGCTGAGGTCGTCCCGCTCTTTGATCGCTTTCTGGAGTCGGCTGTTGATGTCGTCTTCGATGATAGGAAGTTGACGCCGCGCGTGCTCGTAGTAGATGCTTCGTAGGCGGCCCTGCAGCGAGTGGATGCCCCAATGCGCCGGGTTGACCTGCTGCCATTGTCGCGCCGGGTCGGTGAAGAACTGGTGTTCGGCCTCGTCCCGTTCAGTCATCGACGTGTCGTTGCCTGTCTCCCGTACTCCGCGGTTCCGAAGGACGTGCCATCCCTTGGCGAAGTTGAACTCTGCAAGCCTGTCCGGCAGATTCTGGGCTTTTCGGATCCAAAAGTCCTCGAGCCCAGACGGCGACTCGACGAGATCCGGTTTCGTGATGATGCCAAAGGTGCGCTCCCCTGTCGGATCGACTTCCTTTGCGATCGTGAGGACCGACTGCTTCTGCGGGTCGAGATTCGCTTCCACCACGGCTAGAATCAGTGTCCTCGGCTGCTTGATCCAGTCATCCACGATCCGCTTGACGAGGTCGATATATTCTCGCCCTTCGTTGTGGGACGCAATCAGGCCCGGCGTGTCGATCAGAGTCAGCGGTTGCTGGTCCGGTCTCACCACCTCTACTTTCAGGACATCGGCCGAGAATCCTCCACGGCCGCCCAACAGCACGGACTCTGCTTCCTTGACGAGCTTGCCCAGCTCCGTCAGTCGTCTGGGCTTGAACCGGACATTTCGGAGCTTGGCCTGATCGTCAGGATTTCTGGCCGCATCGGGGACTATTTGAATGTCGATTGATTCCACATTCCCGGGCCGGAATCTGAGTCTAGAGGACAAAGTCAGCAGGTCTGTAGCTCCCCTCAGATGAGTCCGGGCGACTTACTCGGTGACGAATTTGGTGCATGTAAATTCTCCTCTGGGGAACGAAAGGCCGCTGATCGCCTCGAGCAACGAGCTCTTTCCCGACGACTGGCTGCCACACACCACGAGCTGAGGCAGCTGGAGTTCCCTCTGCACATCCAGATCCTTGAGCTTGTCAACGAGGTCGAACAGCCGTCTTTCCTCCTGGCTCTGCAGCCCCCTCAAGCGATCTCCCGACGGCTTTGGGACGGTGACGTATCCGTTCATGGTCGATGACTGCGAGTCAGGCGAATGTGATCCTCGACTCTGCTGATATGCCATTCGGCACAAGTGTTGCAGGGAGGTTGGTGTCGGAAAGTGTAGATATGGGAAGAACCTCTCTACCAGCACACCCCGTCGGTGACAGAGCTCGAAAAAAGACTAGATTAGATGCACGTAATCAAAGAATGAGTCTGAAAAAGAGACATTCCGAAGACACCAGGCGGAAAGTACATAACGTCGCACAAGACGAGTAGTGTATCAGCGCCACTCCCAGATTCACGGGTGCCTCCCTCAGCCTCATGGCGGAAACTCCGCCCTCTTGCGCGGCCTCCCTCTTCGAGTCCTCGCACAGGCAGGCCATCTAGACTTTGACCCGGTAGGCTTTGCGCCCAAACGGGCAATGATCCAAGACGCGAAGGGGCAGAAACGATGATGCCTGGGCAAGGCCACGTACGTCGCCACCGCTACCGACGACGAAGTCGTGATTGGTCAAAAAGTTCGAGAGCGAGCGAACTTGCCTCGGACTGACGGTGGCGAAGCAGCAAACCACGGCAGCCTACGAGGTACGCAGCGACTCACAGCAACCCGTGGTCGAATCCCAATCCACGACTTGATCGACTTCGTGTGACGCATGCGCCCAGAAGGGGACACAGGTGCGCCTCGGACTCTTGCACATCTTGCTTAACTCAGGCTGAGAAAGAGGATCGCCTGCTACTGTAAGTCACCTGTGGCTCGGCCTGGCGGATTACACCCATTCCTTGGGCGATCGGTTGCACGCTTGCATTTCGAGCGTGGACATCATGTGCCGGAACCTCGTAGCTCGTACTCGTAGGCTGAGGCAGAGGCAACACAATTCCGCCGTGCCGGTGGCGTTACGAGTATGAGGACGGCTCTTCAGCCCAGCCCTGATCCAGATTCGGCTCGAAACGCACATGCATCTGTCTGCCTGTGTAGACCCTCTACTGTGTAGGAGCAAATCAGGGCAAGGCCAGGAAAGGCGTAAACAGCGCCTGTCAACCCAACACCCGAAGGACACACGTCCTGTCACACTCTTCCGGTGCTTCATCGTGAGGCTCCAACATTGCTTGTCGACGTCGCATCCTCGCCGATTACCAAGTAGTCCACTACCTCGACTCTTTCGTTCACGACGCTTCTCTGTCTGTACCTTCGTTATTTCTGTTCCCCGAAATCACACACACCATGGTCGACGTAATGGACGCCATGGACATCACCTACTGCGAAGGAGCCCGTCTCCTCCAGGATTCCCAAGCCGATATAAGTTCGATTCTCGTCCAGCGACCCAACGGCGGCCTGGTCTGCCAACATTGCTATCTGGTCGTCGCGGACGCCAGCGACGTCAATGCCGTTGCCCCGGATCAGGACTGGGCGCTGCTTGTGAGCTGTCACGTCCAAGCATGCGGGTCGTTGCACGACAGGCGGGCGGCCTACTCGTGCTATGCTTGTCTCGAGACGGGCAAGGCCTCCGTGGAAACGACCATGGCGGAACTGAAGGCGCACCTCCAAGTGTGTGAGCTGATCAGGGATATCAAGCTCAGTGGGCAGTATAGAGGACAGGGATTTCCGACGACATCATCTCCCGTGAGCAGAGGTGGTATTCGTAAGCCTGAAATGACTCCGCGACCTACAGCAGCAGCCGCAAGACATCCACCTGGCAAGACGGAAACAGCACGGAGCCCCAATAATGCTCGAGACGCGCCATTGAATCCTTTTGCTCATGCCCAGGACGTGCCAGCCACCACGGTCCAACCAATGCAATCGCACTTTGAGAATCCCTTGGAACCTACTCCACCGCTGCCGTCGCGACCAAAGTCGAGAGCTCCCACGAACGCAGAGACAATGTACACCCCTGCCACGGCCCGGCGACCTGAACAGCCTGTCCAACCGAATAGCGCTCGTCCACACGCACCGGATATGTACAACATCCCAGGCGGCTTTCCAGGCCACAACGCGGCGGTAACTGACTCGAGAGCATCGTCACTGCATGACTATTCTCCCACGGTGCCTCGAAGAAAGGAAGTCCGGACGGAAGCACCAGGACCCTCACATGCTTCCACCACTGAGACCAAATCGTTCCCAACAGCACCGAGCCGTGCGCCACCCACTCCGCCGGTATTGTCGTCACCCGCGCCACCGCCATACCATCAAGGCAAAGACACGCATGGGAATGGCCAGCAGTCTGCTCCTGTGGCTCAACAGAGTTCAACGTCCAACACGTACTCCGGGTCCGATCCCGTCAAGATCCAGCAGCTCGTCTCGTTCGGGATACCCAGAATGGACGCTGAGTACCTCCTGAGCCGGACGGGAGGAGACGTCAATGCTGCGGCGGAACTCCAACTCTCAGAGATGGGCAGTTTGAGTGGTCATGCGCGAGAGACTGCTCCTCCAACTCCGCAGTCTGGTGCGTTCCCAGCACCGCTGGGGTCGAATCCGGTGGATAGACGAAATCATCGGCGGTCGAAATAACCGCGGAACCCGATAGTTGGAGGTGACGCAGTGGAACCGCCTCGCCTGCATCTGGATACCAGAAGGCGGACTACCGGCGTTGAACAGAGGGTGGTGTTGCCTGTAGCAGAGAGCCGCAATGAGATTGATTTCGATAGTGGTCACGTTTTCTGCTCAAGGGTCCCGCGCTCGAATGGTCACGGAAGTATAATTTTCTTGAGAGTTGATCATACCATGTACTGCTCGGCCTTGCTTGGGATTCCGGTGACATTCATTCCGTAACCGCTTCAAAGCACGATCTGTGGGTGAAGCAATACAACTTGTTCACCGCTGCCCTAACCAGGTGTTGAGGATGTTTCAATTTGTGAGTCCGCGCGCTTTCGTTAACAGTCCACTCGTTTTCAGGAACGAGCCTTTTGTGGCAAGTCGCGCAGGATGGAGATGTTGTCCCGTCTCCGGGTTCGACACACATAAGCGCAAAGACGTACTGCTCACCGAATTCGCGAGCGATCAAGTCGAGCTCGTCTGGCATTGGCTCCGCGCACGCACGGCAGTAAGAGGTCAGGGTAACCTGCAAAGCTCTTGTCAAGAAATCCACCGAGGACTCGATCATGGTTTGTTCCACGGCCAGAAACTTAAAATGCTGCATGGTATCCAACAAGAGCGACGTCGTTGTCGGCTGATAGTCAACCGCGAAGCCCTCTGGCATACACTAAACCTAGCAAGCTGTAGACGTAGTCCGTCTTATCCGTACAAAAGAAGGTGGTCATATATGGTTCGTATATGTGCCGCACAAGATAGGTAAGGTCTCCTTTTTGTGAATGATACTCTGTTGCACCTCGGCCTGGCCCGAAGTCGTAACCACAGAGGAGTCTCAGGTTCGAGAGCAGTGGCGTGGAAACGTTGCTCATATATAGCCGCCGAAACGACTGCCATGGAATCAAACCCGCTTCCGATACCACGTAGCATCTCGGGCCACCAAGAGTTCTTGGATGATCCAAACCCTGGTCCAATATGGGAGAGTTGCAACATCTTCGATCTTTGATCGGAAAGTGTAGTACACAAGTCAGTTCAACACTCGCAGGGGAGCCATAAGTAGGGTCTTTCCTCCGTTGAGGATCGGTGGGTCCCCCCAAACGACACGCCGTGTCAACATTGACGCCAGCATCAGACTTTCAGGACAGTGACCGGGATCTACAAGGACATGCTGGGCTCCCCGGTATATGTCAGCCATCTGTTGCACCTGGTGATTTCGTTCCGAGATGTTCTCCTGGTCAATGCAGCAGGCATCGATCAAGAGCCAGTCTTTGATACCGATCCTCCGCGCCAACCGGAGGAAGTTGTATAGATTTTCGCGCACGTGGAGCCATTTGTGGTTCACCAGGATTCGGTGAGTAGGCTGCGGCTCGCCCCAAGCATATGAAAGGCAGGCGTACTTTGCATCGATTCTCAAAACATGCTTTGATGTACACTGGATGGTATCCTCATCCCGGCATGGCTATACCTGCAACAACCGTATGGCCGACTTGGTAAGATCGAGAGGTTCGTGAACAAAGGCGTCGGAAGAGGCCGGAGTCGCCGTAGCCTTGTCCATTTTTACCAGCGAGATGTGAAGGATAGCGTCTTCAGCATCGGAGAAGTTTCTGCGCTTCTCTTATGTTGTCAAAGTGATACGCACCAGCTGCAGAGTTCGATCTCCATGGTACGGAGGCCTAGGAGGGTATTTTGAATACGTTGACAAACTGGCTGTGGTTCAGATATGGTAAGGCTGATAGGCCCCAGGCAGCGTGGCGCATTGAGCAGCTGCATACGGATTAATCTTGCCTTCATTCGATAGCATCATATTGTTACACAGGGTTGCCGAGCCCGCCCTTGCCCTTTCGAACACTTGCGGCTCTCTGCAGGCGCGAAGTCAGTCTTGTCGACGAATCTGATGTCCAATGGGGCGTCCGCACACTCATTGAAAGAAAACCAGTCAGGAAGACCTAGCTCGATGAGATACTAGAAATTAGCGAGCTCTAATGCTTGCAGTTCGAAGTCCTAGCTGTTTGTAGTCAATGGAGGAGACTTCATACGAATGGTAAAGTCAGGCGGATCGAGAATCCAAACCTTTTGGTTTGGCACTGATAGCGATCAAGGCTGTCAGCCAGACCTTCCTGTGTGGCATCGCCAGGCTGAGTGGGCTAAATGACGATTTCAGGCGGAACGAAAGACAGCACGGAAGGCACTTATGCCTCACAATTGGGCCGCCTCATAATCTGTCCCTATAGCGACTGCTTCCCAACCGTAGAGCCTGAACAGATACTGGCCTCGCCACTTTCGAGTGCAGGTAACCTGTTGCAAACACCTCTCAAACCACGAGGCTATCCTGACCGATGAGCCTCCATCCAGCGATCCAGTGCCCTCAAGCCGCAGGCAACCCACGCATACAGTAGCAACCCACGCATATAGTAGCAACCCACGCATACAGAAGCAACCCACGCATACAGAAGCAACCTCGCATTATTGTCACTGTGCTCTTCCTACCTTATCCTATTCCCTGTCACGACTTCCCACGCATCTTCTATCACAGGCCATATTTTCCAGCAGCCTTTTCCGGGGAAGAGGGGTGCATTAGGCACTCTTTCATGTGTTAGGCTATGCACGAGATGCAGAAGAGGCTGAAAATCCAATATCCCTAAAATATCAGATCTCTCGGTAACTGTTCGTAGCATCTCGACAGGCGACAGCGCAGTCTCGGATATGGTTGTGAAACTGTGTAGTTGCGAATATGAGCCATTTCCCTGTCGCTGCTCACAGACAGGGCGTGCAAGAAGCTGCGAGACAGGTTCAGTATTTTCATCCAAAGCGATCCGAAATCTCAGCGATCTTTTCTTCAGATCCGGAAGACTTCCGCATAGGAAACTGACTCGATCGTCACAGTGACCGGCATCCTTCAGTATCGAGGCCAGAGACAAGAGGGTCGGGGTGGACTCGACTGCATTCTTGCAATGAACCGACGGCACTGCGAAGCGAGCAGAAAGCGCGAAAGGAAGGGTAGACGTGACAAGGCAGACAGATAGCATGCACTGCGAGGCAGCGCATCGCATCACGAGGGAAAAGGGTATCGACCGCATCGACGGTTGTACTAATCGTCTCAATCAGGATGGCCGCAGTTGCCGTACGTGGACGAGTACTCCGTACAGTGTGGACCTGCGAGCCTGGTGAAGCATGAAAATCTGCGGAGCCATCACCAACCTTACGAATATAAAATATGGGACACCCTCAAAACTCATATGAAATACTTGTATCTCGCACTCCCCGTCCCCTCCCGCCATCGCTGTCTGTCACAGCGACATGCCGATGACGTCGTCGATTCAAGCCACAACCACAGGAAAGGTGTGCAATGGGGCGGGACTCTTGCTCCATTTTTTGTATGGGTACCTTGTAAGGCTGGCGGTGGAGTGTCGATGATATCGATGATGTCAAATGCTGCGTTCACACCCCTCCTCCCCACCCACACACCCCTTCTGGAAGATCCCTCCCGCCTTGTGAGGCTGGAGAGTTCCGCCTATTAGCGACCCGCACGGGCGCCGCATGCAGCGTCGTCGATCATCAAGCGATCAATATCCGTACTTTGGTAGCTCGAGCTCGCTCGAGGTACGAATATGGAATGGAGGCAGTGTGCGCATGTGACATTAATCCAGCCTTGCGGATGGTGTACACAGTACTCGTAAATCCACATTAGACGATGAGCTTACTGTGCTCGTACACAGTACCCACCATGTAAGATGTACCTCGTACTGCAACGGGCACCATTCACGCCCACAGAATGTACACGGTCGGAGGTTGCCAATCAATAATATCGGTTCTGTTGGAACCTAGTGCGAGGATTGCCTAGTAATCGTACTCGCAGGGACATCCGAGATGAGGTCTTCCCGGAGTTCATTGCCGGCGACATCAAGGTCTACTCGTACTCAGTAGACCTGGGTGACCTGGCAAAGATGCACGGAAGGTTCGAGTACTCTTAGAGCACACTTGACTTTGCGGGGTACAGTACTCGTAGCTTTGGACGTCTTGGGGGCCATTCTCACTGCATCCTGGGTACTCGGACTCCGACAAGCTTTGGATTCACAAAGCTTCTGTCCCCGAAAGTTGCCGTTCCGGGTTGCGCTTGCTTGCGACTTAGGAAGGTTCAAGGACAAGCCTACGATAAGCATAGAAGTGATGGAAAGGGCAATCGTAACAAGTAGTGGGCTACTGTTTGCGGTAAGCTGCAATATCGCCCGCACTGATGGGCTACGAGTACCATTATTCGGCACAGTGGTCAAGCGCCTTTGTGGGGATTTACATGTTCGAACCTTAGTAGATTCACGATTACCAGGGCTCCTCTGGCTCTTGAGTATACTGAATTGATGGGGTGAGCAAGTTTCCTTGCTGCAGAGACATCTCGCGGCTATTACACCAAGTTTTAGGGTCGAAGGTCGGTGCCGGGTGATCTGGGCTTAAGTCAGAGTAGCACAGGCCATCTCTGTCCGCCCGGTTCGAGTGCCCCTACAGTACCTTAGGACTTGTCACCATGGGGAAGTATAACTTCGAACCGGCAAATCAGGAATCATAATCGGACGTCTTGGGAGCTATGATTTGCAGGAAAACAAAAAGGTTTGGGTTTCATAGACATTAATACATTCCTCATGCTTCATTTCCTGCAGCTACTTAGCAGTATCATGTCATTTCTCCCAGTAGAGTTTTCCGCTGCTCCACTGGCCGCTCGGCGTCGAAACAAACTCATACGTCCGGAGGGTAATCCTGTTTGTAGGACAGAAAGTCGCCATTTCCCCACAGCAAAAGCAGCGCTCTTGACTCAAGCTGATCTTCTGGAAATCAGCGCTTCTCATCGGATCCTCGGCGCCGCGACCCTCGCATTCAACAATCATACGCTTGCGAACGGCCCCAACTCATCAACGATATGTGCTTTACATCGCTTCGCTCGCTCGTCGGTTACCAGCACCGCCACACTGAGCGGGGTAAAAGAGCGAAATCAACCCCGCCATGAAAAAGGGAGCTAATTTTCCCGACGTGAGTCGCGGCTGCAGGACCTGATTCGACGGCAGCATCTTTGGTGTTGGCGCAGGCCATGCCCAGCTGATGTCCACAGAAGAAACTTTCTGTGAGGGGTATCTTGGATCGCAGGTCTCCTTGATCAGTCAACGCAGAAGCACATACATGTTCAATGCTGGTCGTTCCCGGAGGCAGAACAAATCAGGTCGTAGATAGTACACGGGTAAGAAAAATGATTAGCCGATGTCCGTGCTTTCAGTCGGTTGGCAGCGGAGTGTGAACCTCGAACTCTGCAGACCGGTTGAATTCTGGGAGGGGAGGGTGTAGCATTGGATCTGCAGCTGAGTTGGAGAAGAAGTTATCGGGCAAGGTAGGCAATCCTGAAAAGTGCATCTGCTGATAATCGGCAAAATTGGTCCCTGTAAGTGCCAGCTGCTGGCTGAAGAATTCGTTACCGAGCGCTGTCACATGGGCTTGGATCTCTTCTGGCGATTTACACCCGTCGCAGTTTGCATGTGCAACGAGGATGGCGTTCATCTGTTGAATTTCATCTTTCAGGCGCATGACCTGGTCTTTCAGGTATGCGTTCTCGACTGCTTTGGTTTGTGAGTCCCGTTGGAGTCTTTCCGTCTTTTCTTTCTTGTTGATGCGACACTTTGCAGCGGCCAATCTGTTCTTTTCGAGCGACTGTTTTCTTTTCTGGTCGTCTGGAGCGCCATCTTGCTCCTCAGGAGTGGATGCCTTCCGCGCGGACTTGCGCTTGCGGCCTGCAGTAGTCGTCTTCGTGGGATTGGCAGAAGCAGTCTCCGCAGCCTTAGTACGGGGCTTGCCTTTCTTTCGTGGTTCGGTGGGGAGAGTCTTTGGTGACAATTTCTCATCTTTGCTGATGGTGCTGGCTGTAGAGTTTGATCTTGGAGGTGTCATCTGGCCGAATCGTGACACTGCTGTCTTGGTGTTGGGCAACGTGGATGCGATAAATTTGTCCACCTCGTAGATATCCAGATTGACCAGGTTCTCGGTGGTTGGCTTCAGCTCGTCCTCACGTTTGAACTCCGGCCATTGCGACGAATAGTCGTTGGGAGGGCTGTAGACCGTGTAGTCATTGTGGGTTGCATTGGGTCTTGACGGCGGGTCGAATCCAAAGTCATCGTCTTGAGCAGAGGCATAGCTGGAGGCGGTAGGAAAATGATAGTCCCGAAAGCTGTAACCGTCAAGGTCGCTGATGCTAGGGGTTGCTGAAGAAGCGCCCGCTGAGGACATGCCTGAGTGACTGCCTAGAACGGCCATGACTGAGGCGCCTGTGAGCTTCGATCGCCAAAAGTACTGACGGTAGCTGCAGCGTCGATGTTGGCGGCGTTTCTCAACGGACTAAGAGTTGCGACTGACGCTGATACTGATGGTGGCGCAGGCTCCAGTTGCAGACGTTGCGTAATGTAAGTCGTTTGTCGTCAAATGTTTGTCTGGATCAATTTGGAATGGTGGTACAGGAAGGGGGGAATGTTTTGTCCTTCCAGAAGGAGGGGTATGAAAGATTAAGAGGGTTCCTGGGAGAACTATCCGGGTGTGTGTGGGCGAGCTTGAATATTATTTTGATCAGCAATCGCAGTGAGAAGCGATGTGGAACTCGGAGGAAAGATCCTGATTGAAATCCAAGGAAGGGTCGGGGCTGAAAATAGTGAGGCACAGGTGAGGGTGAGCGACGTGTTTGATGCGGTGGACACGCGGTGGGCTAAATGAGCCGCGGTCGTTGAGAGATTGTGCACAGAACACACGATCGGGAGATGCCCTAACGGTAGCGCGGCGGATTTCCGAGCCGGTTTGTGTGGTGAACAGAGGTAGGATGGGGCAAGAGTGGCTTTAACCTGAACCCAAGGCGTACGAGGTGTGAGAAGGAAGGCAGCGTTTTGCAGGGGTAGAGTGGCTGACCCGGATCACAAGGGAATAGCGACGGAACTTGATTCCATGCAGGAAAATGTCTGCGAGGGACGAAGATGAGAGAGGAAGTGTGCGGGAAGCTGCACGCAAATCAGAGACGACAAAGGAATCTGAGAAGTCCTTGGAAGCAGCCTAGTGTCCTGGAATGGCATCTGCAGGACTGCCGATTGATCGTTCTGTGGAGAGGATACAAGGATGAAGGCAAGGTGAGAAACTGATGGTACATTCCGATGCACGAATTGAAGTGCACTGAGTGGTCACTGCTTGGGATGACCTGTTCACGTCTATCGGGCTTCTGTGCCTGCATCTACGAGCACCACCCCTCAGCAGCAGCTTGATCGTCGGTGGAGATATCCAGATTTTGGCGTGTCACGGCCTGCCGTGCAGGCATGGGAATTGTTCAGATACCCATAGCAGGGCAGATCAGCAAGCGTCCAGCGCCTCTCGGGGTGTGGATTCCGCCCAATAGATCTGCTTGACGAACTGCATCGCCGATCACCTTGGGACTCAGCATCGGTGATCGCCGCTTACATAAAACAGGAGCTGTGCCAGATCTCCGGGGCTACGTCAACGTGCAGCAGACCTTTTCGCTGCCTGCCCTGAGACTCTTCCGCCCCAGGTCAAGTTAGGACAGATCGTGGGGAAGAGGGGCTGGGAAGTTAATTATGGACGAAGAGATCCTTTAGCTTTTCAGTTGAACGAAAAGAAAAGAAGAGGGTACGAGTAGTTACGGTTATCACAAAGGACTTATTCTCCTTCAGAGAACGGAGCTGGGCACTATGTCATAGCCAAGGTACGTCATGCTGCTCGTCCTCATGGTCTGCGGGCCAAATATCCGGGACAGTCTCACTCTTCGAATTGGCAGCTCCATGTGGGCAAAGTCCCCAGATACTGGTGGCATGTGCCTCATCCTCGCGCCACCGCTTATTCTGTCCGTGGCGGGTGCCGTGGCCGTCCCATTCTTACTCCAATAAAACACAGGTAATCCGGCCGGATGTTTAATCCTTGGAGCGACATCTCACTGGCGCCACAATGGCGAAACCCCAGTTCTGTCAGAGCCATGCCGTCATATGAAACGGCCACCCAGAGCCACGTCCTCGGTCCTACGAGTACGTACTTGGTACCTCGTACAAGTAACAGGTACGAGTACGAGGTAGCCAGTATAGGAGTACATGCTCGTCCAATTACAGCAATATGGCCACTAGCGCGAGAACCCCGGCACCCGACGCGATCCATCGCAACTGCTGGCCCCCCATTTTAACGGCATCGTCGTTCTGGGTTGTGGAAGTAGCATTGCCTCCACTGGATGTGGCACTGGCGCTCGATGTGCTTGTCGTTGCGGAGGCACCCTCACTTGCCCCGGTTCCTGCGCTTGTGCTGCTGGCGCCATTACTGGGAAAAGCTGTGAGTGTGATCGGGATGAAAGCTCTGATGTGGCGTTAGCATGAATCGTGTTTTTAATTTATGCGATACCGAAGGGTTTGCAATTCGCACATGTCCTTTGCAATACTTACATGTCAGATGCAGAAAGTGCTGTAGTAGACACAGACGTGGTGAGTTGAGTGTTGAAGGATGCATCGGTTGCTGTTAGCGAGTCGTCCGTTGCTGTATCGCTTTCGAGGTACCCTGCTGGCCCAATGTACGTCTGAGCACATACAGCGGCTGTCGTCCCCGTCACGGCGCAGTCGAGTCCAAGAGTGAGCAAGTCGAGTGTCTGCGTGTATATGAGCGTTGACGACCCGAAGGTTGCCGTGACCTGACCGAGTCCAAAGCCACAATCAGAGGAGTCCTCGCCCGCAGGACAGCCGAATGCCACGGTCGTTTTGGTAGCATCCTAGATTGAAAAGGTCAGCATTCGGGGCATGTCGACCTCAGAGTGGAGCAGCATACAGATGCCACGAGAGAGCCCACAAGCGTTTGCTGATCAGTATCTGGGAGGAAGACACTAATGACCGAAGAACTCTGAGCGCTAACCATGCCGGCAAAAGCCAGCGCTGTGGCGGCAGTTCTTATCAGGCTGGCCATCTCTGTATACTGATTTCTTCTCGATGATTTATGCTTGACCTCAATACTGACGAAGGTGAGTGATCAATTTGGTCGGATGTAAAGGACAACGTAAATCGAATGGAAAAACAGCAACAGTCTATCGAGAAGGGGCTAAACATTTTTATTTTATCGTCAGGCATTTGGCCGTCGCCTGGGGCAAGGAGCATTCTTGGGAGATTGGCATCTCACTGAGTTGGTCGAGGTGCTGTTCCGTTTCAGGCGCCATTCTGAAACTTGCCCCTTTCGGCCCAATCGTCGAGCCGCTCGAAAGGGTTAAGCGTTGCTATTGGACCTGGAATCAGATGGTTCAGGGGTAACTGGATGGAAGGCGTCTACTGGTATGTACCCCATAAGAGAAGGACGTGTTCTGTTGACACGGACCGGTTTCGAAGCCAACCCGATGATACGAGTATCCCCTGTTGTTGGAGTAAGTACCTCGTGTTCGTCGAGGGGATACGGAGTACAGCATCGCGCCTTGTCACAAGCCGGTACTGTGTAGACATCTAGCAGCTTTACAGACATGCCACCACGAAGAACAAACGGCGTCAAGCAAGATACGAGCTCAACCCTACAAGTGCTGCACCTTCTCGAGAGGCCAATCTCTCGGGCTGAATACTGATTGGAAAAAGAGATTGCGAAATGCACCAGCGACACAATTACCAGAAGGGAAGCTCGGTCGACAGCGACTTTGGACTTCCATATGCTGAAAATAGTCCACCAATTCGGGCTCTATATCCAGAGGCAGAAGCTTCTGTCTATCGCTACTACTCCGTACAGATCCTGCAGTTTCTTTTCACGCGCCATGTGATCTAAAGGCGGGCTTGAGACTCGCGATTCCATCTAACTCCCTTTCCGTCATTGGTAGGAGCAGTCTTGCGAGCAAGAACGTCTTGGACCTTTTCTCGCACGCCAACCTTGTTCTTCCACTGCTTCAGAACTTCGTCTGCGACTCTCTTCGGCCCTTCCTTACCTACTTGCTTGACCGCCGCTTGGATGTCAGACTCCCGTGGTAAAGCGAAGCGGGCATGCGGGTAATCAGTGTACCGCTGGTCACGGGCACCTTCATGGGGATTGACGAGCTGCAAAGCCTCTTCAGACCTGGGCGGTTCAAAGAATGTGTCGACGTCTGCATTGGACACATCTTCCAGCTTCGCAGGATTCCACTTTGGCTGTGTGGGAGGTTTGTTGATGAGCCGAGCGGAGACTCCCTCGACGAAATCCGGATGCGCCATAAATCTGCTGGCGATCTTGTGTTCGCGTACGAACGTCTCGCTGATATTCCAAGTCTTTCCTTCTCTTAATTGGCGGAGGGTAACACGAAGACTGGTTGGCGATCGGATCGCGATGGTTTTCTGGGTTGCTTTGGCCCACTCGGCGAGGTATTCATCAGATGATTGGGCCTCTTTCTGTAGAGCCGCGAGGATCTCTTCTATAGTGTCGAACTTGAAGATTCGGTCGATAGCGTCTCGAAGAGGGCCTGTCAGGTTACCGTGTTTGGCGGCTGGGTAGGAGTCTGGAGACGGTAGGCTGCTTGTAAATTCAGAGATGGTCGAGTCGATGAGTTCCAGTCGTTCGTTTAGATCTGCGTAGTCCTTGAAGACAAGTTCGGAAAGACGCGTGGTCATTTGCGCTAGTACGGAGCTGTCAATGTAATGTGTTGCAATGCCCGCATAGAAGGCCTGCACGCCATGAAGTCGCTCGGAAGTCAGTGCAAGGTACGTGCCAATCTCTCCGTCAAGGCGAGGAAGGAAGAAGCTCCCTCCAACGTCAGGGAAGAAACCGATGGTTGTCTCGGGCATAGCAAAAACCGTCTTTTCGGTAGCAATCCGGAAAGGCGCATGGACCGACAAGCCAACTCCACCACCCATCGTGATACCGTCTATGATAGCGACATACGGCTTGCTGTACGTTGCGATGAGGTGATCCAGTTGATATTCGAGGGCAAAATAATCCGACGACTTCTGCTGTCCTTCCGGCCCATTCTTATTCTGCAGAGCAAGCTCTGCGACATCACCGCCTGCGCAAAATGCCTTTGGTCCGGCCCCACTGATCAATATAACATTCGCCATCTGGGACTTCTCCCACTCTCGGAGCCGGGGGAGAATCTTTCGAGCCATCGAGCCGTTGAGCGAGTTAAGTTTCTTCGGTCGGTTTAGTTCGATCGTGCGGACACCGTAGAGGGAGTTGAAGAGGACATCGTCCGGGTCGTCGCCGGGTAATTCCTTCGGCATGGCACCGTAAAGGACCTTTGTAGAAGACATCTACATACAGTGAGCTCAACCTCAGCTTTCCATCGGCGTGGGACTGACTGCTCTTCGGCCGGCGGCCAATGGACTGGATCGGGCTTTGGAACTCGCTGTGAAGCGCGCTGTCCTTGCTGCAGTACCGGGTGTAAGAAGAGATGCCGCGTATCTGGCGCAGCAGGCCTTCATATCGAAGCGAAGACAGAAGATAGTAACGTAGGGTCTTATTCCCAAAGGTCGATCGTGTCGGCAACTCTGGGGCAAGGAACGGCTATTTGGCTATTTAGAACGAATACGAAGTACGGAGTAGCCTCGGATGTTTTCTGGCATTCCAGCAAGGGAAGGTGAACCGACAAATCACTCGGCAGTCTTTGTCACGTGCTTCGTCTGTGCGGGAGGCGAATTTGGATATTCTGAGTAATACAACGGGCACTTTTTCTAAAATCTTTAGAACCTTCCACCTCTGCTAGACCTCCCTTCTGCGGCGGTGTCCTCGAAGCTGTTTTTGTTTTAGAAAAATATCCTTGTTTCTAAGTCTAGGATAAGACCTATATCCATCCCGCTTCGCCATGTCGATGGACTTGGACGCATCAGTCGCTCTCCCTTCAAGGCATGCGCCACAGGCAGCGACGATTCTGTGCTGCAACTGTGGCGTGCCCATAGATGGAACCGCCTCGGCAGGCGCTCTATGTTATGACTGCATCAAGCTAACGCACGATGTATCGGAAGGGATTCAGCGGGAAGGGGTTCTTCACACTTGCAGAGATTGCGAGCGGTGGTTAAACCCGCCCTCACAGTGGGTATCAGCAGCGCCTGAAAGTCGTGAACTGCTCTCGCTGTGCCTCAAGAAACTCAGAGGCCTCAACAAAGTCAGGATAATCGACGCCAGCTTTCTGTGGACGGAACCCCATTCGAGACGGATCAAAGTCAAAATCACCGTACAGCAAGAAGCCTACGAGGGTACGATCCTGCAGCAGACTTTTGAAGTTGAATATGTGGTCGCTTTCCAGCAGTGCCCAGAATGCGCAAAGTCATACACACCCAATACCTGGCGGGCCTCAGTACAAGTTCGGCAGAAGGTGCCGCACAAACGCACATTCCTGTATCTCGAACAGCTCGTCTTGAAGCACCAAGCACACAAGGACACCATTAACATAAAAGAGGTCAAAGATGGACTCGATTTCTATTTTGCTCAGCGCAATCAGGCTGAGAAGTTTGTTGACTTCCTCACCTCCGTCGCTCCTGTCAGAGTCAAGAAGTCCCAGGAGCTGATATCAATGGATGTCCACACCTCGACAAAGTCATACAAGTTCACTTTCTCTTGCGAGCTACTACCGATCTGCAAAGACGACCTGGTTGCTCTACCCATCAAAATGGCCAAGTCCATAGGCAATATTGCCCCACTAACGCTCTGCTACAGAGTGGGTACATCAATCAACCTGCTCGATCCCACTACATTGCAAACAACCGATCTACCGAGCTCGACTTACTGGCGGGCACCCTTTAAAAATCTAGCGGATGTTGGGGAATTGGTGGAATTTGTTGTTCTCGACATTGAGCCGACCGGTCAGCAGAATGGTCGGTTCTTCGGAGCCGAGGCCACAGTTGCACGTGCTTCAGACTTGGGTGTGAATGACAAGACCTACTATGTCAGAACGCACCTCGGTGGAGTATTGCACGCTGGAGATTCGGTACTTGGCTATCATTTGACCGGGACCAACTTCAACAACCCACAGTTCGAAGAGCTGGAGCAGAGCAACAACTATTCGTCTGCGATCCCAGATGTGTTATTAGTCAAGAAGTTCTACGCCCGGAAGAAGAAGCCGAAGTCTCGAAGTTGGCGACTCAAGAGGATGGCAAAGGACGAGGGCGAACTCCTACCGAAGAAGGCCGATCAAGAGAGGATGGATGCGGACTACGAAATGTTCCTAAGGGATGTGGAAGAAGATGCGGAACTTCGACAGACACTAGCATTGTACAAGGCCAAGCAGCAGAGGAAGAAGGATGCTGACGAGATGAGCGTGACGACGGCGCAGACCGATGATGAAGTGCCTAAGATCAATATGGACGAGCTGCTGGATGACTTTGAGGACTTGGATGTCAATGACGACGAATGAGGTGACGCATCTATGCAACTGGAGCAGCTTGTGAGGCACGGTCACCAGCATTAGGTGCCCGATTGCTGTTCGGGTGTTGACGATCATGGATGGCCATGAAGCCATCACTGGCGCCTGTAACGTTCGTCGACAGTACTCTGTCTCTTGTAGTGAGCGACACCCAAGGTTGTCCTAATGAGCAGACAACTGAATATATCATCAGTCTCTGCACAACGTGAGCCACCACTCTGATCGTCGACTAGACCTCCAGCAGCTTCCCTAGCACTCCTACGGTGGCTACCAATACAATAACATTCCTGCACGACTTCCAGCACATGTTGTACCGCTGTAGCTTCCACCCATCTCTCACTACCTACTCACTACCCACTCACCACTCCGCTACTCTGTTGCTTGTATGACGTCATGGTTCGAATCTCGGCGACAAGTCGGCCACTCCCAAGTAAATTTCGTATTGCCGGTCAAATGAGTCAAGATGAAGCTGTCCTCGTGTCTTCCACTGTCTAAAGAGCAGGCCGTTCGACTCCAGGCACCGACAGGCTGTTGACGCTGGTGGCCCCAATCCGAAGTCTTTGTATTGACGTTGTAAAGCACGCCCTTGGAGCTGGCCTAAAGTTGGAAGGGGCTCGAATCGCGTGGCACCTTTTGCCAAGATCATGCATCGCTGTAAGGCAACCTGGCCGATGTTTGAGGTTGAGTGAAAGCATCGGCATTACGCGGTAAGGTGAGAGGTGCTTCGTTGCAACCGCGTGGGTGCTATTCCAAGGGGGAGTCGCAGTACTCCAAGAACAGTTTTTCGAACGTGGTCGTCCTAGCTGCTATGGTTGTTACTTCTGCCATCCCTTAACACCATTACGCCTTCTCCAGCATTGCATGATGGGTTCTGGCTTCTTCCGCCGCCCGACCGACGGAAGCTCTAGCTCTAGCGGAGACGGCAATGAGTCTGAGGAAGAAGAGCTGCACACTCTACAAACAGACGATGGGAACGAAGGCGAGACACAGACCCTTACCACAGAGTCACTGCCCAGCCATGGAAGTGTGTCCCTAGGGGATGACGCCGATGCAACAGCGGTCTCTAACGTCGACCGGCACCGAACCAATTTGCTTAGTGCCCTGCTCGAGGACTTTGCGAGGAATAGAGCCAGCGACTACTTGAATGAAGCGGTTCCAGGGTCCAATTTCGACAGAACCTCACCTGAAGTCCAGTCGTTGGCAGAAAGCGTGTATCAACAGGTCCGTCAGTCACTGGCACTTACTGGCATTCTCCCAGCAAACAATGCAGAAGATAGCAATCCGCAAGCACGAGCAGCCTACTTAGCAGGTATCGAGAGTCTCGCGTTGGCCAAGGTCAATGATCATAATTTCCTACCGGGGCAAGCTCGCTCACAACTTCCACCACCTGGACAACATCTTGCCGTCGCCTCGGTAGGCAGCCAGAGACAGGGTCTTGCCCCACAGTCCCGTCAACAGAAGTTCGGAAACCTCTTTTCACATCCAGGCCAGAATCATTCGTCCACACCGTTCTCGGACCTGATCTTCTCAGCCCCTGAAGCGCGTCGCAGTCACTATGAGTCGAGTTTTCAACAACTTCGGTTACTTGGAAAAGGAGGCTTCGGCCGAGTGTATCACGCTTACAACATTTTTGACAAGAAGGAGTATGCCGTTAAGAAGATCCCCCTAAGCCCTCGATTATCGCAGCGATATCGGGAGTCTGGGCATCAAGAGCTGGAGAACGTGCTCAGGGAAGTTCAAGCATTGGCTCAGCTCGAACACAACAATGTAGTCCGTTATCATGCCACGTGGATCGAGGAGCCAAAGCACACGCCTGACGCCGTTTATCAGCGAAGATACCGGAACATTGCAGTAGAAGGCAGGAGACTCATAGCTGATCGTGCAATACACTCACCACCCAGGGCCGTTCGCACGCGTTCTCCGACTCCCGATCACAGCGACGGCATCATCTTCGGCTCCGACAGTCGGTCAAGTATGCCTGTCCGCGAAGTGGAGGGCGACGCCGCCGCGCCGCTGTGGTCTGGAGGTGAGACCGATCCAGAACCCTCCTCTGCACGAGCCTCGGAGATATTCACGGATGGCAATGCTCGACCCAGTCTCTCCCGCGACTCGGTCATGGACGATACGGTGTATGTGCTGCATGTCCAAATGTCAGTGTATCCGACCACATTGGCACAATATCTAGCACCGTTACAAGCGAACAGCAGAAGTGCGCTCAGCGTGCCGGCAAGGAGACACTGTTTCCACCTGATACCAGCGCTTCGCCTACTGATGGGCATTCTATGTGGCTTGCAATACATCCACGCGAGGGGACTAATTCATCGCGACATCAAGCCTTCAAACATCTTCATTTCAACCTTGGATCTTTCGGCGACAGGTCTTGTCCCTGACGGCTATCATGACGTGGGATCATGTGTTGGATGCCAAACCTCCAGTCCGTACTTCGTCAACCCACGTATTGGTGATTTCGGTCTCGTCGCTGAGCTGGCGAGAAACGATGATGGCAATCAGCCAAAGAGCGCCGCTAAGCCTGTTGGGACGGAATACTACAGGCCACCTTCAGCGAAGGCCCTCAGAGGCAATCACGCTGACGAGAAATTGGACGTTTTTGCACTTGGTGTCATTCTTGTCGAGCTACTGTGGCCATGTTCCACCAGCACCGAGCGGATGCACGTTTTACGAGATGTCCAGAAAGGGAAAGTTCCGCCTCAGTTGGCTGAGAAGATCGGACAGGAGGGACACGAAGCTGGTGTTGGCCACTCGGTCATCCAATGTATATCAGGGATGATCGAGAGGGATCCAGGGCGCCGATGGGGTTGCGCACAGGTCAAGGAATCAATAGAATCGTTGCTGGAAAGGTGTAAGACTTTAGCGCCTACTGACAGCCATAGCGCTCTCGATGGGAATAACGCGGCTGATCTGGCTGGGATGATCAAGGTCATGAGCATAGATGAATCGACCGAGCAGGAGTCAACGCAGAGCGTGGACGAGGCGGTCTAATCGACACCCGCAGCGTGGGATCCGTGCGACCTCTACCTCTGATCGCAGTTGACGACTATCAGTGGTTGGGCTGTTCTTTCTAGGTTGTAACTCGGTCAATGGTCGCACATGTTCAATATGCTCCTCTGTGTTTTGACATCTACAATTAGCTGGTCGTCGGGTAGAAATTCCACTGGGCTGGATCGTTGAGTTCCGGGGGATAAGTTCACACTCTTGCTAGAAGGAGATCCTGACTCTATTGGTGACCACGTGGTCGTCAGAGAGCATAGGTACATATATCCAGTACCTCCTTCGACGTGAATTGTGCCCTAGAGCCAGAATCTCAAGCTCTCCCTGAAGTGGCGCAAAAGCAAGTCGTGGTCCACACACTCCGCAGTACCAGGTAGAGGAGACAAGCTACAGTCGACCATTCCGCCTCCATAGCGTCGTCGGTCAATTTGCCGATGTTCCCCCACCAAAGATTTCCTTCGGGTTCACTTTCGCTTCGGTTGACGACCAACAACGAAATCATTTTCCCGTGACAATGGCAGCAGAAAGGCGGAATACATACCTCGACGCCGGCGTGTCGGACGACTCCGACCGCGACACGGGCTATGACTCAGAAGCCGCGGAGATCTCTAAAGCCAGACGAACAAGTAAGCGGCGGAAGATCCAGCACGAATACACAGACCAAGAGGACGAAGACGACGAGGACGAGATTGATTCCAGAACTGAGCGACGGACGAACACCACACTTGAGAAACACGGCGCTGTTCATGCGCACGCAGAGCCACAGCAGCAGAGGGAGGTAGACGAGAACACTGACTCAGCGGGTGAGGACGAGGACACCAAAGGGAAGGACCAGCAGATCTTGACCCAGCCGCAAAGCGAGCCTGCCATCAGCTGCCAGAAAGAAAAGAAGCAGAAGAAGAAAGTCAAAGACAAAGACAAAAAGAAACCCACGCCGGGTGTCGTCTATCTTTCGTCCCTACCTCCGTATCTTAAGCCCTCGGCGCTGCGAAACCTTCTCGACCAGCGCGGCTTCTCGCCCATCGCGCGGATCTTCCTCTCTCCGGCGTCAAAATCCAACAAATCACATTCTGCGGGTGGCAAGAACTCGCGCCAACTCTATACGGAGGGGTGGATTGAATTTGCGTCGAAAAAGACGGCGAAGAGATGTGCAGAGACATTGAACGCCAGTACTGTAGGAGGCAAGAAGGGAGGGTATTATCGAGATGATGTGTGGAATATGAAGTACCTAAGGGGGATGAGGTGGGAGGAGTTGATGGCCGGCGTAAGGGAGGAGAAGCGGGAGATGGAAGGCCGGAGGGACGAAGAGAGGAGAACCATCGCGAGGGAGACGAGGATGTTCGTGGAGGGCGTCGAGGAGGGCCGGAGACGGGAGGGGATGAAGAGGAAGAGAGAACAAAAGAAGAAGTCACCACAGCCGGCGGGAAATGCTGAGCAAGAGGGCGACGGACCCGGGGACCCCAAGAGAACGTGGCGACAGAATGAAGTCCTGGGGAACAAGAGGAAAGATCAAACAGGCGGAGACGACAAGATTAGCGACGACGTCCGGCAAGTGCTGGGCAAGATCTTCTGATCCGTGCATTCAGAACCTCACCTGGTTCTGCGGCGTATTCTGCGCAAGCCTTGACTACCATCAGGACGACGTCTATATGGAACGCTATCTCGCTGTTTCCAGTCGGAATGGATGTGCCTCAGTATTGAACACAAATTCATCCAGGCTCACGACGGTTGGGTCCTCGAACAGCAACCACATGTACTTCAAGGTCTCTGCCATCCAGAAACTCTCCATTCGGTCGGTCTTTTTGGACTCCGACACGGTGATATCTTCGATACTCGAGAATCCATATGCCGTTCTGGTCTGCTTCATGATTGCCTCGAACATGCGCCACGCATCGTCGCGCAACGACTCATCACCCGTGATACGGTAGAGCACGAAGATGGACTCCAGGGCTTCTGGACGCAGAGCGTATTGACGATCTGCGATGGCGGAAATGCCCTTTGAGAACCGCAGGCGGTGGGATTTTTGACGGACACGCACATCTTCCGGCAGGAGTTTATCCTCGGGCGATTCGTCCTTCGTGTTGAGCTCAAACATGGCCTCTGCCCAACGTTGTTGGTCCCAAGGGCATTCGGGGTGCTCCTCAGAGCAAGGAACGGCATGCAACATCTCGGGCATGATGCCGGTCGCGGTCTGGTTATACGCCCAGATACAGCCACGGACCAGTTTCTTGGCCGTGTCCATGTCCTCTGGCGTGTCGAACATTCTTGCTGCCAATGCAAACATGCCGCCTGCAAAACATGCCAGATGTTGCGTCTGGGGTATCAGCTTCGTGTGGCCAGGTCTATAGGCCTTCACCATGCCCGCTAGAAGAATGTCCGCGTTCGTTGGAGTCATGGGCCTGAAGAGGATGGAGCTTTTGATCGGGCCCTTGGCGATCTCGTAAAGCGTTCTATACTGTTCAGCACCGCCACCCAGTAGCTGATACTCCTTGGGGAAGTATTCGTACACCGAGTCCGCAGACCCGCCCAGGGAGAAGGATACCCCATCAAAGAAATAGCAATCTCTGGCGTTGACGATATGGGGGAATAACCCCGGAAATCTTGTCTGATTCTGCTGGCTTTCCAAGCAGTCGGTCACGCGCTGCACGGCATCGTAGTACCTTGGATCCCCTGTCAACTGCGTGAGCCTCGTGAACTCGAGACTGAGCGTGCCCAGCTCTGCAATCAGCGTCTGAGCATTTGGCGCCTCAATGCCGGGGCCAATCTTCGACCATTTCGTGACGGGCATGTGATTCTGCGTGTCGAAGGCCTCGTACAGCATGTCCCCTAATTCCCTCGCCTTGTCAAGCAAGATCGGATACCTGCCTCCGCTCACATCATACGCCCCAATCAGGCCGCCGAGGTATCGGATGGTCGTCTCAAACACGTTAATCGGCAGTTGCGTGGCGGTGGTGAAGTCAATGTCCGCCACGGCGGCGACCGCCTCGTCAAACTCGGCCGTCATGCCCATCAGCCAGAGCGTGTCGAGCGCGTCCACGAGCGTGACGGCCCAGCCGCCTAGAGTCTTGCGAGATCCGCCCGTGACAGGAGCGAGCTCGTCCTGTAGCCAGGCGTTCTCGCGATAGCCGCGCCACGAATGTACCATGGCCTCCTTAATGATTTCGAGACGCGCGAGTCGAGTTTTGCCGCCCGCCGCACGGCCAACTCCTGCTGCCTTGAAGTCATGCTGGATCCGGGGCAAGACCTGCGCGGTCGTCGGCAGAGGGATATAGCTGGACACTGGGTTGAGGAGGTGGCCTGGTCCGACGCCGTATCGGCTACGGTAGCTACTACTGCGGGTGTCTTCCGTCACACTTTCGCGGGTTGTGTCTACGAATCGTTCCTGCAGACGCCAGAAGAGGAACAACAGCGTGCATGCGGCGGTGGAGAGGAGGACAATCCTTCTCAAGCGGATGGCCATCGGAAGTTGATGGCGTGCAGTTGAGCGTCGTGAGCGTCTCGATCAGCACGATCCAGCATGCCGATACTCGTACGGGCTCAGTGTCATTCTGAGAGACTCGTCGCCGCCGTTTGCCAACACAGTGCTCGGTGTACACAGTACGCAGAAGCCGTTGTGTGTGCTCCTACATTACCTGGCTCGCTGAGTTCAAGCCAAGAGCACTTTTAGCCTTGATCGCGCGTCTCGTTGCTCATGTTTTCCGCACAAAGGCCAGTCAGGAGTCTGTTACGACTCATGTCAGAGCCTCGCCGCCAAATCCGCCGCATAGGGCTTGGGCTTGGCCTCGCGACAGAAGGCTCCCGAGGCTCCCGAGGCTCCCTAATTAATTAAGCGCTAGGCACCGTGATTGACTCCTCACAGGCGCGAAAGGCTCGCGTCCGGGGTCTCGCCTGCCCAGCCGACAAGATGCATGACACGCGCCGACGATCAAGCCGCCTAACTAACCACATTAGTTTTATCACTATCCAGCTCATCATCTTCCCTGTCGACGAGCTTCAGCATGCATCTCCATGTGGCCTTGTCTCAGGCTCTGAGCATCTCGGCCACCTCGGAAATAAATGTCTCTGACCTCGCAGTCCATGCTGGAAAAGCTGAACACGATCATTCGCCGAGGCCGCGATCCGCCCAATCTCGCAAGTCCCGCTAACTCAGGCACAGCCGCAAACAAGGGGCGCTGATCTTCGACGGAATCATGGGCTTCTGGGTCACGGATGGGCTTTCCAGGCGCGCCAGGCGATCGGGTGGCGCCCCTTTTTATGCTTTGGGCTTGCACAGGGCCTGACCGGGCTTGCTTTGCTCCACAAGACGAATGCCGCTTGGGTATGTTCTGTCCATCATCACGGAGGAGCAGGGACCAGCCTTGACTGCTGGGGAGGTTGGAAGCTGTCTTCGAGCTATATACTTACATTGTCCATGCCAGTCCTTTGAGCAACGCAAAGTCATTCCTTTGAGAGCAGTTCCTCTCAGTCACTCGCTTGAAAACGCTCCCTGTCACAGTCATTCGTTTGTTACCATTCTGAATCAACCATTTCCGGCCGGTCGATCTGATTGATTACTTTCAGACCTTTCGCAGATTGAATATTTTACCAAACCTCCAAAGCAAGATGAAGTCAAGTCAACTGGTTGCCCTTGCGGCTGCAACGATCTCCGGGGCAGACGCCTATTTCAGAGGTTTCAACATTGGTGCCAACCTGCCCAGTGGAGCCTGTCGAAGCCAATCCGACTGGGAGTTCGCCTTCAACAAGATCGCCAGCTTTCCCGGCAACTTCAACAGTGCTCGACTGTACGCCTCGAGCGACTGCAACACCCTGGCCAACGCCGTTCCCGCAGCCCTGAACACGGGAACCACGCTGCTGGTCGGCGTCTGGACCGAAGACAACAACCACTACGAGGCGGAGAAGCAAGCGCTCCTCGAAGCCATTCAACAGTACGGCCACGACTGGATCTTGGCGGTGTCTGTCGGTTCGGAGGATCTCTACCGCGGCGACACTGACGCCAACACGTTGGCTTCCCAGATCAACGACGTCCGAGGCATGCTCTGGGGCCTCGGAGCCAGCGACAAGTCAGTCGGACACGTCGACACGTGGACCGCGTGGGTGGACGGCGCCAACACCCCTGTGATCGAGGCTGTCGACTGGCTCGGCAACGACGCATATCCGTACTGGGAAGGTGTCGGGATCGACAACGGTGCCTCGAGCGATGCGTACTGGGCGGCAGTCACCAAGGTCCGCGCAGTCGCCCAGGGCAAGGACGTCTGGACGACCGAGACAGGCCAGCCTATTTCCGGGGACACCGTCGGCAACGCGGTGCCCTCGGTCGAGAGCCTCCAGACGTACTGGTGGCAGGTCTCGTGCGCCAGCTTGAACAGCTTGAACTATTTCTTCTACGACCTCGACGACTTCAACGCCTCGCCCAGCTTTGCCGTCGTCGACTCGAACTACAACCCGTTGATTGACATGTCGTGCGGCGCGTGAGCCCGAACCTACCAGCCGAGTATATACCAACAATATGGAGTACTCTCTCTTGGCTTGAGAACGTTGAGCCGTTCCATCCTGACATAGATCCACATAGACACTCTTTCTTGCATAGCGTGGTTAGAAAAGGGACGCATCAAAATACACACCTCGGCCAGGACATAGACTCAAATTCATGTGCAGGGGACATACTATATATGCTATTCCGTGTGTACGGCACGTACCCATATACACCTCCTGGTACTGCGTAGTTGCCGTGAATTCAAGAAGACCAATATCCCTCATGACGAGAAACACCGCCAACTGCACTTCTTCTGAATCCCGGGTTTATTCCCTGCGCTACCAATCCCTCCCACACCATGGAACAGACATTTGGCGAATAAAGTTCGTCACGTAAAGAACGAAGAGAAAGTAGAAGTGACACAACTCGCAGAGCTCAGATCGGCAAAACAGAGTGATTTCACGGGAATAAAATCAAATGATGTCGGCTGGACAAATCAAATGGTCGTCATCATCGCTGCTGGTTTGTTCACGGGGAACTTTTCAACAGCGGATGTGAAGGACTGTCCTTCCTTTTGAATCCTTCCTGCATGATGGGCACGTTGACCATGAGCCAGCTTCCTGATGTCCGTGTCGAGGTCCTTGAGGGTGTATGGTTGAAGGGTGTATGGTTTGGGAATATGGAAGAATAAGGAAGGGTGGTTGAGCCGCGGATTGAGACGGTTGCGGTATGTGGGAGTGCTGTGTATACAGTACGTACGGAGTAAGGAGATTGTGAACGCCATGTTCAGACGACGGTGGAGTGGTACTCCGTACATACTCGTCCATTCTCATCGAGCACGTCGTGCCGGTTCTAGAACAATGCTCGCAGCTCAGAAGCATGACATTGCGGCATTATCGACCCCAGTCGTGGCCAGTTGGTCGTTCTGAGCCCGCACGGGCTGTGACTCATCCGCCGACGGGAAGCAGCATTCTGTCTGACACCAGATATAGCACGATTGGACCACCCCTCGCTGCCCACGCTGCCGTCGCTGCCCTCGATAGGCACACCTCCACCTCATTGAAGTCTGACTGTCTGACATCGGTTACATTCGGTCTAAGTCCCAGTTACGCAATATGGCATAGCGCAATGCATTCGATCCGCCCCGGACGACGAGCAGCTCAATCGCCTTTTCAATGCTCGACCCCTCCCCCTCCCACTTCCCCTTTCCTTCCTCCCTCTCTTCATACCTCTCGCATCCCGCCTTGCGGACCAGGCAAAGCAAGCAAGGCACCCAGATCACCACCCCGTCCTGAGCGGACGTCAACTTGGAAAATAGTCAACAATGGCTGTCACCGTCTTCGTCCGGCCTGTTCGAGAGCTCACTGCCCTCTACCCGCCATAAGGATCTCCTGTGGCCCGTGTGGGCATATCCGGTCTTGCAAAGTCATTATCCTCGGTCTTATCCTCTGGTCCATGTCAACCGTCAATGCCATGGCCAGCGACACGTTCAATCATTACACAGCAACAACAACGACATCTCCAGTCATCCCGTCGGGGACTATCAGCATCATGCGTCCTTGATAGGGGCCTGTGATTTCGATCCCTTTGAGGATCTCAGTAGCAATGTCTACGACGAAGACACAGTCCAGGCGCTACAAGTGGCCACGCAGCATATCCCTAGGGAGGAAACAGACATGTTCCAGCAGGGAACGCAGTCTTTTTCTGCCCGGGAGGACCCAGGGGAAGACTCACACGGCATGAGCTTTTCGTTTGCCGAAAGCTTCTTCGCCAACCCTTTTGCTGTGTCTTTCCCGGGAGACCTCCCGTGCCCGTCGGGGCCGACATTCCAAGCGTCCTGTGGGGGTATGCCTGCTTCCGTCACGGCCATCGAAACAGGAAAGCGCGAGATGGCGGCTAGCCCGGCATCAACAGCAACGGCAGCGACGACAACAACGGCAACATTATGTTCTCTCCAGAAAGCCGACCTCGACCCTGACCCCTTCAAATCTATCACACCACCTGCGTCGACGGCGAGCACGCCTGCCACACTGGGCGGCGGCGGCGGCGTTTCGAAAACCAAGAATGGGCATTCAAGATACGGACCACAGATCCATTTCGTCGATATGGCAGACAAAAAAGGCGCGCAACGGATTCGCAATACAATGAACTCGCGGAAACACCGGCAAAACAAGCTGGATAAAATCCGAGAGCTGGAGAAGAAATTGGCCGATTTGGTAGCGGAGAAGGATAAATGGGAGCAGGGAAAGGTAAAGTAGTGGGAAAGAGTACGAGTACGGACCCAGAACTTCTTATGGAGTAGAAGGGATGATCTTGGCTGGATGGTGTGCCTTGATCCCGTCGCAATACTCGGTATTCCTACTCCGTGGTACTGTACTCCGTAAGCCTGAGATAGATAATCACGCTTGCTACACATGGACGTGCGCAATAGCAACCAAAGCCCTGCTGACGGGCGATGCGGTACCACGTGCTCGTACGGAGGACTGTATTGTATATAGTAAGATTCACAGCCTCGCCGAGCGAACAATCTCCAGTGCCTAATTCGCAAATATGTACTCCGTACTCCGTACTTTGTGCCGTTCTCCGGATAGAGTGCTCGCAGTCATAGGCCCGGCTAGACGTCGCCGACGGGTACTCTACGGGCTGCCTAATACAGTATCCCTTCCCTAGTACTCGTAGGTGCCTGGCCTTCCCCAAATTTATCCCCCAATCACTTGCCCACTGCCCACTGCCCTGGTTGCCCCTGATTGTTCCACCGGCCAGCCAGAGCGCGTCTCGCCCCCTGATTCCCCCTTGCAGCAACTGTAACTGACTGTACAGATCCCGCCACCGTGGCATGAGCTTGGAGATTCGCGAGAGATGCCACAAATTTTCTACATCGCGCATGCGTGATTTTCATTATCCTCCTTTTTTTTTTTACCGCCACTGTCACCATCACTCTCACTGCTGCGACACTGCATACTTTCTGCGTATTTATTTCACACTCGCTTGCCAAACCGAACCTCACCCTTACATTTACGTTCTTTTCTTTGCCTTTCGCATAGCGCATAGAGCGTTCAGCATAGAGCATAGAAATTCACTCGAGTCTCTCGTTCACGTTCACGAATCGCACCTCAAGTCAGTCCAACTCGACACAACACAACTCCAGTCGGATCGAGTCGGTCGAATCGAATTGCAACCCAAGCGATAGATATTAGACATCCACCACACGCACCACAAACAGCACACGTTTATTGCAACCCACGTCGAAGCCACATTCCACAATGTCGCACTTCACGATCGGCACCTTCGTCGCCACGACGGCCACGGCCCTGGCTCCCTTCCTCGCCGTGTATTACTTGCCCAGGCAGCAGACCCTTCAGACACCCGCGGCCGCGCTGGCGACGCTTCCCAAGCCCCGACCCTTGGCTGCCCTGCGTGAGACGCGGGAGCAGGCCGCTGGCACTAAGGCCAACTCTGCTACGGAGTTCAATTTACTCTAAAGGAGAGTCGTTGCATTGCGTTCGACGCTAAAAAAACAAGAAATACGAGATTTCTACCGCGAGACGAACGGAGTGGGTTGGCATTACAGCGAGAGGGGCGTGGCGCTTGGAAGGTATTTCGATTGACGGATGAGTGAAGGGACGACGGACGAGCGGACAAGCGGACAAACAAAGAGCAAGCAAGCATAGTGCGTTGTATGGGATGGGATGGGATGAGATGAGATGACAAATGCATTACAGCGGGGAGTTTCTTCTACAGTATCTTTCATGTCGGTCGGTGGTGGTGGTTTTGGTTGGGTGTCTGGCGACGCCGACGGGCGAGATCAGAGACCAGAGACTATACGTCGGATGAGTTGCGTTTGCAGGATACGGCGAGTAATGAGTATGAGGATGGGTACGAGCATGGGCACGAGCATGAGTATGAATGTGATCACACCATGGGTAGTGCCACTGGTAAGAAGGGGCATTGGCTGTGCGAGAATATCAATCTATTCCGATCGCTAGCTTTGTTCCTATTCTTAAATTCCTATCGCTTTCCTTATGCTTGGTTCAACTGCGACCATGCAAGTAGCGGTAGATAATTGACTGCAACGGCTTTCTTCACAGTCCTCCGCACGGAGTACTTTCTACTTTCCTGGTTCGAGCACGAGTGCAGGTGCAAGCAGCACCGTTCTCATGGCAAGGTCTCATCTTACCACGAATCCTCGTCAGAGGAGGAGCAACCACTTCCACCACCTGTATCTGATTCTGCACTGCGCGGTGATCTATGATCGTGTCAATTCCAGCCACGGAAACGAGTTTCCACCCCGCCTCGACATGTTGATACTCCGGTTCGATACGATAGATGTGCTTCTTCACGCCGCCCTCGGGTTACCTGACAACACGACGAGACCAAGAAAATAGCCCGTATTCTCTGAACTGTGCGTGCGTCGAGATCAAGCCGTGATCTCGAAACTGGTTTGGATGAAGTCTGTTTACCTGCCTAGTTTTCCTGTCGAGAACCTTGGGCATGCCTTTATTTGCGCGCATCCCCTAATTTTCTCGACGGCTGTGTTGTGGTTGCTGGAATCGAATCGAATCCAGTATCTTTGAAGTGGTGAGAAAGGCTTCGCACTATCATCTAGACTCGCCCGCTCAGGCCTCGTCCTTCGGCCGGCAAAAGAGCGTCAGAGGCAGGTCTGTAGGACTCGCGCGTGGTGCTCTCGTCTCGACGGCAAATGTGCGCAGGGCACGGAGCTGGCTTCATGGCGGACGGAGGGTCATGTTGCGTGTGACCGTAGCCGTGAATCACAGGATCTTGGTTCAGCAGGAGCGGTTATTGCTTACTCTGTGTGGTACATACGTACCGTGTCGCGAGGTTCGTCGTCAAAAGCGGAAAGGTCTGGCTGACTTGTCTGTGGTGGTGGTATTGATGGCTCGTACGCAGTGACTCTGAGATTCAGGTAACGCATCTGCACAGGTTGCAGATCAAGACATCGCCTTGGCGACGTCGACTCATGATGGCAGGATCTCGTCGAGCAGGGCCGCCAACATTATCCGAGTGTTCGAGTACTGTGTTCTATGTAAGCCTGACAATACCGAGTACATTCATCTGAGATTAGCGTGCAGCGAAACGCCTTGACAGCTTGGCCTCGACATTCACGTGTTCAGCCACTGACTACATGAACGCCGTGGTCGCTGCGCAATGGCTCTCTCAACTGCGACTTGTGGGCGCAATGGCCATCCGGTACTCCGTACAGATGGGCGTCTACGGGTACGCCTCATACTGCAGGCTCGGACACGATGCATGGCGTCGTGCAAATCGACCCAGGAGGCCTTCTGATCGGGCCGACCAAGTGTCACACTCGTGTCTCTTCTCTTTTTCAGCCTGATATTGCGGATTGACATGCATCGAAGTACCTAAAGTCGTCCTGCAACATGGACCTGGTGCTCAGACTAACGTCTTCGTGGGAGTCGATGACTGGACAGACTCTACGAAAGACTTGAAAGCATGGCGCCCACAACATCAGTTCGTGCACATGACATTGATTGCTGCATTGGGCGATGGATCGAGTGAGAGCCTTCCTGGAGTCCGTGCCGCGCCACCGTGCAAATATCCTCTCATCCACCTCTGGAATCATCCTTTGGTTGCAGGGATAGAGCCACCGTGGCGACCGGGACACATTTGCAAGTCGGCTAACCCCGGCCGGAGACATTTGCAGGAAATATCCTCCGAGCGCCATGTTTGTCTCACCGTTTTCCAGTTGTACTTTGAGTGTAAGAGTTGCAGATATCTGGGAATCAGTGGGAGAGACCGGGGAATATACAAGTCCTGCTTGAGCGGACTCGACGCGTCCCTGGCCAGACTGATATGGATCCAGGGAATGTCGCGGCTAAATACATACCTCGAGGGAATGCACCAGCTCTCGAACACTGGACGTCCGTGATATCACATACAGGAAGCATCAAAAAGAGCTTCGGTTCCACGACAGATACTCACGACGCTGTCCTCGGCATTTTCAACAGCCGCAGCGGGTAATCCGGCGGAACTGTGTCAAATCTACAGGTACCTAGTATGTACCTAGGCCCTTGACCAAACAAGAAGAAGGCCCAACGGCAACCAAATTCACGTCGAGCATACGACATCCGCCGTGCTTGGTGGACACATAACCCGTCAACCAACGTACAATTCTCCGATGTGGACATGGGTCGGCAAGCGGCGCAACGTCATAACAGTACGGAGTATACAGTACACCTTCCTTGGTTCCTCAAATCGCCTTCCTCACCGATCGCAACTGAAAGCATCAGCTGCTGGGATCGGGGTTGGCATTCCTGTGAAATCGCAAATGCGACGAATGAGACCTGAAACAAGCACGGGGCACATGAGACGCTCTCAACACAGACCAAAACCGTCGCCGTCGCCGTCGCCGTCGCCATCGCCATCGCCCTGATCCCGATCCTGATGCTGCTCACTCACCCCGACCCAACAACCCCTCCGACCACCTCGGCCGCGACCTCCAGCGCCGTCTTATCCTTGCCCTGCATCTTCACCGCCGCCATCCCCGTCACAACAATGACATCCAACAGATAATCGTCGGCCGGGACGAGGATTTCAAACTTGGCCGCCGTCACCCCCTTGAACCCACTCTGAGATTCGTATCTGGCCAACTGGATCCGATTCTCATCCTGCAGCAACAGCGCCCCGCTCGTCTTGCTCTTCCACTTCATCCGCCCGAGTGGGGGACACGTGAATTTATACCCGTCCCCGGCGCCGCTGGACGTCAGTTTGATGGACTGGCCGGCCGCGAGGGAGATCTCCGTGGCGGACTTGAGGGAACTGTACTTCGAGGAGCTGATCAGTGTAGGGTGGATGGCGTGGTTACCCGCGCCGATGCGGTAGATGTGGACTTCTTTGGACGATTTTTGGCTGGAAATGGAGAATAGTGGCGTGGTCGTGTACGCTTGCGGGTAGTTGGGATCGTAATTCGTGCGCTCTATCAATGTCACGTTCGGGTCGCTCGGCGACGGCCGGAACGTGAGGACTTGACTCGTTTGGCTCATGTCGTAGCTTGGTGGCGGTGGTGGTAGGTGGTGGAAGTGCGAATGTGAGTGTGAGTGCGGCGAGTGGCTTCCAAGCAGGCGAGACAGTGAGAACGTGCTCATTGTGGAATGAGTGAGTACGAACGACTCGGCTAGTTAATGGACTCGCCCAGCTGCCGGTGTCGTTCAACAGTGGTGCAATAGTAGAGAGTCGCACAGTCGTACTGTAGGAGCTGTAGTAGAAGTGTAGATATACGCCCTTCTTGCCAGGTAGTAAATGAGATGGAATGGGACTATCTGCGTTGCCCGCGAGATCACGGCTGAATTCTGACAGACACGATCGAGGTGCGGGCGAGTAGATCAAGTTGGGATCGAGACCGTTGACGGAAGATCGATACGATAGAGTTACTTACTGTACCCTCGCAGCGACTCCATCCTCGACGAGTGCACGTTTATATACACATTCCACCAGACCAGGTCGATCATTTTCCACAGTATCCAGTTGTGCTATACGTTAGTTAGTTGGTCATCTACAGTCCTCGTGCGAGCTATTGGTGGTTAGCCAACCTCTGCTGCGCCCTGATCGGATATGAATACCACGACACGGACAGACAGATAGACGATCACTACTCCTCCCCCCCATGACCGGCCGAAAGTCCAAGAGCGCTGCGTAGAACCATATTCGGCTAGATCCTTTCAGCCTCGTTGCTTGTTTCACGGGCCCAGAGTACGGAGTACACAGTAAGCATTGGCATTGGCATTGGCATTGGCGGCTGTGGGGGCGTGCACATTATACACAGTACGAGTACGGGTACGGGTACAATAGGGGAAGATCCCGGGCCTGAGACCCTTGACGACTGCGCCGCCCTCGGCAAAAGCAGTGAAGGTGCTGGTATTCGCGTCTACGAGGTACTCGTACAGTATTGGCCTGATGGACGCCTTAATTACACACGCGTTGCGTCACTGACTTGCTGCGTCATTCACCAGCTCAACCACTTGCAAAGATTTGGATCTCCGCGTGCCATACTTAGCCACCGTTGGTACCTCGTATTCATATTGGAGGCCTGATCAAACGAGCACACGGTACCCAGTATTCGAATGAGATGTGGCATTTTTACATGAGGTCGACTCCTGGTAGTCACATGTCCAGTTTCGACCTGATCGAGGAAATGTCCCTCGAAATCGGTTGGCGTGTGGCATCAACGGGTGACCAAGACGGTTGCCTAAGAGGGAAAGTATCAGTAGGGTGGATGGATGAATCACTCCCTGTACGGCCACCACCGCCGCATGAACGTCTGAGCTAGCCTTGTTGGCCTGGGGTGAAGTCCAGTCTTTTTACTGGTCTACCTCTCTCGTCCGGGGCGGCCTTTCAGTCCAGCACAATGCCACGAAAGGAATCCAAAGAGGCGCCAAGGTGGTACAGTAGGGACTTCGCGAGCAAAGATGGAATCATCACCTCTCATTGCCGCTGTGATCATGGCATCGACCCTGAAGTTTCTACAGTAGTATCCCGCAAAACAAGCAGCTTTGTAGGCTCGTTGGCCTCGGCACTTGCTCAGAAGCAGCCCTGGTGATTGCCGCCTAATTATTGACTATGTGGATCCTGACTTCCTGAGGATAATGATGCTGCTGCTGCTTCGACATGGACAAGAACCCAATCATGTTGATTCTGTACTCTAGTGGCGTTGACGTTGATACAGTACTTTGTCGGCTCATGCCTGCCGGCGAGGTGGTCTGGAGATTGTCAAATGCTTCCTGCGGGCACGAACCGGTGTCACAAAGGGGAATCATTCCGCCCTGATTACTCTGACTTCAGAACCTCAATCTCTGGAGGTCGGATGTTGAATGTCGGCTGTCGAGATCACAGATCTCCTGCTCTGCTCAGCTACAGAGCCGACACCAAGCGGCGTGTATCGACGCGCCGGCGGGTGTGGAGGACGGTCGCACCGCCATCGAAGGGGCCGTCCAATTCGGTCGCATCGACGTGGTCAAGCTAGTGCTGGACAGCTACCATGGACCGAGCAGGATCGAGGAGCTGACCAAAGCGTGATATGAAGTGAGCGAGTTGGGGAATCAATGGCATGTGGAGGACATGTGGAGATCTATGTAGCCGTTCAGGTGGGCCGTTCGAGGAAGAAGTCGTCTATAAACTGCTTGTCTCAGACACGCAGTCTGTAGTGGTTTTTCAATTGCGCTTGGCCCGGGAGGTATCTAGGTATTGATAGGCAGCCACTTACAGAGTGACTAACCAGTGGATATGGCCAGGTGTGTCTGTCTGAGTCGGTCGAGTTTCAGGAGCAGTAGGCTTGTTCGTGTTGTTAGCTGAGAGTATTGTATGTGTCGCGTCAGGACTTTGTCCCTCGTCGTGGAAGCTGAAGGTCGTGTCTGCCATGTTTTCAGCGACAGAATGTAGAAGTCTGGTCGTCGACAAACAGAGATTTTGCTTTTGCCTCTCCGTCTCGATGCCTGCCAGAAGCGCCAAACGGAGGTATGACGGCCATCACTCCTCCGCGGACGCACCTCCATCGCACTCAGATCACCTCGGACAAGTCGTCGACATTGACCTGGAACTGCTTCGTCGCCATGCCATAGCTGCTCCGGACCGCCTCACTCGCGTAGACTCTCATCTGCCGCTCATACTCGGCCGTCAAGCCAGGCGTATTCCCCCCAGCCTCACGCAACAGCCGGCCCAACAACGCCGAATCTCTGACCGCAGTGTTCGCCCCAATGCCTCCTGCAGGGGTCATCCCATGCGCGGCATCGCCGATCACCGTCACGAGCGGCTCGTTAATCCACTCCGGCACCCCGGTCGACGTCGAGCAGGTGATCTTCCAAAACGCGGCCTGCCCGACATTCATGTCGTCGAACAGCGGCTTGAACCGCGGATGCCAGTCCCGTGTCAACTCCTGGGCGATCCGCGCTGCCGTCTCGCCAACGATAGTGTAGTCGTCGTTCGGCGCCCGAATCGCGCCCGGGACGCCGACCATGGTCCAGCCGAACTCGACGCTCGGATCGTCCATGTCGTCTGGCCGCACGTTCGTGATGACCGACACGCGGCCTTGAGCGTTCGCGTCGTCCACCATGCGGAACACGCCCTCGCCTAGGGCCCGATATGCCGTGGTGGGCGCTTGACCGTGAATCCCGCGCGCCCCAAGGTCATACACTTTCAAAAGCCCGCCACTGACCTGCTTGGCGACCGCGGACTTGATCCCCTCGCCTCCGACGAGCAGAGAGCCGTCCACGGATTTGGTGCCGTCGGCGAAGATGGCGCGGACGGCATCGTGGCGCCCCTCAGCGATCTCATACCCGACCACGTGCTTGTTGAAGTGCACGTACGGCCCGCATCCTTCCATGAAGAGACGGCGCATATCCCCGCGCGCGATGCCTACAACCTTGCCGTCGCGGGAGCCGAGGTTTCCGGGTCCTCCCCCGCCCCCACTGCTGCCCTGCTGGTCGAGCAACTCGCCGGTTCGGGCGTCGAGGTCTGCGAACCCCCCGCCACCGGTCTTGCCGCACTGGTCGTAGAAACGCTGGAAGGAAGACTCGTCGAGCACTGACTCGATGGCGTCAAGACCCTCGGTCGACAGGCGGAGGCGGTATCCCTGGCCCCGGAATGAGAGGGAGGCGTCGCGCTCGAAGACTTGGAATGGGATCTTGGCGCGGAGGAGGGACCGGGCGAGGAGGAGAGAGGCCAGGCCTGCACCTGCTATGAGGACGGGCAGCTGAGGTTGCCCCTTGGACATGATTTGTAGACGGCGGTGTCGTGGAGCCACGTGTAGCAAGGTGAAGTAGTTAGAGTAGAATTTAGTAGGTAGGTATTCCGTACGACTTCCCAAGCTATCGATGTCACACCACGGCGCATAGGCAGTGGTACATGTAAACACCCAGCCTGAGTATCATGAAGACATATTATGCTGTGGCGTTGGTCGACGAGATATATGGTGGAGGAGGTGGTCAGGCTGTCATCTTGAAGTACAATCAGTTAGTACTTCTACCAGTATCAATTTCTAAGCATTTGTTACGAGTACCGGCCTTACGTGGCGCCGGACGCGAGTGTGTGACGCGGTCACTGCCATGGGACTCCCTCAAGCGTCACTCTTGCTTCACTCGGCTCGGCTCGTTCAATGCCGAGTCCGATCTCGAGTCGTGGTGCAGTACTCCGTACTGTGGTGCTGACAGTACTGCAGGTGACTTGGATTGTCCCAGGTGGATGATGACATAATACGGGGGTGCGATCACATCATCATGCCCTTTGGCTACGGCTATCTATATAGCGAGCGACTGCGATTTATGTACGTGATCATGTGTCCAATAATGCTCCTGTCTGTGCATGCAGAACTCAGCTGTACGCCGGGTGGGAACAAGTTTAAGTTGCTCTACAGCATATCTGGATACCCGGAGGTGCTGGATTGACTCTCCTGCCCTCGCCTCGTCTTCTCTGTCCCTCTCCAGGGTGACCACTCTTTCTCGTCACTGACAGAGAGACTCGCCTAGACGCCCAAATCATCAACTAATTCAGCATCCTGTCGTCCCATTGCCACTGCTGGTCGCCATGGCCGGGTTTATTCCTGATCTCGATCTGAACCCGAACGTCATTGTTGTGGCGGTAGCACTTCATGCGCCCCTTGGCACTGTTGATGTTGATCGAAATGCTGAGGCTGACGTTGTTGAGGTTGCTCGTGTAGGAACCGATGTTGACGCCCAGAATGTGGATCTGGATCGAGATCTGGAACGACGACGGCTCATAGTATCCTTTGCACTGGGGATGGAATGTCTCGTCAGCTTGAACGGGGCATGGCTGGCACATAGGTGAAAGGCTTGGAGCAGACTTACGTAGACAGGTTTCTTGTCGTATTCGATGTATCGGCGCGAGCCGAGCTCGGTGTTCCCTCCTGGAGGGGGTGGGATCCGATCCTGGCCCTCCACCTGGTTCACCTCATATTCGCCCTCTGGCTTCTGCGTCACAGCGAGAATCACACCTAGACAGTCAGCAGTGGCGTTGGAGCCTGTGCGAAATCATACCTGTCGTGTATTTGGTGTCGGTTTCCGCGACGCTGCCCATGTTGAATAGTCAAGAAGAGCCGTAAGTGAAGGGAGTTCAGGAGATGACTGTCGGGAGAGGACTGCTTTGGCATGAGACTGTTCTGCACGAGGGAAGTCCTCATTTTATACTCGACAGCCAGCGACATATCGGAGGCCAAATCACAATCTCTCGCATTTTGCAGGCTTTCAGCCCTCAGCTCCTCGTTGACACCATCGCGATTCTCGACTAGTTCTCCCTCACGCAACGCGGGCCGGCCACGATAGATGAGCTAAGTTTAGTGGCGAGTGGAATGGCGATGGTCCTGTTCTGGGGCATGTCTCTCACGGCCGAACGCTAGAGACGGAACAGAGCTCAGCTCGCAGGCTTTAGCACTTTCCACCCTAGCCTTTGCAACCTGTTAGCTTGTACTCGGTCTTGACAGAAGAGGACTGTGGAAGCCTGGTGGTGTTGTCAGGAACGATGGGTCACGCAGCATTCAGCCGCGGCACCAAACAGGATTCCATTCGTTCATGACCTCAGCTCGAGATGTCGGTCATTGCAGGGTGTCCTGTGGTTCATACGAGTGACACGAGCACTATTGCACGATCGAAGAGGCCAAGGCGCAAAGCACTGTAGGGCTGAAGTTCGCTTCGGACACGATTGCGCACGGTTTGACGATATAGTGTCTTCTAATATATTTCTCCGCATGGTCGACATGCTCAGACAGCCCTACGATGTATGCGGTGAGAAGCTGGCCGTTGTCGTGAATTGAGAGCAGTCGATTAGGCAAGACAAACAGAATGAGCGAATTCCGAACGTGAGGGGCGCCAAGGCACTACTCTCCTCTAGCGTGGTCCGCTCCGACCGGGCCCGAGCCCTGGTTGGTCAAAGGGTTGCTAGGCTTGCCCCGAAACGCTAAGCAAGCTTGTGTCTTGCTTGCAACGCTTCATTTCTGCATCTCAAGCAGCTCTCAGTATCCAACCAGACCCGAACTTGTGGCTGGCTTCAATACGAATATCTCTCTCCAAGCTTTCAGCTCCGGGACAGCGAGCTGTTCATCCCTCTCTCTCGTTCAAGTCCCTCCCCATCAGCCCAGAGAGCTCACCGCGCAGCCAAGTTCCGTCAAGACTCTTGGCTCCAACCGCCCGTAAGGAATACGAGGATTGAAATTCAGCTCAAACATCCCCCGCCTATGTGTATCTCGATGAGATGCCTGAATGAGCACCTCTTGGGGCAGTCTAGCCTACTTGTCACAAGAAAGCCAGATTATATTGATCTGAGAGCCGATCAATCCGCGCTCATCACACATGAAGTCCGTCTTGTGATTCATGAGCAGATGCACCTTCAGGGGCCGGCGTGTCCTAGTCTGGTCTACCTTCGTGTTATTGTATTTCTCGTTCTCTGTCCTCGTTAACAGGATCTGTATTCCGTATGTAGTATGCAGCTGGGTGGCAGCAGGCCCAGAACACCCTGTAGTCCACCGTAAGAATAAGCCATCATAATGCGGCGAAGCGTTATTTCCCACACGCAACAATATCGGACGCGTCTCATCCACCGTGTCAAGGTAATGTTCTGTTCTAAACTCGCATCTGCATCTCTATGGCTGTATGAGGTTCAGCTTCTCAAGATCCTCGTGAATCTCTCCCTCGAGGTCGATCTGGTGGTCGTCGTCATGCAACAGGCCAAGATAATACGACAAGTCGCGTCCGTCAAACTCGCGACTTGCGAAGCCGTTGCCCAAGAATTCAAACATGTTCAGAGAATTCAAATATTCAATGTTATAGTCCTCAAACCTCGGCGTCGCGAGCAGATCCATGTACACCAGGCGAGAAGCTGCGAATATACGTTAGCTCTGTCGACACTGGCCAAAGCGATAACGGAGGCCTCAAAGACAACATACCTGGAAACATGGGTAGCGGACCGTCGATTCTTCCTTGCTTGAACCACGAACTACATCCCTACAGCCCAAGAATGTCAGCCTTTGCAACACGTCCGGTCGCGCAGCTTCGAGCAATATGACCCAACTGCATCCACCACATGAGGAGGGTTACTCACCGACGTCCACGCCGTCCTCTTCAGAAACAGCTGTGCATGTTCTCTAAACTGCTCGGCGATCTCGGGCTTAGGGGTCAGACTCTTGATTCGGTCTTTCTGCATCTTCTGAATGACCTGAATGATGTTGCCGGCAAGCGTCTCAATGATCGGGAGGAACGATCCATGGCCAAGCGGACCGTACGGGCCACCCATCATGAAGTAATTCGGCACTTGATTCAAATCAGCAATGACCAACGTCAATTTCTGGGGTATCTCATACTGTGCGAAACTCCTAGAGAGAGATATGACGTGGCTTCCTTGGCCCACATCTTCGCGATGCTGTGGCCATTTGCCTCGACCGGAAATCTAGGGATCCAGCTGGTGTTGAACCTGAGGTGTCGTCAGCAAAGGGTTCTAAAGCTCCTTTTTGAGAATCGGCTGGGTTAGATCTCACCCTGTCGCACAGATGATAACGTCTACGTCATGTTGCTGGCCTTCGTTGTCGACGAAGCCTTCGGCGTTGATTTCTTTCATGGGCGAGGTGAAGACACGGACATTGTCCTGGTTCAGCGACTCGAGAAATCCGTTCCCGGGCTATCAGGGCCCAAGTCAGCCACGCTCGCACTTCTCTCGCAGACCACTCACCGTCGGCCTCCTACACCCGACACCAAAATTCTTGGGAATTATCGCTTCTAGGAGTTCCGGTTTCGTCGAACCTAGCTTTTGCATCATCTCATTCCGGGCAAACTGGAAGATTGTGTCTCAGCATGTCTCACCATATCACCATGGGCTAACTTACCTCTCTGGCTCCTTCTGCCTCCGGTGTCCCGTTCAAGATGAACTTGAATCTGACGTTGAGCTCAGATTCAATCATCTTCGAATACTTGAGGAACAGTTCCGGATTTTCGGCGAATGCTTTTTGTTGTTCTGGAGTATCTGAGCGAGTGTTAGCTTCAACCCCAGCCAGGCGGCTTGTTATACTTGCAGTGGAAGTTCGCTCCGTTCGGGCCCGCAAATCTCTGAGCAAATCCTGCTGTAATCCACGTCGGCGACCTTACCCACAAGTACAACTGCTTCACCTGGGATGCGATCTTGGAGATGATCTGGATGCCGCTACTGCCGATGCCTATGACGGCGACGCGTTTGCCGTTCAGGTCCAGCGACGGGTCGTAATTGGCGCTGTGCACGAGGGTGCCTTTGAACGAATGCAGGCCTTTAATGTCAGGCCATTTCCAGTTGCTGCAGGCGAACCCATATCAGCATTATCCCATCGAAGTCGCAAGGAACAACGTACTTCAAGATGCCACCCCCGTTAACAAGCACATTACACCGATCCACAAACTCGGTTCCATCTGGTCGTCGAACTCGAACCTCCCACTCCCCCTCCTCGGGTTGCCAATAGGCGCCTACTACTGCATGTTCCAGTTTCACATACTTCATCAGCCCGTGCTTGTTGACGACATCCTTGAAGTACTGCCAGATCTCGGGCGACTCGGAGTAATACTGCGTCCAATTGGGGTTTCGCTCCCACGTGAATTGGTATGACGCCGAGGGGATGTCGCACGCACAACCTGGGTATCTTCATGACGCCAGCGAAAGATTAGCCCACTTGACCACGGATGACAACGCGCGAAACCAACCCAAGCTGACGTGATGGAGACCTACCTGTTCTCAAGCCAAGTGCCCCCGACGTCCTTGTTCTTCTCATAGATCTGCAGGTCGACGTTCTTGCACCATTCCTCGACGAACTTGGAGAATGTGATACCCGAGGCCCCCGCGCCGATGTGGATGACCCTGATCTTGCGCGGCGTGTCGTACGGTTCTTCGTGGATTCGATATCCCCGTGCGTTCTGGATCATCCAGCCGCGCTCGTTGAAGACCTCGCCCGTCTCTGTTGACGAGAAACCCTCTCCATCCTTAGACGGCGCCATGATGCGATGACAGCGAGGCGCGTACGTGGTAAACGCTGAATAGGTGAATGTATGTTGCGCCGGTGATGCACGTCCGGTGGCGATATATCAAACGCTATCTGCCCGCTCAGGAAGCAACAGGGTGGAAATGAGTGCAATCAGACAGATATGAAGACGGAGAGAACCCGAGAGCAACCCGAAATCACACCACCAGTGTCTGCGTGTGTCTCTATCGATCTGATAAAGTAGTGAAGTATCCACGGCAATCAGTACCCATGGTCATCATACCGTGGCACGGCTCTGCAGAAACCCATTTGGAGGTAAGCCTCGGCCTCGGCTAAGCTGATATGCGCCGCCCCCAATCCCATCCCTGGCCGGTGCTATCTCCAAGAGGTCTCGCGATGCGGGGATCGACGAGAAGGAGCGACTGCAGCGAGCGATCCATCCGCGGCACATAGCACATAAGTGTACGGGGGAGTGGCGAGATGTGCTAAGCCGGATATCGGCATCGAGGGCGGCGGAACTGTACGTGGCACGCAGTACGCAGGACAGACGATCTCCTCATACGAATAAGGCAAGGTAAGGCTCCAAGGGATTGGATAGATCCTCACAGTAAGCACACATCACCCGTCATCCTGCGAGGCTGTCTTGCACTTGATGTTCCACCTTTTTTTCCCTGCTAACCTTTCATTCCTGTTTTCCTCCTTGCCTTTTCCTGAAAGAGCATATTCTCCTACGGGATTAGCCTCGACCGACAGATCGACTGACTGACCAACCGATCGAGGCAAGCAATTTCAGTATGTCTCTGTCGGTCAGGCTTAATGCATACACCGTGAACTGTCTGACACGAGCGGGTGAGTACGGAATATTTAATCCTGACCGGCCTCTCTCCAGCGGCCTTGTTCCAGCGGCAATCTTTCAGCAGCCCGTGACCAAGTACGGAGACGGTGCCCAGGTATGTCGACGGGCTGCATACGAGGTATTTTCAGCACGTGGGATATTGATGATACTGATGGAATCAGCGCTTTCGATGGGAAGAGTTGGACGAGCCGGGCACGGGACCGGACCGAAGGATATAATATGTATGTGCTCTCCATAGGCCCTATTATGTATATACTTGGAACCAATACCTTCCATGTTATAACACGCGTGTTCCACCGAGAAAAGAGAAACACGACCTGCCTCGATCACATTACTTCATACGCAGTGTCGCATATCTCAGCCTACCTACCTGTAACTACTCACCAACCTACATACCTGCTCTACTACAGTATTGTAAAAAGGTTCTTCTCTATCCCTCTCCACCCCGGTGCGCCAATCCGAAATTCAGCATGCTTGCTTTGAGGACTATGTGGCGTTTCTCCAGGTGGACAACACATACATACACCCACCATTTTGAATTCCCAGGCTTGTCGTCCATTCTCACGGGCACTATAGTGGCCGACGGCAACCCACTGTGCCTACCACTTGAGGTTGACCGGTGCTGTCGCCCATCCATAAGCTAGCTGAGAGCCGCTTTCTAAACTTGGAATCAATCATACGTTTCATCAGACGAGATAGACATCCAAAGGTGCACTTCTAGCAAGCACGCCTGTTTAACCACCCCTGCGCCGGACCAGACGCATACCCTCATCCAACCAACCACCCGACCCGACCATGTCGCAGGTAACGTCCACTTAACGACCTAGTATCCTGAAAGATCCTGTCGAATGCTCACTCGCGCGCCACAATATTTGGGCATCTGGACCACCATGAGGACTCGACAAAGTGCTGATCCAAAAAGACCGAGGCGTATGGGGGCTGGGACAATCCAACATACCTACGTACTGGAGTCCAAGGTTTTCCGCGGCGTGTACTGTATGTACTCCGTATTGTCCAGTCTTAAACCTCGATCGATACTCGACCTTTCCCACTGGTGTCTTGCCTTCCTGCTTGCAAACCTGCTTAGAAGCATCTTGCCTGCTGAGTAGAGTAGAGGAGAGTAGACTAGGAATCCAGACACGTCACACCAGATATTCAAACCTTGACGTCTTCTTTGTCTGCCCGCGCCACGGTGTCGTTCCTAACCTCGTGCTGCTCAACAGGCTCAGCCCGTCCGTCGCTCTCCGGGCGCGGCGGGCCCGGTTTTGCCGCCCGAATGTCCTTCCACTCGACGCCAAACGCGAGGAAGAAAGCCACGATGGCGGCTCCCATGGGAGCATACTATCAGTCGCCGGACATGTTAGCACAATGCAGTGCAGCGCAGCGCGGCGCACGACCAATCACGACGGTATGGTCGCGGAGGTAGAAAGAGAGAAAGAGGGAGAGAGGATAAGTGGGTATATAGGTCGGTAGGTTGGGCGCTCCGGGGGAAGATGCATGCATGCACCAAATCACAAGGCTGGCCGAAAGGTGAACCCCGTAGATCCGGAAAACTGAAAACTGAAAACTCACAAACACATTCGCGATTGCCTTGTTGTACGCCCACAACACGGGCTGGAGCTTCGAGGGGAAGGACTCCAATGTGACCCTCCGAGCGTGTCCGGACCCGGCGTCGAGCAACAACTGGACTTGGTCCTGGGTGAGGCCGTCGGCGTGCGACTTGAGCGAGCTGACGAGCTGGTTCTGGAAGATGGCCAAGGCGATGCTCTGGAACACAGACGCACCAAAGTACTGGAAGAAGGCGACCGTCGAGATGCCGATCGGGATGAGCTGCGGTCGAGATGCCAGCGCGGCTTGCACGGCGAGCAGGGGGCTTTGCATGGCGACACCGCCCACGCCTTGAAAGACGAGGTAGGTGATCCACTTGGCGTGGCCGGTCGATGTGTCGAGCGTGGTGTACAGACCCGAGGCTGTGGCCATGAATGCCATGCCTATGAAAGACCATGGGTTGTGGTATCCGGTACGGTTGACTGGTGGTGGTCAGGAAGATTAGCTATGGCGATCTCTCATTCCCGCGGGTTCTCGGAGCGCAGGATTCAACTTACTGATCAGGCCTGCAATGGTGGCGCCGAGGACTTGGGCAATAACCGCCGGAAGGGTCATGACGCCGCTGTGGAGGGGCGTGGCGTCTTTGATCACCTGGAACCATTCGGGGAGGTAGTAGATGTTGACGATGTAGCTGCCCATCATGAATGCGATGAAGAGACAGCTCAGCAAAACCGAGCGCTGGAGCAGGATGGAGAAGGGAATCATGGCGTCGTCGCCCTTGTGCCACTCCCACGCAAGAAACGCCACCGCCAGTGCAGCGGCCCCGCAGAAAAGGCCGATGACGGTGGCTGACTTCCATGGGTACTCGTGACCTCCCCATTGCAGAGCCAGGAGGGCCATGACGACGGTGGGGACGAAGAGGACACAGCCCACGACGTCAATCTTGAGTATCTTCTCCCACAACGACCCTTTGTCGGAATCTCGCACGGGTGGCCTGAAGAACAAGGCCAAGGCAACAAGTGTCACGGCGCCAATGGGGAGATTGATGTAGAAGCACCATCTCCATGAGACCTTGGTCGTCAAGGCCCCTCCGATAAGCGGGCCTGTGACTGTGGCAACTCCAAAGAGAGATGCTAGCGCTGCGGTGTAGAGGGCTCGTTTGGAAAGCGGAGCCACGATGGCCAGGATTGACAGAGAGCCGGAGAAGATGCCTGCTGCGCCCACGCCAGTGACGGCCCGGGCACAGATGAACATGTTGGAGCTAGTAGCAACGGCGCACAGGAGCGAGCCCAGGAGGAAGATGCCGACGAAGGCGAAGTAGGCCCATTTCAGACTGAAATTGGCATAGATCTTTCCAGACAGAGGCTGCAATGCGCAGAGGCATAGAGGGTAGGCTGCTGCGTACCAGCCGATGTCAGTGGTCGCGTGGAACCGCACTGTTATGGCCGGAATTGCCTGGTGCGCACGTCAGTTGTGGCATCATCTCCATGGGTAGAATGCTGACCGTCGAGATAATCGATACGTCAAGTGCAAAGAGGAAGATGGCCAGACCAATGCCAGTAAGAACGAGGTATAGCTTTGAGCCGGTCAGGTAGTAGTCGGACTCCGATACTGGGACTTGGGCGATTGTTGGCTTTTCCAAGACAGATCTCGCGCTTTCAGGGCTTGAAACTGGTGTCCCAGTGGTAGAGGGAGGCCCCGTCCCAGCCAACATGTCGGTGGTCTAGCACTTGCTCAAGTGAACGTGGATAAGCACAAGAACGCAAGCGAAATGGGACGATACGGAATGAATGCCAGAAGAGAAGGGAAGCGGTGAAGACTTCTAGAGGCAGACGAAGGCGTAGATAAATATGAGAGAGCGATACTTCCTTTGTCTGTAGCCTGTTGACCCTTGTAAATTGATTTCCCAGACTGTGATTGCAAAACGAAGCGGCTGTACACAGGAGTCAGGCATGAGCGGGTGCCGTGCCCGTTCGCCAGCTCGGCCGTCGACGAGACGATGCATTGACAGAGAGCTGGGTAAAGCACGTCCCGCCCTATTGTACTCCGTACGCCTCATGCCACTGACTGTGGTGCTTGATAGCAGTATGTATCCATGGGCCAGGAGACACGCGGAGTCCAGAGCGGACCAAAAACGGCCCGGTTCAAGCAGCTCCAACGGTGCTGCCTGCGCACGGCTGTTACAGTATTGAGCTGCAGCCTTTCGATTGGGCGTCGCTTAGTGGAGACGTCGACGGGCCCAATGCACGAGCGGAGGCCTTTGAACTCCTGTTCCGTTCCTGACCAGGCTCCCAGGATACTTATGACCCCTTCGCCGTCCCGTCTCGCCTCAGTCCGGGTGTTGCACCCCGGAGCGGTGATGAATGTAGTCGACAATGCGCAATCAAGACGGAGAGCGTGTGCCCGGTGCGCTACTGCAAAAGCGAGATGCACCTACAGCGGCAGCGGGGGCTGTGATCGATGCCAGCGGCTGGGGAGGGAGTGCATTCTCGAAGAAATCCCGCGACGCAAGAGAGAGAAGCAGTCCACAAGGGTCAAGGCGCTGGAGGACAAGGTCAACGCCCTTCTTGGCTTGCTAGGTCCCGAAAGGGTTCCTGGTGGGATTGGCAACCCTGCCACGGTAGACGCCAGGACGCCAGCTCCCACGGAAGATGGCTGTTCCCCCCTCGGCCGAAGTGCCCAGAGCACCACAGCACCGTCAACGGTGGAAGAGGGCAGATTCTTCGATGCCATTGACCATGGCCTGCTCACCATGTCGACGGCCGACGCCCTGTTGAGCAAGTACAAACGGGTACATTCCGAATACTTCCCCTTTGTCATTGTGCCTCCGCAGACTGATGCGGCGACCCTCCGGGCCCAATCTCCCGTGCTCTTCCTGGCTATCACGGCAACGTGTCTCGAAGGAGACCACCTGCTCCAAAGAAGGCTGGGGTTCGAAGTCAAGAAGACTCTTTGCGAACGAGTCATGGTTGGCAATGAGAGGGATCTGGGCTTGTTGCAGGGTCTGCTCGTTCTGCTGGCTTGGACCCATTTCCACTTCAGTCCCACGAGCAAGCAGCTGTTCATGCTCCTGCAGATGGCCGTCGGGCTGGTCACCGACCTCGACCTGGACAGGTGTCCTGCGCATCGCGATCAGAGGGTTGCCAGCCACCTCTGCTGCGTGTCATCCCCCCAGAATGCACAAGGACAGGCCAAGTACCCGGTCCAGTGTCGAAGGTCATTGCCTGAGATCCGCGCCCTCCTAGGCTGCTTCTACCTTTGCTCATCGTAAGTCTGCGTCGTCTCCGGGCAAGCTGGGCTTGTGCTCACCCACATAGGATGGCGATGATGCGGAAAGAGCTGGCCATGAGACACACCAAGTGGATTGACAACTGCTGCCACATTCTCGACGCGGAACAGGAATGGCCAACGGACATCTACGTGACGGCCCTCATCAGCACGAGGTGTCTCGTCCAAAGTGTCGGCGAGAGGTTCTCATACGACGATATCACTCTCGTCCAACTTCAAAGCGATGTTGTAATCAACATGTCTCTGAACGGCTTTAAGAAAGCAGTCGCCGAGCTTGAGAGAGGTCCTGCTTTTTCACCCACGCGGGAAAATTGTGAGTGACACGGACGCCTCGGCCACGAACGATGACCCTGCTGACGCGACTGTTTCCAGACGCCCTCCTCGCTGAGCTCAAAGCTGTCCCCATCATCATCCACGAAGTCACGCTCTACCGCGACTGGGCCAGCGTGTCATCATCTTCTTGCTCCCACAGCTCCCATCTCTGGGATCTCCTGACCTCGTCCCGCAACTTCCTGAACTACGTTCTCAACATCCCGAGGGCAGCACGGATCAACCTCCCCTCCACATTCTTCAACCTCCTCCCCTATGCGCTGATCGTCCTCTCGACAGTCGCCCGCCTGCCCTCCACAATCGGATGGGATAGCGTGATCGCGAAACGCGAAGCCGACGCCACCACCTTCGGCCTGCAAATCAAAGCCAAGTTCGGGGACGAACTCACGAAGACGAGCCCCGAAGCGAGCATCGAACAAAGGGATGTGTGGCAGTACTTTTCGCGCGGCATAGGCGGACTGATCGCGTGGCACCAACGGTACGAGGCGCCAAGCAGTACACGGGAAGCCGGCCTCGAGGTTCCCTTGAGCTCGTCGTCCGGGGGGGTGAAGTGTGGTGTGGCGGACACGTTGAGCGCTTTCTCGTCCATGGGGGTTCGCAAACACTCGCCCTTGAACTTCGGGAACGTGGTCCAGGAGCAGATGACTACCAACGCGGCAGGTGGCTATGATGAAGCCAGGGGCGAGACACAGCCAGACATTCTAATGCCCCTGTGGGACGACGAGGCATGGCAGTCGATTGTGGATGACTTTTCCATGTTCCCTACCCCAGCCGGATTCCTCTTCGGACAGTAACAGCGGAATGAACGCAATAAGGCGAACGGTAAAGCGGGTGATCCTCGACGACTGATATCCAGGAAGGGCATCAGCGTCGACAGGCGGAGTGCATCAGCTTCCAATGAGCAGCGAGGACATACCTTGTACCTCGAGTGTAGTGTTATCCTGTTAGAGCCCTACAGCATTCTGTACAGTCTCTCTTGCTTTCTTCCAATACCTCCCTGTATCGACACTCATATGGTTCATATGGGAAGTCCCCGTGTATCCTTTCTGGCTGACCACGGAATTGACATCTATGTTGCTTTTTGGTGAATCCTCCAGGGCATCTTCCAATGCCTGCCAAACTTGATGCCGATATGTATGGCCGCAGGGCCGGCAGAGGAGTCGAGGACGAGGGCCGAGATTGGGAGTTTCGCTGGCTGGATGAGCAGATGAAGATGACAATAATGTAATGGTTTGCCAGGACCTGGCGGCCTGTTAGTGGATGATTAATATGTACTTTCAGTGTGCTTGGAAGGGGCGAAGGCCTTCACGCAAACAGTGATAAGATCAAGTTGGCCGGTTGTGGCATGGTGGGTGAGTCCATCACACTGACCCTGCCAGTGGACTTGTACCAGCCTTGCCCATTCCTTGAGTGGGACGACGTCAAAAAGAAGAGGCGGTGGGACGCTTTCTCGAGGCATGAGTACTTGTTGAGCGCAAGTAGTGTCTTACCCGCAGGACCGTCCCTCGGTGAGGAAGCTATCTGCGCGACTTACTGGAGGGTTTGTCACGAAGACTCGTTCTAACACCAGGCAGCAGTGTCCTCAAGCCGTTCAGCCATGGGAAGTCAAGGACGGCCGCCCTGTCCGAGGACTGCCTGTTTGCATGATCTGGTGCCCGCGCTGATGAGACCTTGAGCTCTGGTATCCTCCCCCAGCTCCGGACATGCAGCAACACAAGTACTCTGGCAGGTTCTCTCTCCCCTCGGCTTCGCTCAAGACGGCCGAGATAGAGCTCGTTCAGTCAGGGCCGAAAATCAAGAAATCGGGACATAAATGCCTTCGCAGCTAGCTTGATGAAAGGAGATGGTATTGGAGGTACAGACGTGCCGCTGAAGTGATCCGCAGCTGCGAACGAGGAACGAGAAACACGAGAAGGACCGATACCGACCAACAGTGGGCCTGATATGGATATTGAATTTGAACTTGGTGCTCGATGCGCTCGATGGTAACGCCGACAAGGATTTGTGCCAGGTTCTTAGGGCCTATCGCTTTCACCCACCTTCTTATGGGCTTGAGTTTTGCACGGAGCAAGGGTCTGTTGCAGATGGCTAGGTGAGACACCTTGGTGTGAAACAGTGGCAGCAAAATAGCCAACCTGGCGATTAAATCGCTTTCGTGGACTGTCACAGCCAACTAGGGAGGTGTTGGCTTCGTGGTAAAGCGGACACCGCCTGCTCAACACCAGGCGTACTTCTCCTTGGCCAGCCAGACCACATCCTCGTCAGGCTCACCGCTCCATCGCAGGCTGCATAGATGCTCCTTGTCGCGAGTAATGATGTCCACTTTACCTTGCTCTTCCGTCCGCAGCCTCTGAGCCGAAGCGACTACCAGATCGGAAGGGTCCCATACTTCAACCCCGCTAGCCATTTCCCATTCATGAGCTTCCAGCTGGGCTCTCGCAAGCAGAGCGGCCATCACTGCCTCCGCCTCCTGCGAATTCTGCATTGAAGGCGGAACTACGGTGTGGAGGATATGTAGTTGCCAATCCGACTTCTTGGCCGCATAGACGCGACACCAAATAAGAGCGAGACCGGTGGACCGGTGAATAGCTCCCTTGACTTTTGGAAAGTGCTTCCCCATGACGTTAGTCTGGAACTCATCTCGAGCAAAATGCCACTCGAAGTGCTCCAAATCAGGACGAATGGCGACGTGGGTTTTGCCTGGTTCTGCGGTGGATATCTCCTGCAAACGACGTTCAACGTACTCGATGGTCGGTATGGACTTTAGGTCCTCCAATGACAAGTCTTCGACGGCAGGGAGCCCGGAAGTGGCTCTTTCGTAAGCCAGCCGATTGATCTGTTGCAGGTGAATATGGGTGGATGGGAAGACTTTCCACCCAAACCTAGCATAGAAGGTCTGGCCAATATCCGAAAATAGCACCGAGAACCGATTTGTCCTCCCGTTTGGCGACTGCCAGGTCTCCAGTCTCTTGCCCAGCTCTGCCATCATGCGAGAAGCATAACCTCTGCCCCGGTGTTCCGGTCGATTATAAACCGAAGCGACGCCATGTGCCTGGACCTTCTCGACAACGCCATCCCGAGCAACATAGGCATGGATTGGGATACTCTCGCAGCTGGCAAGAATAGGTCTCGATCCATCAGTGTTTCTGGGTAGCGAGTCAGAGGTCAAAATCCATCCAGTGATACGTGCGTCTTTTGTCAAATCAACGGCCTGTAGGATGTCTTCGCGCTGGAGATATTGTTCGATGGTCAATGGGCCCTTCCATTCATCGGCGTTGAGGTACGTCATTTGAACGTATTCGAGAAGCGTGGCAGGCTCGAGTTTCAGATCCGTGGAGTGAGCAGATGGTAGAGAGTCGGCGTCGATGACAGGAGGCTGGGATGCCGGGAGAGAGGCAAAAGAGTGAGCTTTTGATGAAGCCATAGTGCTTGCTGCCGGCCGTCGCTCTGATAGTAAGTAGATGACCGCCTAGATGATCTCTGTAAGTTGTAGAGCAGTCGAATTCAAGATGAACGAGAAGTTTTCGCAACACCTGTCACAAGGCGTATCTGTACCTACAGCCAATAACAGTCACCCGAGGATAAGAACCCCCTCTCATAGACAGTGAAGCATGATAGAGAGGATAAACAGGTGGCATCAACACACCTCGCGCGGCTGTCTACACGGAGTTGTCAACGCAGCTAACTCTAAGAACATGGCCTGCATGGCATCATCAATGCGCTGTGGCACTGCGGCTCAACATATTTAGCCGAGAAGGACCCGAAATGGCTACGTACCGTCGATGCTGCCATGCGCCTATCTCACCCTACAAGGCTGCCGAGGTGTTCATCTGCGAAGTTGGTTCTCGGTCTGACTGTTGAGAAGGCACAGACACGAAGAACCAAGACGGAACCTCAGGCAGTGGATGCCTTGACAGCTGTTGCATGATGTGACCTGCAGTGGCGGTGGCAGTGGCAGACCTGAATGCGCTCTCTCTATTTACCCCTCTAAGCAGCTTCTTTCCGCCGTCCAGCAGCAGCGACATGCTGCGATATCAGAGGCAAGACCTCACCTCGCCATAGTCTCGCCTGAGCACTCGAAGCATTGGACCAAGTTTTCGGGCGGCACTCGCCGTGACTTAGTCGGGTAGAGTCCTGCCATCCCAGAACTTCACTGTCCGCCCACTTCACTGAATCGACAATGCCGGACCTTCAACAGAAAACAATCAGTGAATAACGCGCGCCAGCCGAATTGTCTGCCTTGCGCACATTATTTATTGCGACAAGTTTGCCTTTTTCTTTTTTCTTCCTTTCGCGAACCTTGACACTTACTTTCTTCATCCCTGGTTCACCTCACGGCATCCTTGTATTGTACCACTCACTGCATCCGCCGCGACATTCACACGCAGATACAGTACTTCGCTTCCTTCTTCTCTTCAAGTCTCTGACCTAGCCTGACCTCCGTCCTTGGCTGCGGGTCCGCGTCCAATTTGTGGGCCTCAGTCCATACTCGCGAACAGCACATCTGGACGACCAGTGAACCGCGACCGTTCAGCTCAACATCCAATATGTCGTATGAGCCGATGGGCCCTGGGTAAGTGGCGAGTGAAAGATGGTCTTCCTTTTGCACAATTAGACATGGTGTCTTGGACCACTCCATCACCAACCGTCCCAGCGACAAAGTTGTTGAGGCCATCCTCCGTGCCTCAGTTCGACCCGGTCGGCCCTACACAACATCGAAAGCTAACGACCTCAATTCTAGGTGGAAGGAGATACCCCGAGATCTCGATGAACTTCCAGACACCACTGTGTATCGATCTCCTCGCCGAGTACGAGAGGCCCTTGAAGAACGGAACGAGCCTGTTATCGAAGTGTCCGATGACGATGAAGCCGAAGGCGGCCAACCTGCAGAGCTCCCCCCTGCTTATCGAGTTCCTGCAGAAGCCGGCAGAGAGGTCATTGCAATCGACTCATCCAGCGACGCTGATGGCTCGGACATGGATGTTGTCATACTGCCTCCTGCTCCTACTCACAAGCGATCGCGCGCAGATGGCAGCTCTCAGGACGGTTCTCCTCATCCACCAGCGCGGACTGGCATGAAACGTCGTGCACCTCCAGTTGATCCACCTGCCTTGATCGACACAGCTCCGCTGCAGATGCGTCCCAACTTAGAACTCAGACGTGATGAACCTGCCCCCGACCAAAAACTCAGACATGATGCATTGGCTTCCGATTTAAAGACCCAACAGTATGCCTGGCCCCCCAACCCTACTCTGCCCGTCGCAATCCCCACAGCATCCGGCTCAAGTCATCCTACATACCGCAAGTCAAAGCCTTCAAAGAAGAAGGAAGAACCCAAGGAACCACCATACTATGTCGACAGCCGGCTCGAGGTAAAGATGTATCGAGGGCCTGGCTATGAACGCTTCCCGGTTGCGCTCGGCACCGTCGAAGGCCACCAGGAGCTCTGTGATAAGTGGGACGCCGATCTTGTTACGAAGAGAGAAAAGAGACTGGCAAAGCTACAACGAGAACAGAAGATGGGCTACATGACCTATGACATAGAGTCAAGCTCTGACGACGACGTTGCAGTCGAGCACAACGCCGCTTTGCAGAAACGCTGTCTTGACAGTGTGCTTGATGTCTTCCCCGATATCGAGCGTGCCTTCGTCCAGAAGAAGATTCGAGAAGAACTTCCAAAGTCACGATACGTTGAGGATGACGACGACGATCTCATTGTTCTTGGACCGCCACCTCTTGCTGAGAAAATCATCTCCGAGATCGTTGAACTCAAGTCTTATCCGAAAGAGCGCAGTTCCAATGCCACAGCTAGCAAGACGAGCTCAGCAGTTGATGGTACAGGGATCACAATTACATGGAACCGAACGCTTCCGAAAGACGACATGTATATGAAAGATGCCACCATCTTGATTGCGAAGCACTTCCCGCACGTCCCAAGCCACTTTGTTGACGCGATGGTAAAAGAGAAGAAGTCAATCTTCGATACTTACGTCGCTGTCCACGAACTGGAAGACCAGTACTACACGGTCCATGCTAAGCCTTACGCGCGTCGAAAGCAACCAAGACCTGACCTCGAGAAGAAATATCTGTTGAAAGCCAGTGACCGCCGCGTCCCAGGAGAGTATGCACACCGCGTGAATGAACTGCAAGCGGCGAAACAGTACGTCATGCGTGAAGAAATCAAAGAAGCCGCGAGAAAGGCAAAGGAAGAAGCCGAAGCGTTGAACTTGGCGGAACATATTCAGTCTGGCGCCATCATGGAGTGTCAATGTTGCTACGACGCCCAGGTACCTCTCAACCGCGTCGTGCCTTGCACCGCAGAGGTTCCGCACAACTTCTGCTTCACGTGTGTGGAGGGGCTGGCGGACACACAAGTCGGCATGTTGCAACATGAGATGCTTTGCATGGACGATAGTGGCTGTGAGGCAAAGCTTTCCCATGAAGACGTCGGCAGAGCAATCCCCATCACCACCTTCGATCGCTTGGAACTCAACGAACAGCAAGCTGAGATCGTGGCCGCCAACATTGAAGGACTGGAACAATGCCCGTGCTGCGATTACAAAGCCATCTGCGGAGATATCAAAGAAGAGCCGGTCTTCTTCTGTCAGAACCCAGAGTGTTCTCGCGCGACCTGCAGAAGATGCAAGAAGGACGATCATGCACCAAAGACCTGTGAAGAAGCCAGTGTGGACAAGGTCTTGTCAGCGCGACATCTCATCGAAGAAGCCCGCTCAGCAGCTGTCATCCGGACATGTCGAAAATGCGGCGCGCCAATACTCAAGGAGTTTGGTTGCAACAAGATGAGTTGCACACGATGCGGCAGTGCCTTTTGCTACGTTTGCAATGACGACATCACCGACTTCCCTGGTGGTTCTTACAATCACTTTGGTCCAAAGTGCATCCTCTATGACGAGCCCGGCTACAACAGACATGAAAAGGAGGCCATCGAAGCCGAGAAGGAAGCTATCGCGAAAGCCAAAGCGATGAATGCCGATCTAGATGAGAGCCAGTTGCGAATCGACCCTGAGATCAAAGAACCGCGCACTGCTGCCATGCAAAACCTCCTCGACCACCCTGCCGGCGGTGTCTTCATGCGCGACATCAACAATCGTGCCCTTCGAATCAACGACCAGCAACTGCACATGCAGCAGCTGCAGGCACGTGTCGAGCAGCTCGAGGCACGACGGCCAGATCGTGAGGTCGGCCAGATCCTGGCCGAGGCTCGTGCACTGGCCGGGGGGTTTGGGATGGACAACATCCCACCCCCCGAGGCCAGATTGCAGCAGCTTCGGCAGCTGCAAGAGCTGCAGCGACGTGCGCGGGAGCGCCAGGGAGGCCGTGGCGCGCAATAGGCGCCAACGGCATGATTACGTCGGGTGGACGCGGCGCCGATGGGGCGCTATGTTGTCGACGTCGCGGGCGCCGGCGACATCCAGCGTCGTGCTGACATTTTGACGACGGCGGAGTGCCGGGAACAAAGGCACTTGGACACTTGGAGTTTTTGTGTACTCAAATAGACAGGAATGGCACTTGATTGTAGATGATCCTTTCCCATTGCGCGTCGTGTCCTCCACAGGTATTCCACCCCTCATCACGTGTTTTCGTGGCTGGACGCGATGTGTAACGTTCGCCTGTTGACGTCACTCGACCGGCCCCAAAGTCAATGTGGCTCGTATTCTTTCCCGTGTTCATTGTTTGAGGCGCCACACAGGCCGACAATGGGCTGGACGACAGCCATTTGCATCTGACATCTAATGCTTGAGCCTCTAGAACCCCCATGGCCAAGTTACAGGGGGCGACGGTGTCCCGAGTGCCCGTCAATCGAAAGCGAAAGCGCCAATCCAACGATGCTGAAGTGCAGTCAACCGACGCTGACTCGGTTACCACTACATCGACAACGACTACAGTACCGGCGAAAGGGCACGATGGGGGCACGAAACCCAGAAGAACCAAGGCATCCTCGAAGCCAGCCATGCTGCGCCGGAATTCCTCGTCTAACCTCGTCGAAACGGAGATCGTGTGGCCAGAGCATTTCAAGTACCTATCTCAACTACACCGCGCTCTGAATCTGGTCTACACGTTTTGCTGCACCAGGAAGCACTTTGCAACGACATGGGACAACATCAAGGCTGCGGTGGAAGGACATATCAAGAGGCCGCTGGTGGAGGACGATGTGGCGCAGGTAAAGGCCTTGGTCCCTCGAGCCATCAACTTTGCATACGTGGACGAAGAACACCTGCTCGTCACGCTAATGGGTGAGGAGGACGGTGTCAAGGGTGGCAGGGCACAACATTTTCGATCGCTGCAAGAGGATGAGAGCGGACCGAAAGACCCGCCGGGAGAAGCCAAAGAGCTGCTTTTGTTCGAATTCATTGATGGCGATCTGAAGAGACAGGTCATTGATCCGAAGACCGGGCAACCGACAAAAGCAACAAACAAGTTACGCAACGAAGACCTCAAGATGCCTGTGTTCAGCCAGAAGTCCATGCTGAGGCTCATCGAGAAGCGCAACGCCAAGTTCACGTCCGCTATCAATTCATTCCTCAACCAGTGTGCTGAAGAGCAAAAGGATGCAGTCGAGAAGATTATGGAAGTGAAACAACAATATCTTCCCTATCCCTCCACAAGTCGCCACGCAACCCCAGCTCCGCAAGTTGAAATCGTGCCCAAGGCAATCCCGAAAGAACGGAAATCCATCGCGGACATCGTCAAGGAAATCAGCGAGTTGGAGTGGTATACGCACCAAATCGTGCCAGATGGACATCGCGTCTTCGATCCTCAGCCTGCCATATACGGTGATCTGAGCTTCCCATTGTCCCAGAACTTAGTCAATGCGCTGTACAACTGCAAGAACATCACCAAGCTCTATTCTCATCAAGCCGAAGCAATCAATAATCTGCACGATGGCCACCATGTTATCGTGTCTACGTCAACAAGCTCAGGCAAGTCGCTGATCTACCAGATCCCAATGCTTCACGAACTCGAAAAAGACCCCGAAAGTCGAGGCATGTATATCTTTCCGACCAAGGCACTCGCGCAGGATCAGAGGAGAAGTATGAAAGAGCTGCTGAAGTACATCCCTGGCTTGGAGCATGCCATTGTCGAAACCTTTGATGGGGATACGCCGATGGGGGAACGCAATCACATCCGGGACGAAGGGCGGATCATCTTCACAAATCCCGACATGTTGCACATCACAATCCTGCCACAGGAGAGCGGGTGGCGAACGTTTCTCCAGAACCTCAAGTACGTCGTTGTCGACGAACTGCACGTATACAACGGCCTCTTCGGCGCCCATGTAGCATTCATAATGCGTCGATTGCGACGAATATGTGCCGCAGTGGGAAACCGCAAGGTGAAATTCATCTCTTGTTCCGCCACAGTGGCGAACCCACAAGAACACATGAAGACGATCTTCGGCGTCGATAAAGTCAAGCTGACGGATTTTGACGGTTCACCGTCCGGTCGGAAGGAGTTCCTATGCTGGAATACACCGTTCAAGGACCCAGGAGACCATTCCTCCGGGCGAGGCGACGCCTTTGCCGAGACCGCGCGGCTCATCTGTCAGCTCATATTACGTGGTGTTCGAACCATAGCATTCTGTCGCGTGCGGAAGCAGTGCGAAGTCCTACTCGCTGCAGTCAAGGCCGAATTCACCAACCTCGAAAGACCAGAGTGTGCAGCACTGGTCATGGGCTATCGAGGCGGGTATTCAGCTCAAGACCGCCGGCGCATCGAATCAGAGATGTTCAGCGGTAGGCTCATGGGCATCATTGCCACTACTGCGCTCGAACTAGGTGTGGACATTGGCTCCCTTGACGCCGTCGTCACTATGGGTTTCCCCTATACGATTGCTAACCTGCGACAACAAAGCGGTCGAGCCGGACGCCGAAACCGCGATTCCCTCTCCGTCTTGGTCGGCGACTCATTCGCCGTGGATCAATATTACATGCAGAACCCGGACGAGATTTTCACGAAGCCCAACTGCGAATTGCAGGTCGACTTGACCAACGAACTTGTCGTGGAAGGACACATCCAATGCGCTGCGTTTGAAATGCCCATCAAACCCGACGAAGACGAGAAGTACCTGGGAAAGATGGTGACGGAAATATGCGTGGACCGACTCACGTATGACCCGATGGGGTTTTACCACTGCAATCCCCGGTTTCGACCTTTGCCGTCACGATGCGTGGCAATAAGGGATACCGAAGAGGATCATTTTGCAGTCATCGACATCACGCACGGCCGAAACGTCGTGCTGGAGGAAGTGGAAGCGTCGCGTGCCTTCTTCACGCTCTACGACGGCGGCATCTTCCTGCACCAGGGCCGGACATACATGGTCAAGGAATTTTCGCCGGAACGAAAGATGGCACGCGTGCAACTTGTCAAAGTCGACTGGACAACGCAGCAGCGCGACTACACCGACGTGGACCCTATCGAGACGGAACAAGTCCGCCGCGTCTCCGCCACGTCTCTGACAAAAGCATACTTCGGGCGCATCAAGGTGCACGCCGTGGTATTCGGGTTCTTCAAGGTGGATCAGAAGCGTCGCATCTTGGATGCTGTGGCGGTGGACAATCCGCCCATCATCATCCACTCAAAAGGCCTGTGGCTCGACGTGCCTAAATACGCGCTCCAAATCCTTCAGCACAAGCGCCTGAACCTTGCGGCGGCGATCCATGCCGCCGAACACGCCCTCATGAGTCTCATGCCGCAATTCGTGGTCAGCATGCCCGGCGATGTGCGGACCGAGTGCAAGAACGCGCTGAAAGAGTTTGCTAAGAAGGAGACGCAGCGTAAACGGCCGGCGAGACTGACGTTTTACGATGCGAAGGGTGGGCCCGCCGGAAGTGGAATCGCGGCCAAGGCGTTTGAGTTTATCGATAGCTTGCTCGAGAGGGCAGTCCGGCGGGTCGCGGCCTGTCATTGTCTGGATGGCTGCACCGAGTGTATCTGCGATGAGCGGTGCAAAGAGAAGAATATGATCATGAGCAAAGCAGGGGCCGAGGTGATTCTGAAGAGTCTTCTCGGCATGGAGATCGATGTCGATGCTTTACCTGAGGGAGAGGAGGAGCGAGTTCCTGCTGGCGTTGAGACCATCGTGTTCGCGACTGAGGTCATGGGCCGGGACGGGCGGAGGGTGGTTGAACGGGAGGATGTGTTCGTGAAGAAGGAGAAGAATGACGAGGACGCGATTGTTATCAAGGATGAAGAGGATGATTAAAGAAATGACGAACGTGAGGGTCTCTTATACGAATAAACCTGGCATGATAGATCCGAGAGGATTAGTCGTACCCATAACGATTGAATGCCTGAGATCGATGAATGGATGTACTTGCAGTCTGTCACGATTCAAGGAAAGCTTGAGGTCGACGAATTGAACTGATGCCTATGCAGTCTATCGATCGCCGACGCCGAGCTAGAATCAATCTCTACCGCCGCCCCTTCTATCTCGCTCCCCCGTCCAACGCCCTGGTAGCATGCCTGACAAACGCCTCGGCCTCCCTCCTCACATTCTCGACATCCACGCCGCCACTCCCATACGCCCTCGCGATCGCGGCCTGGACCTCCTCCTCGGCCAAAACACTCTCGTCGCCGCCGCCCTCCATCGCCACCGCAGTCCGCCAGTACTCGTCATCCGTGGCCTTCAAGCCGGGATTCCTGACCACGGCATTCCGCGCAATACTGTAGGCCCGCAGATTCGTGCCGGCCATCTGCAACGCCAGCGTCGCCTGCGTGACCGTCTCCTCGGTCCTCCGCCTGCTGAGTTCGGGGTCTGCGTCCACATCGGAGGTTGCTGCCGCCAGCGCGGGGAACAGATAGAACCGCCGCGTGGCCGAGGCGTAGATCAGAAACGCGACGGCCGCGTCAAAGGCCACGAGCGACAGGTATCGGAGCGACGACCCGATCCAGAACGTCCCCGCTGGGGCCGTGGTCGTAGGGGTTACCACGGGCGCGTACGTCGTCGTCAGAAACACGTCCAGGCCCGCAAGAACGAGGGCGCCGAGCACGGTGCCGTGCCGCCAGGTGCTGGCTTCGTAGCCGGAGAGCGTCTCGGAGGTGGCGAGCCCGAGGGTGAAGATGTGGAATAGGTGCGGGAGGATGGTGTTCGTCGGGAGATGGTAGAGGAGGTAGGAGAACGGGTCGTCGGCGTGGCAGAATTGGCAGCCCAGAAGCGTCGAGGGGCCGAAGCGGAGGTACAGTTGGCGGAGGCTGTCATGCATGCCACATCGGTCAGCAGTCGTTTAAGCACAAGGCATCAAGTGTCAAAGCAAGCAAGCATTCTAAACATTCAGGAAACGAAGTATGCGCACGTTCAAACGATTCGGTTCTGCGATTCTGCGGTTCTTTGCGTGTGCGCAATAGAGTTACGCGCTACCAGCAACAGGGAATAGACAATGACTCATGACTTACGCCGGCGACGTGAGCTTCGACCGCAGCGTCTCGTCCACGGGGATGAGCCGTCCTCCTTCCCTCAGCAGCGCTAGTCTCTGGAACAGCACGTCTGTCGCGACGCCCAGCCGGCTCTGCGTGATGACGAAGACGTTATGCTCGCTGAGATCGCCTCTCAAGTTGGGCCACGAGGCGTAGAGAAACGTGCATATTGATCCGAAGAGAGCGTTGAGACCGCGGGTCGTTTTGCTGTCCAGAGGCCGTGGCGGGGGTCGTGTTCGGTACGCAACTTTGAGAGCCCGGTAGTAGTTGAGCGCTCGCGGGAGGATGAAGGTGAAGAGGAGAGGCCAGAATGGTTTTATGCTATTAAGGGAGGGTTTCTTCGTTAATTAGGTATCCTGTGCGATTCCTTGAATCGGGGTGGCATACGTACCTGCTCCAGAGGGTCATGGCGCGTAATATATCAAAGACAACAGCGTTACATGTTAGATTGGAAGTGTGTCTTCTGAATGCTCTGATAATCTTGCTTCAGTAGTGTCGAGGTCAAGGGCAGAGAGCATTCCTCTTGAGATGTCGCCTCGTCGTTTTATATACGGAGCCGGAAAATCGATGGTCCGCATTGCACGGCTGGAATAATGGCGGCTCTAGGGCTACAGCGTGGTCTACAGTGTCGTGGGTTTGAATACATCACTATAGCTCTTACAGCAGCATCATGCGCGAAAGGAGATAGTCAAGTTCTGAAAGCCAGATCTGAAACATGCCATTGTGAGCACGTCACTGCTTGCTTACTGCGCACCGCAAGTTCTGGCTGCAAGCAAGATGGCTGGCGGCTTTTGTGGTCAAGGTTGGAACTCGTACGCGTTGCGCATCAAATACTCGAGAGCAGAATTAATTCGAACGTCAGTGTGGCCATGAAATGTGCGTGGTCTAGCAACCAAGTGATCGAGAAGTAGCCAACTCTAGTATGGACCGCTGTTCGCCTGCATGCACCTCTCACAGAACTCCTCGCTAAGCCGCTTCATATTCATTCCCAGTACGTCCACGATAGGAGAGAGACTGTGCTTCTTGACCCATCGCGAGGGAGGCGTCTCATTTCTTCTTCGTGTCCGCGCCTCCTTCCGACTTTTTGGCTTCGGCTGTTCCCAGAAATCAGAAACAAATTCCATGTGTCCAACCTAGAGTGGTGTAGTGACCCACCTTTTGCCTGCTTCTCTCGCATGATGGCTGCTTGTTGTTCCTTTGTCCGTTGGAACTCGGTGCCCGATTGTGTGTTCTTCTTTTTCTGTCGCGGACGAGTGTCAGTGTCAGACCCTTGCACGTCGTGGATCCTGTTTATTGAGCCGGCGAAGCCTCGAGTAGCTGCTGTCCGGCGAAAGGATCGAGAAGTCGGAGGTGTCTGTTTGCGAGGCGGTAATTCTTACCTGTCCAGCTTGCTCTTTGAGATTCTTCTCGCGCGCCTTGTCTCTCTGATTACCTCGAGTCATTTTGGCGGCGAGTGTGTGTAGAACGACTTCTGAAAGTCCTGGGTGTGAGGAGGACTACCGAGTATATTGCACGTTATCGTTCGAGGGCGACTGTCCGTGAGAGAGCTGTCGGGAACTTCTGTGTACACTGTGGTCGGAGCCTTACGAGGGCGAGCGCAGGTTGTCGGCAAAAAGAAATCGCGCGTCCGAGGAACGACCGAGTCAGATTCGGAATCAACCTCATCTCACCTCGTCGCTGCGTACCACCTTCATGCCTAACTGACCATGATTATGATGGCGCTGAAGTGTCCGGCCGGTCACTCCACGAAGATCACCGCATTTCTTCAGCACGCACGAGGCTGTGGCAATTGGGAAACGGACCGGGCGTCAAGGGCCAAATAAGGCAGCAAGCCTCAAGCGCGTTTCAGATTCGACTGACCCTCAAGCGTCGTTGAACCTCATCCACTCCTTCCCCTCGCCTCGCTCAGGCCTGAGGAAACCATCGAATCTGCTTCAGCTGCACAATCTTGACTGTGTTGGGCGTCGGAAGGCTCGATTTGTCTTGATATCGCCACGGGCGAGGACACCTTCCCGTCTGAAACTGATCTCGAGGTCTTTTCAGACAGTACAACCATCTGGCCAATGGACACGTCTGGCTCGTGGAATACACCATGGGTTTACTACAGCTTCATCTCGCGCTCGCGCGCTTATTGCGACTGTCATTCTGAGACGAAGAAATGAGGAGACGACAATCGACTCCAGGCCAGGCTCGATCAGAGTCATTGAAGAATTGTTCATTTCTGCCGCCGCCCCTCCAGCTTCTGTCACTTCTGCGAGCTGATTTTTTTCCTTATGTATATTCGCCTCCATTGATGTCCGGCACCTCAATAGCCGTCACTAATCCTATTGTTCTATTCATGAGATACCCTCACTGTTGAATTGATCCTCAGAAATATCTCCTTCCTGCGAACTGTACAGTCCTTCTTAACCTCTCAGAACTTCAGAATACCCAGCGACAGATATCACTCTCACCGATCAAGCTCAACCTGTCCACTACAGCAAAATGCTCTTCTTCCCCAAGAAACTGGCCGGCGCCGGCTACGTCGTGCTCAACGCCATCCGAGTCATGAACATAATTGCCCTTCTCACGGTGATCGCCGCGAGTTCAGTCATGCTGGTCAAGACTTTCATTGTATCCAAATTTTTCTTCTTTGATGCCTGTGAGCACATTATCCGAGTCGTAATGAGCGGTGAGTCTCTGGAATACAATTGCGACTTCGAAACCTATGCTGATTCTCATTCAGGATTCCTCATCCTTACCGAGTTGTCACTCTTCAAGTCGTACATCTCCAAAAACTGGCCTCTGTTCAGCCCTCGATCGAGCTTCGTCATGCTTGGAGTCGCCATGATCTTCCTCGGGAATAGCGTGCTCGGAAATCTCAACAAGCAGGCAACAAGCGAGGAGAGCATTGGCTTGCCATTCTGGCGCCTTGTCATTGCTTCGGGCATCATCGTCTTTGTGATGGGCTTCGTCAACCTCTTCGCCGTGAGTGACTTTAGCGCTCCATCCACCTGAGTACCCTTGTCTGACTGGTGCCGCAGAGCTTCATCTTCCGAGACACCAAAGCCCACCTCACGGCTCGACAAGTCAGATCCCATGGTGCCGTTGCATCCCACAAAGCTGATGTGGAAGCGTTCACGCCGAAACCTCCAAGCCGGAAAAGCCACTACCGATCGTTCTTCCTCGGCAGCAAGCGCGATACACTCCCTTCGTATTCCCGCAAGAACGACGTTATGGTGGAGACGCCGAAAATGCACCTCGCCATTTCAAGCCCTTTCCCTCAGACAGCGCAGAGTCCTGGTGCTTCAAGCTCGAAGTACAGCGCAAGTCCCAAGAGCGAACGGTATGCCATGAGTCCTGAACTCAGCAGACCCGATCCAGCACATCATCCCGCAGTCACCCACGGTCAGGCCTTTTAGGGGAGGACATGATCCGAGGAAGCGTGCTTGTGAAAACACCGAACATCTGCAAGACGAGATTGATGATCGAATACCGGGATCTACATGGCATTTTGACTCAGATATCCATGATGAGCGTTGATGAGCGGCTTGGAGAGGCAAATCACACACCAAAGCCTCGCACGATTTTGCTACTGTTTCTCACACAGATACCCAGGAAAAGCCATACTAATACATTATGAGATACGAAACCCAAGATCAGACTCAAGTTGTGATACGAGTACGAGTAGATGAACTCTCTTCCGACTGCACAGCCAAGTCCGCACACTGTGTATGTGTACGAGGTACACTATGGCCTGGCAGTCAGCCCCCGCAGTGTTTGTGCTATCCTCATCTCCACCAAGACGCGTCCTGTAGTCACGGCCGAAGTTCGAAAGTTCCAGCCCGAGACTTCGTTGGGTACCCCGGTACTTGCACGCGTGTTAGTCAGACGGAATCGGCCTTCCCATGGGCCAGTCGAGACCAGCCTGTGACCCGTTTCAGACTCAGCCGGAGACAGACAGACAGCCAGACCGACAGACCCCCTCTTTTCGCAATTCGCCACTCGTCTGCCCTTCTCCCACGCCTCCCCCTCCGTAATTATCCCACTACGTGTACCTTCTCGCCCTTCATCCTATCCCATGCTCTCCCAGACAAGCACGCAGCTCCCCGAACCCGAGGTCCCCACCAGCTCCCTCTCGCCCCCAAGTCTGGCTCTTGTTTAGCTCCCGCACCTTCTGCCCAGGCGCGGCCCCTATGCACCAGGTCATGCTCTCGCCCGATCGGGTCAACCACTTTCCCAGCACGGTAGACTCGATGCATTTTCATGCTCCAGCAGTGAAAAAATCGCCACTCATGTGGAGATTCGGGCGTCTATAAGCTTTGCTCTCCTTGACGGGTCGCCAGTGAGGACCGGCAGAGGGGGGTTCTGTGTGGCGAATGACACGAGACTGCATGCTGGCCGTTGGGCACCAGACGCGGCGTGCAGTTCGTATGTACGTAGAACGCGGCACGGGGTATCATTGTAAAGTAGCCATATCTACTAAGGCCTATGACTACAGGTAAACAATCCATGTCCACAATATGCCAGGGGTGTGGTTGTCGTTGTCATCTCTACATATCTCGGAGCGTAGGGCCCTGCCTCGGTACATACATGGCAGTATGAAAAGCTGTGCACTCCAACTCTGTTCTGCAGCTGATCCTCGTTGCTGCTTCGATACGTGTACCTCTTCCTGCGTGGTGCTACAATCCCCGTTGAGACATGGCCAAAGAGCTACATGAAGAGCGACATACAGAAGAGCGACGGGGCAATCGGGGTACGTACCTAAGAATGTACCGTGCCACTTCCCGCTTGAGGTCGGTCGTATTCGCTTTAATTATGTACAGTATCCACTAATTGTTGAGGTACGTACCTTCTTCCCCATCCCCTCTCCTCCCCGTCCAGGCGGATCCCTGTTCGGCGAAGAGTCCTGGCCTCGGCATATCCTCAGCTCCATTCAGCGCCTTTCAGCTCATGCACGGCTTCCCGTGGCCAGCCCACGGTGATTTGCCCATTGGATGGTCTTCCACTCTCCAGGCAAAGTCATACGACACTGCACCAAGTACGGAGGACACAGTACCCAGTGCGAAGTATGCAGCTCCCTTGGAGAATCTAGCCGTGATCAGCTCAGCCGTGGTTTGTACAATCATGGCAGGAAACGACTGTACCCCAAATGGCAGGACTGGCACACCCGAATTCACTCTCAGGCCGAAGTTGGCGTGCTCGCGAACGGAAACAATAATCACCTATATTATCCCAGCTCCGACTCGCCCGTCACCTTAACACAGTACTTACTGTGGTACAGAGCGGCAGTAAGAGTAAGAGTACTCCGTAAGAGTAGGTACGTACTTCATGACCCCGCCAGATCCTTGCGTTTCCGTCGACGGGGTCAAGCCTCGTCCCCCCCTGGAATTTGCGGTCAGAAGCGAAAGCCTCCTGTCTCTCATGCTTCAATATCCGATAGCCAGAGGAATTGACAAACCGGCTCATTACTCCAGGACGATGCCGCAGGTACTCCCTAACCTGATGACATTTCACTGCGCATCTACTCGTACCAAGAGTTCTTCAGACGCGCCGAGACTCACAAGCCCCTCATGCAGTCGATAAGATCACCCCGCCTTGTTTTGCACCTCTGGGTATCTACAGGACCTGGTGCTGGGCTAGTACTTGCTACTTGCTGCTTGCTACTTGCTACTCGTACAACCACACAGCACCCGATTGACCGAGGGGTCGTAAGTCCACTGCCCTACGTGGTAGTTGTACTTTCAAGCAGAAATATCTACTCGCAGAGGGGGTGCATGAAGCACCAGAAGGGTTCGGATGCGGTCAGGTCGGTACACAGTCCACTGTACGGCCCTTGTATGGAGTATGCCTGCCCCTAAGCCACCTCGTCTAGGGAGTCCTGTACTCAGAAACAATCATCCATGTAGGGTAAGTACTGGGGATTTATGACCTCAGTACGCTAAACCCTACGACCCAAGATATGAGATGCCCAGTCACCCATACAGGCGCGAGGTGCTGGATTTTATGAAATGGCAGACCTGAATACACAGTACAAGGAAACGCAGCCGCGAAAGACTCTCAAGCACTGCAGATCACATTGTTCGGATACCAGCGGGCGCTCCACGACGGACTTGAGTGCCGATTGACTTACATACGTAGCAGTCATTCTCTGGGTTGGATGTATCTTGTGGTAGCATGAATGTAACGGTTCAATCGTTCAATCGTTCAGCCACCTCGCCATCCGAGTCCCAAGCATCCCCATCGCGTGTTCCATGATCTCGCATTCAATATCTATGTGCACTGACTGGACACAGTAACACAGTAATTATGTATCCGCGGGTACATATGCTGTGCAGTACGAAGTACTATATCCGCCGAACGGACGCAAACGCAAAAGTAAAGTGCAACCAAGGCACCATTCTCTAGGGTATCCAGATACGTACATTAAGTTACAGCTTGAGCGAACTTGCCACCACAGCAGTACATAGCAACATGGAACGGAAAACGGGCTCTCCTGTGGAATCATGGTATAATGAGGTGTAAAGGTGTCGCTTTGTGGACCAACGCACAGTAGTAAAGGCCAAGTTTGTATGGTCGGCGTCGAGGCTGGCCATGGCACTGGCACTCGGGCTTGCGTTCGAGTTCGCTGTGAACGTCGTCCGGAGTGAAGCAGAGTACAGAGTAAGGTCCAGTGTGAGTGTGCGTGTGCGTGCGTTTATGCAGTAGTTTTGAGTTCATGGTGAAATGATATCACAACGTACCTACGGGCATGGGTGGGTGATAATGGAGAGAGCACGACGGAGATGATTTGTTTACCATTCCGATCAGCGGGCATGAACAAAGACAAGGTAGAAAATGTGGCAGTGGGCTAAAGAGCACTCAGCGTCACTCTAGGTATGCGACGTAAGTAGCTACCTGATAGCCCAAGTCCCTAGTAGGTAGGTCCGTACACAGGTACACATGTACTCATATGTACCCATATGTATCCATAATGATTTTGCCGCTTTGACGCTTCGATGGAACTTGCATGTGATGTGAGATGTGAGACTCGAGATGGACCCAAGGCGGCAGATCAGGTTCACGAGTCAGTCCATATTTGTACTTCTACCCACGCAGAGCATGTGATACCGCACTACACTACACCACACCACAATACACTAATTACACTCAGTATGTCCTCGAGAACCGACACATCTACTGGAACAACGGCTGCCTGCCGAGGTTCGTCCCATTCAGGCTCGAAACCGACGCCGCGGGGAGCATGGCATGGTGTGGTACCCGGCCACGCTTGCTGTGCACTTCTTTTCCTCCCTTGATCACTTACTGACTGTTTGTGTGGGTACTGGGTGGGTACTGTGTGGAGGGCTTCGGGGTGTGGTGTGGTGAGACTGTGAGATTGTGAGGAGCATGGCACGGTACTTATGCTGCGCTGCTTAACGGTGCCGTCATGCGTGTGTAGAGAGCATGGGGCAAAGAACAACTGTGCCGTTTGTGATGTGTAGAGAAGAGACAAAAAGATCAAGGATGCCTTCTTTGACGTCTACGAGGCTTGAGGAGCGGCCTGGAGGAGCACCCCTGTGGTATACAATGAGTGAGCAGCCACAAATACCTCCAGGCTCCTCTGGAAATCTCTGTCGGATTCGCCTTGTCTACCTCTCTGGCTTGGCTTTCCTGTATTGCAGCCGATGCGACATGAGAGGGGGTTGAAAATGACAGTGATGGTTCATAGCTTTGATGCTTGATCTCTGCTCGTTGATAATTCATCCTGGTATTGTACTTGGACTGTGGTACGACTCGACGGCTGATATCACATGGTTTGGCATATAATTAAGTAGACAGCAAACAGTCAATTTGCGCCTGACTCCTCCCATGCACCTGACATTTCCTGTTCGTTCGTGAGGTCGTTCTTTCGTTCTTTCGTTCTCTCGTTAGCGCTGAGTAAAGAGTTGGGTTGACCACCATTGAATCGTCGAACATTGTCAAATCTGCCCTCCCCTCCTCATCACTCGATCGACAAACGTATCTTTCATCAGAATGTTCCGTGTCCTTGCCATGACCTTCCTCGAGCCGTGCGTCCCATCCAAATCCTCAAGTCAACAGCCATCCGCCGGGGGATTTACTCCTGGTCCGTGACTTCTCCCTCACCACGTACATTTTATCACCTTTCTTGACAAACCCTTTGGTGTTGGGCGTCAGCGTGGTGATCGTCTTGGTTTCCTTGACATATGGTCCTGTGATGAGCTTCCGCTCCTTCAGCCGGCGGGTATGTTCGAAGAGCTCGTCCTGTAAGGAGTGGTCGATGTATCTCTTAATGATGATGAATTCGTCGTCACGCTGTAGATCAGACAGGGAGAAGCAAACGATTAGCAAAAATCCAATTGGAGGAATGGGTGTTGAGCAGAAGAGCGCACACAACGGGTATACGCAGAGAACGAGGCGACTGTGCGACACTGCCGCCAATCCAAAGCGAACCACAACATAACAATCAAGATAGGGTGATACGTACTGCGTCCCATTCCCAGGGCAACCCGTAGTGATCCAGCGTGTCTGGGTGGAGGTATTTTCGATTGACCTTGATAAAGGTCGGACGGTGGAGGTCGATAGCCAGCGTCGCACGCTGGGCTTTCTTCTTGTGGAGCACCTCTTCGATTTCCTCGGGAGTGTAGCCTGTGATACCCAACAGAGTGAAACCATTAGCCTGTCGTCCAACTCGATGCAATGATTACCGATTTCGACCATAATATCCCCCAAACGAGTGGCCTCCGCCCAAGCGGACCAGAGTCAGACTTTCAAAGCAGGGAGAGTGACAACCTCTCCCCACCGAAACGAGGACGGAGACCTTGAGAGTCTGGCGTCCCTGGAGCCCGTCATGACCGGCTAATGGAAATAATCGTAATAGCGATAACGGGACCTGCGCATACCAGCATTCATGAACTTCTCCTTGACCTTCCTCTCGAACTCTTCCTCCTCGGCCTTCTTCTTCTGCTTCTCCTTTTCGCGGCGCTCCTCCTCGTCCTTGAGGATCTTCTTCCTCAGCTCGTCCTGCTCTTTCTCCTTGCGTTCTTTCTCCAACTTGGCTTCCAAGAGAATCGCCTCCCGCTCCTTCCTCTTCCGCCTCTCTTCCTCCTCCTCCTCCTGCTTCCAGCGCTTTCTCTCTTCTTCGCGGTCCCTCTTTATGCGCTCCATGACTCGCCGCTCTTCTTCTTCCTTGTGTTGCGCCTTGGCGAAGTCGAGCTCTTTCCGAAACTTGTAGGGTAGATCTTCCTCGTCGATCGGGTCTCGTTTGCTGCTCGGCCGGCGCTCTCTATCGGGGCGGACTCGTTCTGGGCGATGTCGGTGTCGCGATCTCGAGCGCTCACTGGAGTAGCTGGAGCTGGAGGAGGATCCGTCGCGATAGTGATGGCGATGGTGGCTACGGCTTCGGCTGTGGTCACGCCCACGGCCGTTGCGCTCAGAGAGGGCGCCGCCGCCTATATTGATGATCGCAGGTGCCACGCCCCCACCCTGGCTGGTAGCACGAGGGCGAGTATGTGGCACCTCGAGGAAATTGTTCACCTCAATGGGTAATTCATGGTGACGGCGGCCTCGTCCTCCATATTCGCTGCCGCCGTGGACGCTCTTCACGGGCATCAACACATATTCGCGGTCGGAGTCCGACGACCGTCGAGAGTAGGCCATCTTCGTTGGCTGAGTCGTGCCCCTCAGGTTAGCGTGTCCTCAGCCCTGTCACAGCAGTCGAGAAAGTTCGGGGTCGGTGGTGGGGCAAACGCCCGATAGCTAGAGGCACTACAATCGGGCGTGGCGACGCAAGTCAGAGATCCGACCAAGGATACGCCCAGTGGCTAAACAAGCCTCAAATGTCTCCTGTCGTGGTATTAGTCTTCGTGCTCACGGCAGAAAGCGATGAAGAGAAGAAGGAAATGTCTTGCCGCGGGTTGGTCCGTGGTGGGGAGGCTGTTTGCTTTATTGTTTTCGTGGGCTGCAAGCGAAGCCCAAGCCCAGTTTGAGCCTGGACTGCTGAACAGCACCCACAATCTGCAGCTTTGGGGGCCAGGCGAACCAAAGTGGCGAGCAGGCACGGAATTATGGTGCACCCGGCGACAATTGGAACCAAGCCCGAAGCCGAAAATGAACCAAAGATCAAATCTTGCCAATGAAAAGCGCGCGCTTGTAGGGGCTTGGGCTGTATCACGAGAAAGGTGTCCAGGACTGCTGCGTCTGTTCGCTTGCAACAGTTTGAGAGTTGTTTGAGATCTAACCGGACACGAGGCAGTGACTCTGTCGTCTGCCAATCTTGAAATGGGCTGCATAGCTCTATTGAGATCCTGTTGAGATTATTGTCTGAGGGTTTCATCCTCCTGCGGTCAATGGACTTGCACGCTTTGTGGGCCTGATGGACGCCTGAAGGTGCACGTCCACGAAGCAGGTATGCGTCATTCAGCCTGCTTAGTCTTGGGCGAAAGATATGTCTTGCTCCTGTAGTAGGCTTTCCACAGCCCAATGGCATTGCCTAGTCTCTGGGGCACCGGTGAATCGAGCTTTCTCCCCACAGGTGTTGAGGTAGACCGCTAACGCCTGCCAAATACGGGCTCAATCCTGCATATATGACATGGCCGGACAAGTCCCGTCTATCAGTCGCGGGACTACCGCTTCCTAGCATTGAGCCTCAAATCTTTGTCAGGAATGGCGTAAGGCACCATGACAAACTCATTGCGTGGGCAACCATACCCAATAACGATTCACAGGAGTTCGGTATCCCTGATATCAGCAACGCACAGTGGCCCTTCGTCTGCTGCACCTCTCCCATAAGACCTCGTGTCAGAGCCGTACTGCTGTCTGCCTGTGTTGCTTGTGCTTCGGGGTGTCCGTCCAAATGTTGCCAATAGGATTGATCGAATTCAACCCCATGTGACCGCAATAGGCATACACCATTGTCGCGTGCTGCCAGTGCCACGACTAAATCAGGACCCCCTTTGTGGGCGTGCCAAATGACCGACCACCATACAACGCAGCTGTCCATATGGCAAAGAAGTTGCCCACTGGGCTACTATCGTTGGGGTGGTTTGTCGTCAGCGGGCACCAGTTTGCAGAATCTTTTCAATATGCTGTCGACTGTTCTTGAATGTTGTCTCTTGGTAGTGCAGCTTCTTGTCCAAGTCGGCAATGTCCTTCTGGAGAGCAGCCGACTCAGTCGCTAGCCGCTCATTCAAGGCTGTCATGGGCACAGCAACGAACCTGGAAGAAGAGGTCTCAGTGCTGTAGAACCGTAATGTAAAGGCTACCTACATTTTCCCCACACCTTCGTAAACGTTTGTGTCTTTAGACAGAGATTTGAGCTCATTGGATGTCAGCTGGTTCAATCTGGCATCACGGCGTTTTGCAGTGAGTTCTGCCTGTGTTTGCGTGATTTTCTGCTGGGAAAGCACGGCTTGTGCTTCAACCTCCTGAAGTAACTGCGAGAAAGTGAGCAAGAAGTGAGAAATCGGCAAGGGAAAGAGCAGACCTTTTGAAGCGCGGCATTTGGTATCGCCATCTTGACAGAAGCTAAAGATTTCTAAGAGACAAACTGGAACGAGTCGAGATTTTGAGCCCGCAACTCAGTTGACTTTGATGAAAATGCAATATCCGCGCCCTGGAGACGTGGGACACGCGCTTGAGTGCTCAGTACGGAGGTGGAAGTGCACCAAGTTAAGCACCGAGGGATCGTCGCTCCGGGCTTCAAGACTCCGATGGAGGGGCCAGAGGCGGCTGCCATTCACGTGCCAGCGCTCAAAAGATCCGCCTGCCGGTTCCCCTACTGAGTACTCCGTACTGTAAGCGACGTCATCTTGCCCCCGAGACAAAAACACGTTTTGTCGCGGCTCTACTCCACTGGCATGTCGTGTGTTGTAAGCAACCCCGTTTGGTCAACATCCATTCCATCCGCTTCCGGCCTCGAGACAGCTTTTGGAAATGCGAAAGCCACATTAACTTCCCGTCGATATGTTGTAGCCTCAAGCCACGAGTCCACCAAACGAAGCGACCCTTGAACACATCAGCCTCAACAAGCATGCCCTCATGGCTGCCTTCAGTTCCTTACCCCCCGCCAGGCCAGCCCGGGTTCTGGGATCCGGTCACTAGCACTCTACAATGGTGCGAAGAGGTATGAGAAAAACCCCTCAAGATGGAGGAGTTGATTCCAACTGACGTGATAAGGACTACTATGCCACCTACTACTCCGCCGAGATTATCAACACCTTGACGAACTTGATGTTCATATACCTGGCATATAAGGGCGTCAAGAGCTGCAGAAAACATGGACATGACACGGTCTTTGAAGTGGCATATTTTGGCTATTTCCTCGTTGGATTCGGAAGCTTCATGTTCCATACCACCTTGAAATACCCCTGGCAACTGGTCGACGAGCTTAACATGATCTACACCACCTGCCTGATGGCCTACGCCTCGCTCTCCTACTCACAGCCGAGGAGGACCCAGGTTTATTTGGGCGTCTTCTTTGTTCTCTTTTGCGCAGCCATAACCGCCTACTACCACTACCTCCAAGATCCGGTATTCCACCAAACCGTGTATGCCCTCCTCACCGTATTCATCGTCTTCCGCAGCATTTACAACATGGAAACCTCACTTCGACCCTCCCTGCGAAAGTCGGAAGAAAAGCACCGCCTCGAGAGGAAAAGGTCCGGGGTGCCTGACGTGATCAGCAAAGAGCAGCAAGCATATGAAAACCAAAGAGATCGGCAAATTCTCAAAACAATGTGGATTCTCGTGGCGTTCGGCGTGAGCATTTTCCTCACCGGCTTCTACATCTGGAACCTCGACAATATCTACTGCTCCACGCTGAGGCGTTGGCGGAGAAGCATTGGCATGCCCTGGGGTTTCTTCCTTGAAGGACATGGTTGGTGGCATTTGATGACCGGGATCGGGGCCTACGACTACATCGTCTGGGGAATCTATCTACGGCACGTTCAGAATGGAGATCAAGAACATTTCAGAATGGTGTGGCCTAGCTTTTTCACGCTGCCGGAAGTTGTGAGGATGTCAGACCCCCCGAGGGATGCAGGGATGAAGGCCACTGGCACTGATCGTGATGTATCTGCGAACGGAAATGCAAACGGCAGTGCTAATGGCAGTGCCAAGGGGCATGTCAAGAAGCGGAAGTGAGAAGTCAACATCTAAGGATAGATTAGAACGACCTCTATTGAACGAAGCCATTGTGAACACGCGACGTACGTTTAAACACCGAGACTTGTCGATGAGTCCTGTATTCCCCATCGTCGGACCGCAGAAAAAACCTTGCCGTGTCTCAGAAAGCCCTCGCGTAGACCGCAATCGACATCTGATATTTCCCGCACAATCCAACAGACTGCCCAAAACACGGTACACAGTTCGTTTGACTCGACGACAGGCCCGTGAGGGCGCTCCCGCAATAGCAATCCGCCGTCGCCCCCGATGAAGCGAAGACGGTGCCGAAGAAGTTTGCCCCGTTCTTGGTGATACAGATCGCGGCGCATTGAGCGTCTATGTTGTTCATAGAGCTGCCTGTCAAGGTCGCGTTGAAGCCGCCCGACGTGGTCTGGCTGTCGAATCCATACATGCCGAGCGCCACACAGGAGCCCACACTGTTGCAGCCTTGCGACCAGCAGCCCAAGTACGCAAAGTTGGATTGTAGCATCGCCCTTTGGACCTTGTGCTCCGGTTGCGCCCGTCGCGCCCGTGGCTCCGGTTGGTCCGGCTGGACCAGACGGGCCAGACGGCCCGGAAGGACCTCGGACGCCCTGTATCCCCTGTATCCCCTGTATCCCCTGTATCGCTTGCGTTCCTGTTGGGCCTTGAATGCCTTGAATGCCTTGAATCCCCTGGATCCATTGGTTGTCATGAACCTTATGGATAAGGTGTAGTAAGGAGGCCAGGTAGGGGTAAGATGCCATATGATACTGAAGCTATCAGGCTGTCTAAGGTCCTGGGGGACTATTCCCGTATGTACCTATAACCACACGACTGAGTATCCACCTGGGGTCTCACATTGGTTACCTTGTGCTCCGGTCGGACCAGCTGGACCGGGAGGACCAGAAGGCCCAACTGCTCCGGTCGGACCTGGAACCCCTTGCGCTCCAGTTGGTCTTGACGGGCCACTAGGACCTGATGGCCCAGAGACTCCAGTCGGTCCTTGCAAACCTTGGGCTCCGGTTACGCCCGACGGCCCCGACGGCCCTTGTTCCCCTTGAACACCTTGCTCACCAGTTGGGCCTGCTGGGCCTGGCGGACCAGAAGGCCCCTGAATGCCCTGTGGTCCGCTTGGTCCTGGAGAAGAAGTTAGTTATTTTCTCAGATGAATGATGAAGGTTTGGATTGATAGAATGGTCGATAGAATTGTCAAAAATCGAATGGCCCCATTCGAATTCTTGATGCACCTTGGGATTGTGTGAATATCGGTCTCATGAAGCATGTGGAAATTGCGAGAATATTTCCCGGTATTGATGTGAAGGATGTACAAGGAGACCAGCTATGACAGTGCAGTGAAGTAGTGTCGTTGCGTTGAAAAGTGCTTGACTTCGATAACATAGGTGAGAAAAAGAAGACGTGTCCAGATCGCAACTATGTATCTAGTAAGAGTGAAGGAAGTGGAACGAGAAAGTCTTACCAGTTGCACCGGTTGGGCCGGCGATACCCTGCTGCCCTATACGTCGAGACAACGGGTCAGCAAATCGCCTTTCTGTGGCAACCAAGGACACGTCAAAGGTGCGGCGACAGATCGGAAGTAAACAGCATTCAACCCTCTTTCTAGGCCATCAGGCACGGGAGGTTCCAGTAATAAACTCCAAGCCAAGGTCTTTCCCAAGCGGGAAAACATGGATTGGCGCTTGTCTTTCTTCCACACACAAGGGTCATATGCATTGGGAGGGAAAGGTGGCATAGTCACCTTGTTGTCCTTGAGCGCCTATATCATCTTACGTTAGTCACTCGGAATTACCATGCCAACGGCAACAAAGGAGTGGCAACTTACCAGTAACTCCGGTAGGACCAGTAGGACTAGAAATGATGATCAGCATCAACCGTCAATGGACGAAATGGAAAGGCGTCACTTCCTGTAGCCGGTTTACAGCTAACCGAGAGACAGGCAATTACTCACCCCATCGGTCCTGCGGCGCTGTTAACAAATGCAAGTCTCTTGAGAGAGTTCAGCCTTACCAGCAGGTCCAGATGGTCCACTCAGGGTTGAGGCACCAACAGCAGCGCAGGAGCTGACCCTCGTCATGCTCAATGAGACGAAAAGACAATCCGGTGGCGCAAGCATCGGATCGCCAAAAACTGAAATAATGGTACTGTGAGAAAGAACACAAAATCTGGCCCTCATGTTGTAGGAAGCGGAATTGCTCCACATTAGGTTGTTCTCCATATCGACAGAAAAAGCAGTAGTGACATCTCCGGGATTGACGCTTGCTGTAAAATTGGCATAGGTCGTGCCCGATGTGGTTCCGAACTGTAAAGCGCCAGAAGTCGAGTTCGCAAACAGTCTGCCATTGACTAAGCTGTATACCACGGCCTCCGTACAGCTATCGGTGGCTTGCCCTGTGCCACCAAGATATGCGTGGGCCTGGCGCTTTTTGAGACGATGATTGTTTGTGGGTCCACGAATGTCATCGCGAGCTTGAACGAATAGCTTTCGACGTAGGTGAAGGACGGAGACGAGTGTCTGAAGAAGTCAGTGCCTGACCAAAGGCCAGGATGGTATCTTCCCACGTTACGTGTGCCATGGGCATTTGGGCGTTCGCGTTCGACTGGGTTATAAACATAGCAGTAGTCCCCGTAGATACAGAATCAATGCTAGTCGGCGCATTGTTGATACTGAGGGTGAAGTAGTCGGACACTTTCAAGGTCGTATTCGTATCAGCATAGTACTTGATATGTATCTGAATGAAGCTGATCAGCAGCTGAAGCAGAACTTTGAGTGTGAAGTTACCGGAATGAGTACCAGGATCTTAGTCACTGTCACACTTTTACGGTGCAGTTTAAATCTGCGCTTTGGGCCACGTCTCGTGTGTCAGGGTGAGGCGAGTTCCCCGAGACTCGGTTTGCGACTGACACTGGAACATGACCCGCTGCTGTCAAACTTGTGAATAGTAAAAGCAAGGTGAGAAACCAAGTTGCAACGGCTTCTGCGCGAGCCATGCCAAAGGAAGAATCAATCCAGACAAACAAAAAGAATGACTGATTACAGCGGAACGAAGCAGCAACGCATGGAGAGGATTGGAGGCAAGGAGGACCCAGTGGTGAGAGGTGCGAATATATCTGTCCAGGCAGCTCAAGGAGGCCGACAGGATCTGGAGCCTTGCCGAGATTGCACGGTTCCCAGAAACCTGAAGATTTGCCAATTCGAGATGGAATTCATGGTCAAAGCTGCAGATGCTTCACTCGAATCACCTCTCCGCGACGATGAGTTGATGCTGGAATGCTTGCGTTGCGACGGGAACGAACGCGCTTTGGACAATGTCAGTGCTGTGACCGGACCGACGGCTGTAGGCTGTAAGCGAGGCATTTGCGGGGCAAGATTCTTCAAGAACAGGCTCCAAACATGGCATTAAAAGTCAAGATGCGGATCAAAGCTGTAGAGATTGTGCCTGAGGACGAGAACAGATACTCCGTCCTGTGTCCAGGAAACAAAAGGGAAGTGAAGCGGAGGTGAAGTGAGATTGTAACAGGAAAGTGTCTTCATTGTCACGTGCTTGCTTGAGGCCTTGCCCTCGCCCGTGTTCTTTCCTTATCCTGCTCACCAGGCAACAAAGGATACGATGGTCGACCACGGGGCAAAACCACTCGGGTGCATAGGAGTAGGAGATTCTTGCATTGCTGTATAGATCGAGGATGAATAGTCGTCTTCGTGGTGAAAAACGCATTATCTGTCTGGGCTGGTATTCTAACTGCTCTCTTTTTTACCCAGACTCTCAAGGTTCGGATCTCTTGACACCCACATCATCGGTATCTTAGCATGGCCGAAAACTTCAACATGGCCGAAGACCACGGCATGGTCGAAGACTACAGTGCGGGCGAAGACCTCAGCATGGACGACCTACCACAGAACTCGAAGAGAGAGTCTAATGTGGTCTCTACGCACAATCAATTGCTGGACGCGCTCACTACATTTTTGACCGTCACCACACACCATATTCTCTACCTCCGTCGGCTTTATCCACCAACCTCCTTCCTTTCCACTCGAGCGTACAACTACCCCGTCCGCCAAAATCGGCATCCGAAAGTGTGTGCGTGGGTCAACGATGCTATCGCCGCGGTTCGTGATCAGTTGCAGAAGGATGTGGTCGAAAAGCTTTCACTCTGCATATACGAGTGCAAGGGCAATCGCGTTCTCGAACGCTGGACATTCGATCTTCGATCGTTGCCTCAGGTTATTCAACGCGAAGATGACATCCCTATCGAGCCAAAACCGCCAAACGAGGACGACGATGGCTACGACGACGAAGAAGAAGACGACGACGATGGCGATATCCTGCTTGAACAACTCAATCTGGCTGACCTGGAGGCCCATTTCCGTGCCACCTTGTGCCGAGTTGCCACCTCAGCAGCCCGACTCAGACCGTTGCCTGAGGGGCCGGGGGTTCCCGAGTGCAGCTTTACCCTTGCTCTCGAGGTCAAGGACGAGGCTGACCGGCCTGTTGGTCGCCTGGAGAAAAACGAGCGGAAGTGGATGGCTGCGGAACAAGCGTCGGCTCTCAACCGTCCACGTCCTCCGGTTCCTCAGGCAAAGTCACAGCAAGACGAGCAGACCCTAGACAAACCATCGCCCAGAACACATCCGGTACGCCTTTTGGAGGTCGGGGAGCTTCAGATGGAAGTCTGGGTGGAAGAATCCGCAGCTAAATTTGAGTTCGATCTTCCAACACCTGCGCCAAACCCATACCTACCTCCAAAACAGGACACAGCCAAAGTGACTCACACTGCGGCGAAGGATTAGTTCGATCCCGGCGGTACGCATGCCAACCCTCTCGAACCACCGTACGTCAGCCGCAACCGATAGGGGGCCAAGTGGCAATCTATCGGTGCGGCTGAGTCGTCGCAAAACGTGGACTCTATTGCTCGATTTCTTGAGGAATTTAAGTCCATGCTATCATTCGCACATTGGGCTATGAATAGTGGTGCAGAGCCATTCTTACAGTATCATGGCCTACGGAGATGGCAATGCAATAAGATTACAAGCTCATTATCCTAGGCATTGACTTCGTTTGAACCATCACGATCCGCCCCCACACCGCACTGATAGGGTGGATGTCCTGGATCCGAAGCATACTGCTTGAGAGACCATTGATCCCGGTGTTGAGCTCCTGAAGCGGCAGCATCAACCTATCCTCTTCGGACTCCAGCAGACATACCCGATCCTGTACTATCGAGCTTCCGATGAGCCTGGAATTTGACTCTCGCCCTCGTCGGCACGCCAGCGATATCTGAATCCTCGATTGATCTAGAAGGCGACCGCGATGCTTAGGGAAGATGAAGGCGACTTGCCGCCGGGAGTCCCATCGCGGGGTTCAGAGACAAGATGAACCGAAACAGACAATTGTGGCAGAATCGAGCGATCATTCTTGCTTCCAGTTCTTAACTCATTGATCCGTCTACGGTTCACTTCACTGCAGGATGATCTGAACATCTACCTCAGGAGCACAACATCAGGCACACCTTCTGACGGCCCTCGGTACTCGTGCAAACAGAAGACACAGCAGCTTTGTTCGTGACACTTCACCTTTCACAAACGCCTTTGTTGGGGTGACGTTCTTCCTTGTCACTACAAACCAATCTTCATCTGTGACAAAGTCGTTTGTCCGAGAGGCTTCCTAATCACTAACCAAACACTTTTGACAAGACACCTGGATGAGGTCCTCTTTATTGTTATAGCACCCCATGGCTCAGCTGCCAGGTTCTCACTTGAGCTGCCTCGTGACAATGGGACGTCCTGCCTTCCACTCTATATCTGAATGCCATAGTCCTCTCGAAGGTTTGTCCTCTTTCTCTATTCCACACGATATCCACAAACGGTTGACCTGAAGAAAGTACAAAGGCCCTCACAGATATAAATTTCCAACAACCTCGAGGTTCTTTTCGAAACTGCAAAAATATCACAACACCCTAGGACTCGTCATCATGCGACCCTCGACTCTTGTGTCCGCTCTTCTCGCAGGAGGTGCCCGAGGCCTCTCAAACTATCAGCTCGTGGGCAACTACTCTGGCGTCGACTTCTTCAGCAACTTCCAATTCTTCTCCGACCCTGATCCTACAGCAGGGTTCGTAAAGTACGTGGACCAGGACACTGCGAATTCGACTGGGCTCGCCGGCATCGCCTCCGGTGACCAGTTCAAAGACTTGCCGTATCTAGGTGTCGACTACTCCTCGCTGGCGCAAGCTGGAAGACCTTCGACCCGTATCGAGTCTCAGAACTCGTTCAACTCGTCAACTCTATGGGTCACCGATATCCGTCATCATCCTGGTGGCGTTTGTGGCGTTTGGAGCGCTTACTGGCTTGTTGGGCCGAATTGGCCATGGGGTGGTGAGATCGACCTGCTCGAGAACATCAACTTAGCAACCACCAACAAGTATGTGTTGCATACTGGTGCCAACCTTGCTGTCTCCAATATCAGCGATCCTACCACCGCAAACTCAAGCGGTATGAACATCCGCGGTCAGTTCAGCAACCTCAACTGCTCTGCAGCTGCTGAGGGTAACGTTGGTTGCGTTGTCGAAGGCCAGGACAACACCTTTGGTACAGAGTTCAACGCCAACGGTGGAGGTGTCATCGCTCTGGAATACCTGCCCGAAGCAATCTCTGTTTGGCAATTTGCGCGAACTGAGATTCCTGGCGACATCTTTGATGGCACTCCGACTCCGTCGACCTGGCGCCGTGCAGATGCGCACTTCGTGGCCACTGATGGCTCGTCCCTTGAGTACTACTTTTATTCGCTGCGAATGGTCTTCAATACGAATATCTGCGGGTCTTGGATCGACAAGGTATGGCAGACCAGTGAGTGCGCTGCTCTGGCTCCTTCCTGCGCAGCATATGCCGCAAAGAATCCCGCTGCGTTCAAGGATGCCTACTGGCTCATTGGCGGAGTCCAAGTCTACGAGGCTGTCGCCAGTGATATGAACGCAACTGCCATTCCTGCAGTTCCCGCAGCCAACTTGACCTCCGATCTCAATTATCGTCGTCACGTTCGTCGATCTTCGCGAGGCCAGGTCTGGTGATTGATCTACAATATATCAGTTCTGTTCCATCACCCGACTGATATGTTGATCGATCTCATTATTCATGGGGATGAAAGGCCATGTGAGATGGTAACATACCAACAGTTTCGACTCGATATGCATTGTAGCGAGTCTGCAAAGCTATCTCTAGGGCACAGGATTTCAATTCAACACATCTTGCGGCGTATCTGCCACTGTGATATCTAGGGAATGTCGCGCTAGCGCGGTATCAGAGTCGGCCTGCATTTGTTCATGAGGGAGTCATGCCCGGCACAATCAGACTAGGTACGATTTTGAGGATAGGCTACAAACAAGCAAAATAATAGAAATTCAGAAAGAGACGTCTGATCCAGCTCAATCTTGAACTTGTTCACGCGTTATTCTCTCCCGGGTTATCTGCTCGTACGCATTGTTTGGAGCCAGCGATTCCATTGTCCTTCCCTTGTACGTAGTCTTCCACACCATTCCACCTTGGATGACACCACCAGTGCTCTACCATTGTCCACTGCCGGGAGATTGATCCTGTTCTGCCGCACCCAGAAATATCACACCGTCATGACCATCACTGACTGCCGCCCGTCGGCGCAGCTTGCATTCACTTGTTCTGCCCTAGACTCTTCACAAGATTCGCAACCATGCCCACAATAAACTCCCAGTCTGCCAGCTGAGTCCTCGCCTGTAGGCTTGTGCGCTTGTCCATAGATAAAGAATTTCCTCCCTGCGTTCGCAAAATATCCATACCACCAGCGGCTCATCATCACCATGCTGCTGCTGCTGCTGCTAATCCCGCTCCTCCTAGGCTTCATGCCAGCGATCCTCCTCCCGCGGAAACGGCCATGGCATTCGCATACGAGGGCTTGGCTCTGCCCAACGAGTGTATCCCTTAGATCTCAGTCTTAGTTCCACTGCCGATCCCACCTCGCTCAGAACCGCAACTGCTTCCGCACAGTCCACAATCGAACAATACCGTGTTCACTAGCCCGGTATCGGTCCAGGTGCTGAAGATTGAAGACTCAAAGGGTCCTGCCTTTGACGCGATCACATTCGGCAACGGCACGAGGATCACATTCGTCAACGGCACGTTCCCCAGTCCTGCCGACGGCAGTGTCTCTGGTGTGTCTCGTCTGGCTCGTGTCCTGGCTCGTGTCGTGGCTCGTGTCTATGATGTCCAAGGGAACCATGGAGCCGACAATCGCGTCCGCGGTGTGAGTACATACATCTTTTTTCTTTCTTGCAGCCATGCATGCATGCATTTATCCCGTATTCCCTGCCCATTAAGCATCTCTGTCAGGCATCCCCGTCAAGCATCCGGTAAACTTGATTTCTGAGCGCCCCCCAGTCCTTCAATACCGACCTAGATCCTATATTGGCGACTGCGGTCCTCGGAATAGCGCCGAAGAAGATGTCTTTTCACGGTTCACGTCTCTGATGCGCGTTGCCAGGTGGTAGGTACGAACTACGAAATGCTGATGCTGATACTAACTTCCATGCAACAGATATACATATGCCAGTATCCCAACTGGACGGGGCCCTGCTTCGGGACGAAGATCTACCCGTCTATGTATGATCACTGTATGGTGATTGTGGCTGTTGGGGGATGGGCGTCACTTGGGCCCGACGAGGGGATCACTGTTGATTTGTACCGGTATGTTGTGTTCTGTTCTAACATGTTGTGCGATGTTTTTATTTGTTGTGTTGTGCTGTGCTGTGCGGTGTCCTGTTGTGTGGTGCTGTGTAGTGCTGTCTTGTGCACTGCGGTGTTGCGTTCCATCCCCTCCCCTGCTTCCATACGCGTCGTGCTAACATGGCATACCTGATATCCCAGGGACTCCTTGTGCCGGGAGATATTCTGGAAAAGATCTGACTTTCCCCGGCGACGCTGATGCACCTGCGCGGATTGCGGGCTCGGGTCTCGCGCCCGTGCAGAGTGATTTGATTGGAGCGGTTTTCGGAGGCCAGGATGTGACTACCTAGCTCATGAGTATCAGCATCAACGGTCTGGGGAGAGGGGAGAAGGAGCAACGAGGGAGGGGAGGAGAAGAAACCAGGGAGGGGGAAAAGAAGATCTGCATGCTGTTAGACAGTGAAGACGACGGATGGCCATCGGGTCGAGGGAGGAGACGACCATCTGCTGGTTTAGGATACTGGAACGGTAATCTGTGAGGGCGGCATGTCAATGAAGTGTGGTGTATGTCTTGGACAGAACGAATAGTGAGAAGTTAGAAGGAGAGTCCACCATGCTCGAGAGGACAGTCTACTATGCTCGTCTGTACAATCAGTCCTTTGCATGAGCGATCGAGCTCGGAACAGGTACGTGTAGGCAAGTCCGCCCGCCGAGTCAGTCCATAATGAGAGATTACCTGGTAGATTCCTTGGTTAAAGTCGTCGAGACTGGATTGTCCGCGATCATGGTCTGCGGGCGAATACAAAACTAGACTGGGAACTGGAGAACGATTGTATTCACGGAACTGATGAGATGATTGCTTTCCGGTGGGAGGCATCGATGACTGGATTTTGGCCATGAACCCCGCTCGCACTGCTCGGCGTGCACCTCATTGTGTACCACAGTACTAGATAATCTGGCGTGTATGCTAACGAAGACAGCAAGGGGAGTAATGGAGCAGAAAGGCATGCGTGGTGCTCCGTTTGATTCCAATAGGAGAGAATCTCAGAATCTGTCGTGCGGTCAGGACACAGCGAGACACTTACTCGCGTGATCGAGACATTTCAAGCGTGCCGAAGCTGGGTGGCTAGGTATTAGACAAGCTGATCACTGCTAAGGCAGGAAAGAGTACAGGAGGGGACAAGACAGGACCAGGACCAGTGGGACGCCAGGTCTGGATTCTAGAATGATGAGAATATCACTACAGAAACGCACTGCACGGCACAGGCACACAAGCTGATACAATTCTGCACTAACTTCACCGTAATCAGTCTGGCGGCGCAAAAGTCACGTCAAGGCACTTTATGTATATCAAACTCGGCGTGAACACGCCTTGCTCAGCGTTCTCTCAGTTCTTGACCTTTGATCTATATTTTCGTGACCACGGGTAGCAGCAAGAGCAAGGAGACCCTCAAGGGTCCAGACCGTGCAGGGGAAGATATATATTGTGAAGCATGAGCATCAAGTAATTATTCCGTACTCTGTACTCCGTACTCTGTATCGTCATCCTCGCATTGGGCTGTTTGCTAGACTGTACCGACCACTTCTTTCAACTCTATATTCGTACTCCGTGATACATCGTGGGTAATTCAGTGGCTGGACAGCTAACTCTCTGGGCTCTCGAAGACTCCAGGTCCGGCACTGTACATTACATTATGTTCCGCGTACTTTGTAGTTCGTATTGTGATTCCCCCTCCGGCCCACGGTTGAAGCAATACTCCTCATGCGCGTGAGTATCATTGCGAATAAAATAGAGTAACCCCGAGTGAAATGATTTGCATGGCATGGCATGGCATGGTACGGCTTGCCCCTTTTTGCTTTAATGCAGCACGAGCTCGAAGTCAGGTCAATACAGACAGGCAGGGTCATTCCTTCATTCATTCATTCGTTCCCTTCCCGTTTCCTTACAATCCCAATGACAACGCTAATGTCATCCAACTTGCCTCCCTCGGCGGCTATACCCTCGTCAAAGGCACGTTCCATGTACGGACTCTCGGCGTTCGGATCCATGGCGATTTCTCTCGCCGCGTTCATCAACCTTCGCGCCACGTACACGATGCCGTCTTTGGCGTCTCCGTCGTCGTTTGCATAGCCGTTTTGCTTTGGTTTCCCGGTATCGCTGGTAGCTGATGAGGCCGCAGAATCGTTCCACTGGCGAATACTTTCGCAGATGTTCTCGCAAATTTCATGCTCCCATAGATTATCCGTCACGCCATCGCTCAGGACGGCGACGACGTCGCCGACTTGGATGTCTTCAATGGTATCGCAGACTGCGTTGCCCGTGGGGGTGTCGGGGGAGTTTGTGCCTAGTTGGCGAGGACAATCGAACCAATGCCACTGTTCCTTGGAGTGGTAAAGAATGGTCCCGCCGCTGGTCTCGGAGTCCGAGTCCGAGTCAGAACCCGACGACGAGGTCGAAGGAGATTGGGCTGCAGATGGCGACGGGCGGATCACAAGGACTTTGCAGTCCCCCAGCGTTGTGGCCAGGATAACTGGCGTGGATCCCGAGGCCCCTTGTTTGTGGTATAGCAGAGCCGACGAGGCGGTGGTCGTGCCGAGAATGTCGTTCTTGGAAGACTCCTTTGCCTCTGGGGACTCCTTGGAGGATGATGACGACGTGGGCGTGCCGCCAGGGGACGAGCCGTCGCTATCGTCACTTTCACCCTCGTCAGCCTCCGAGTAGACTTCCTGGTCCGGATCTCTTTTGAACGTGCCCTTTGTGGCCTTCTTGGTGGCATCGAATGCCGTCTCCAAGCTCTTGACAGGATCGACCTCGTGGGCGTTCGCATCTCCCCCTTTCACCAACGACTTCTGGACCTCGACGTCCCAGAAATGCGCTATCAGCCTCGACCACAGTGCAGCGTGGCCACGTTCCTTCTGCGCCCAGGCACCGACTCCGTCATTCACAGCGATGAACCTCTGGTCTGCGCCAATAATGATTGCATCGTCCCCGTTTGTGATTCCCCGGATGGGTTGACCATTCACTTTTGGTCGACGAGCGCTGCGGGGAATCGAGGAGGGATTGTGTGTGGTGAGTGGGTCTGAAAAGGAGCCGGACGGCAGAGACACAAACGGGGGTGGGAATGGGCGGGAGGGCCTTTTGGCAAAGATGGAGTAGCCTGTCTCGAGGTAGAAGGGTGAGCACGGCTGGTGAGCATCTGAGGTTGCTGGACTGGAGTCCTTGTCCGATTTGTGGATCGTAGTACGACCTTCGGAGATGAGGTAGCGACGGCAGAGTGTCGTCGAGCTGGAAAAGTCACGCAAGTCGAGGCTGTAAGGTCGCCATCTTGGAGACCGTCCTGGCCCTGTTATAGGGCCTGATCCGAGTACTCGGAGTGAGAGGGGACGGCACTCGACCAGTTGTGCTACAGCGTGCCTGGAAAGTCGGGTCACCTGAGCAAGCATGGAAAGGACCAGAGCGCTCTCATAATGAGGCGCGCTTCACTGCTGGGGCCTTCTCCTGGTGACAGCCTGCCGTCAGTGATAGCAGAAGATATGGAGCACCAAGACACGGGACGGCGACGGCGACTATGAGGTGTAGACTCCGGCGACACTGCGACGAGTGGAGCGGAGCGTGGATCAGATCCTGCCAAAGCTTAGCAGCGGCCGACCTCCGATCCATTTTCTCCACCGCAGCACGATACCGGATTCACCCGGCCGCGGTGAGTAGATCGAGTCTTGTACAGAGTAATTAGTCGTAGGAAGAAGGGACGGAGCTATAAGGGAGACTTCAGAGGCCTGCCGTGTAGTCTGTTGTCCAACAGGTGCGCGCGACTGATGTACACAAACATATATATACACACTCCTGCATTGGTGCTCCTTTTGCCTAGAGTACAACATATACATTTTGGAAGATGTTGAGTGGTGATCGACTGTTCACAGAGACCGCAAGATCCAGCGCTGCCGGCCTTGAATCAAGACGTAAGAGTATGATGCTGCGCGGACGGCGTTTCTGATAAACAACAAGAAGCCGACAAAATGCCAGACATTGACGCAGAGTGTGGCCGTGAGTCGGTTCGAGGCGTGAATCCTCACACGATTGCTCTCTCCTCCTCGCGCCTTGCGATAAATCGCTCAGCTCTGCCGACGAGCTCCTCATACACGGTCCATGCCAGGGCAGAGCTCAACGCTTTTCTCCCCATCCTCAGGCCCAATCCGTCGAAGAACGCCTTGACGCCGTCCTCCTTGAGCATCAGCCGCGTGGCTTTCAAAGTATTGCCATACTTCTGCGGCATGAGCTGCAGCCTCGTCTTGACCGCGTCGAACGGATTGGTCATGCTAGTCGCCAATCCTGCGGCCAAAACACCACTCGAGGCATTGATGGTGGCTGAACTCGCAATCGAAGGCCGCCCTTCTAATCCGTCGAGCGCAGTTGTCTGCTCCGCCGCGAACATCTTGTTCAGATGCGTCTTGCACTGCTCATAGAATAGCACGTAAAGTCCCGCATACGGTGCGTCGCGAACGGCGGTAGCACCGAACCCTGAGAAGAATCCCTTCAGACCCTCCGACGCATAGATGGAGCGGGACGCCGACGCGATGGACTTGTACGCGTACAGATCCGACTCGTAACGCACTTTGATCACCGTCACCGGCATGAGTATAAAGCCCGCAAACACTCGCGCTGTCGCCCCCGCGATGAGATTTTGCGTATTCGACAGCTTGGGCAGCACGGAACTGCTCTTGCCCGGCGAAACTGCTGCTGCTCCGCCATTCCCAAACGTCGCCGCCGCGGTCTTGTTCGCGAGAAGTTGGCGCAGCGAGCTGAGCGAGGTAAAGTAGAGTGCGGAGCCGAAGCCGGTGCGTAGTGCTGAGGGGAGGGTGCCTCGCCAGAGGCTGGCGATGGGATGTGGCCCGGAAAGGATCGATCGTAGGACGGGTACGAGAGAGGAGGAATGGGATTGCTGCACCCGGGTCTTGAGCAAGTCCGCCGGTTGCAAAAGCACGGCGCTGGACACGCCAGATGTCAAGCCGGCAAAGAAGTGAAAGGTCGGATGGGCCTTCTTGGAGCTCTGGATCGTGCCGGCGCCGCCATTGGACATGTTCCAGAGGCCCCGAGAGCCTTGAGCTGCTGGGGAGAGGCTAGAGATTAGATGTCTGCGGGTGTCCTGTTCCTAGAAGGACTGCGCATGGTGATACACAGCTGGACTGACTGCTACAAGTCTCCAAAGCACCTTCAGCGTCCACGGACCGACGGGCATGCGTGAATAAGCATCGTTGCAGCTTGATGATTTGCGAGTACGTGCAACAAGAGGAGCAAGGCACCGAATGTTATGTGACTGGCTATTCACCAGTTCCCCTACTCGATGAAGTCATTGTTTATACGAAAGGATACGAGCCAATGCCAAGGAGCCCGGCATGGCAGTTCTTCAAGTTGTCTAGACATGCAGCAACAGACCACGCCACGAAAGTAATACTGTCTGTCATGTTCTGGGCTTGCTCTGAAGCAGCAATGCTATTACGCTTGTTCTTGTGTCGGTGGCTCTCCTCAAACGGGAGGCCAGAATGGACATCTTTGTGCTATGGGTAGAAGACGAGAGCTGTCTCGATCTTTTTTGAGCATGAGTTTTAACAAACTTTCGCCGATGCTGACCTTCAGTCTCATGATCCGGAACAACTCGACCTTCAATTGAGAGGGAGGTCATGTCACAGGTTTCTGTAAAGAGTACCTCTCCAGTGCCCCTTCTCATTGCGCGGACATGGAGTGCCCTCGTCGTGACTGGCACTTCTGAAGCAGGCAAAGCAATACCGACTCACGGTGCTTGAACTTTCACTTTCGAAGGCTCCAAGCACGTTCTCAGTCATGCAAAATGGTGCAACGAGCACAGGTCGTCCTTGCCCTACAAGGATCCAGACCGACTCTTCAGAAAGTCTTTATGGAGCCTTGCTTGTGCTCGCATCCTTGGCGACCCGGGGGGGGGGGGTTCTCGTGCCCAGTGCCGACGTGAGAACCGAGGCCTTTGACCCACTGAGCAGTCAGGTTCGTGCATAATACGTACCAGTGATCACTCGACAAATTTCCCGGCGGATTTCACAAAGGCGTCTGTGGATGCTGATGTGATATAATTCCCGCATCGCGCTGAACCAAGTACTCTGTGATTTACCCGTTGATTATGTCGCCCCGGACCGGAATTTGGTGTCTAGCCACCCAGGTAGCGGGAACGTTGTGAAGTTCTTGAACCGTGTCGCATTTGATCTCAGGGATATTGTGTGTCGGCGTTCAGTCGTCATTCTCGTAGTTCTCTGTCTTCATATCTTTCAGGCCAAGGTCTTCCATTTCCTCCTCGGTCCTCTCATATTCTTCTGTCTTGACTTGCGGGTCTTCGCCAGAATCCACATTGAGTTGCACAAATGAGTTGGCCAAAGGATCTTCGAGGGTGATGGAATAAGGAAATTTGGCCTTGATTGCGGAATCGAGTTTATCGAAAAAGCTGTCCCACTTTGACTTCGTGTCGGCGGTCATTGAGTCACCTCCTGCAAGATCTTCATCTCCGATGTTATAAATCTGGCCATGGAGCTGGTCACGGACTTGAGTAAGTAAGCCCTCCAATGTGGTGAACCGTCCACCTAGAGTGCCTGGTTGTACCTCTAGCCCGAGGTCATCACTCTTGAGAACACAAGACTCTGACTTTAGTACATCCCTGGACATGTCCTCTAGCGTCTTGACTTCGAGAGTGATCCGCTTGCCATTTTCAGGTACTGCACCACCGGTCTTCACATCGCTGGTCCTGAAGCCGCAGTGTTCACATACCGTCGCCATGATGATGACTTCTTTGAAATGTGGGATGTTTGTCTTTTTCATGTTCACCGTGCATGGTTTCCCGCACGCGGGGCACTCGGCGTGGAGTTCGTAAACTTCGTTGTCGACGATGTCGACGCCTTCCATGGCGTCGCCGTTGGTGTTGTCGTCATCATCAACCACAAGGCCAAGCTGCACATTCTGCTGATGGCTGCGTAGGTAATCGGTGCGAACATACTTGGCACCTTTGTCCTCGGTGGATGGCTCGATGAAGGAGTTGCCCGAAATGTCATCCAACGACACCGTGAAAGGGAAACCGCTTCCCTCCAGCATTTTCTCCAGCTTCTCGATGATTGCTTGGAGTGCATTATATAGTTCAAGGCTTGTTTCTTTCCTGGCCGGCTGGTCGGTCTCCAGGTCTGTCTTGATCTTCGAGATCAAGCCCTCGAGATTCGTAAATTGACCCGGCGCAGGGGGCATTTCCAGGCCGATGTCCTCAATCCGGAAGACGCCCGTATCACTGCGTACTACCTGTCTTTGCAGGTCGCCAGGGGTATCCAATCTGAAAGTGAATTTGGCCGCCTTCTCTTGTATCTCACCGGCACTCTTGACCGTGTTGTTCTTCCAGCCACAGTGGTCGCATGAGAATGACTCGAGCAGGATTTCTTTGAAGAATGGGATCTTGATGGGGAGGATTCTGGTAATACCCTGCTACTGTTAGCGCAGTCCATGAAGGCCAGTCAAGGCCACACGTACCTCATCGCGACAATTCATACATAAACTCTGGATCTCGTAGACACCAGTCTCATTGGGGTCTGCGTGTACAACTGAAGGAGCCTCGGGATCTGCCATGACCGTGTTTAATTACCCTCTCGTACACTCTTGGGAATTGTAATTGCTTCTCGGGGTCGTGAGTCGTATCTGCCTGTTATCCTTGACGGCTTTATGTTTAACGCGGCCCCTGGTACTCCGTAGAGTCCGTACCAAATTTTTAATCTTCTCGAATGACGCAGAAGGATCGACGTATGCCAAGCCGGCTGCTAGCGAGACGGCCTAGGAAGTCGCGATTGGCCAGCCTTGTGCGACGAGAAGGCTGAGATCCCGCTCGATGGTCCCTGCGACGGTCGAAGGATCATTTCTTCAACAGATCCAGGAGGTTGAGGCTTGGAGGATTCTTCGTCTGTGCACTCCTATGGAGAAGCGCTTGTAGTCCTTCCCGGTCTTTCCGTGCCCTTGCTCGTTTCTTGCTGGTGGACTTGCTCGTGCTTTCCAAAGATGTATCTGCGCTCATAACATTCTCGGAGGACGATTGAGCAGCCGCAGCCGCGGCCGGTTGCTTCTTCTCTTTCTGGGGACTTGATGCAATGGAAATGACATCCTTCGTGACATGGTCGCATAATGAACAGCGCTGAGAGCGGACCTTTCGCCGTGTGACTTTTTCGCTTTTGAGATCCTTCCGCCCGGCTGTTGACTTATTCGTTCTGACCTTGCTTCTCACCGTCCACTGCGGCAAGAGTATAGTACCGCAAGTAGCACAAACAAACTGTCCACGGTTTGTAACCTGGAAGGAGACCTCACGGCCCAGCTCCTGGCTCTCCCGCATCAGCTGCCTGGAGGTACCCGGTGTGCTCAGGAACAAGTTGAAAGCCGACTGCTGCAAGAACCTGACGCGCAAATTTTGCGCTTCGCTCATCTCGCTACTATTGACTGGGCATTCGAGTCGTAAAGGGTTTAAACGTTTACTTTGGCCGTATGGACAACTTCTTAGTGAGCGAGGAATTGCGTCACATTCTTGAGAAAATTCGGCGAAGCATAAACTCCGTTCAGCGGGTCTAGCTATCGCCCCCTGGCGGTGTTCAGTTTGCGATTACAGCCAAAATATCTCGAACCACGATGTCGCCGCATCCACTATCATTCTGCGGTGCAAAAGGGCACCGTCTACAAGCAGTGCTTGAAGTCCCGAGGCTTAGACGTCGCCAAGAAACGTCTGAACAGTCTCGTCGGCGAATGGCCGCAAACTACAACCTTGTGATGGACCGCGGGGTCGAGAGATCCGTGGGCCTCCCATACCTCCAGTGTTAGATCCGGTCAGCATTTCTGTCGCATTTCCATGTCGCATTTCCACCCGTGACAGTCACCAGGTCTCCAGCACAGATGAGCCCGCCTCAAAGATATTCTTTCGTGAACGCGCGTCCCCAGACGAAGGCGGAAAAGCGACAGACACGGACTGCCATTCGGTCGCACATTGGACGATGGACCCAGGAAAAACAGCAGAAAATCGAGAGCAATACGACGAGCTCGGGCAGTGAGAAGGACTCGCCCCCGGAATCGTCGCGCGCCGTGTCGCCCTCGCCAGCGCCAGCAAATCAGACACAACCGCCACCTCGTGAGAGACTGGGGAGTGTGTGGTCCGACGCGCCAGACAGTGCAAGCAGCGACGGTCCTCCTGATCGTGAAAGCACGGAAGATGATGTTCAAGTCCTCTCAGAACTGACCGTCACAGCCCCGGCGCATCTCCGACGAGTACTTTCGGCAGGCTCGACCACCCATTCGAACTCCGCCATCCAGGTCCTAGGGTCAGGGACCCTGGATCCCTTTCATACCTATCCGTCGGACTTTCCCTCAACATTAGTATCACAGTGCCATGACTATTGTAAGCGATCTCGTCCGAATAGCCCCTACCGTTCACTTCATAGCGAGATCCCAAGCAAGAGCTGACAGGCACTCGTAACACAATAGCACTGAAAGTACTATGGCCAGGGTTGACACCCCGGCCGGCCGGTGTGATGGATCCTGCGGCAAACAGAGCCTGGTTTCCTATGCAGCTCAACGATACCGTCGCTCTGCACTCGCTGTTGTTTGGAGCCCTGAGTCACAAGCGCCTCAATCTGCTGAAAGGAGCCGGGGACCATGTCAGCCTGGACCTGACCAGTTTGGAGCTGGACATGCGGCGCTGCGAGGCCGAATCCATTGCACTGATCAACAGATCCCTCCGCAAAGGCAATGCCATCACAGATGCGATGATAGTGTCAGTTCTTTGCATGGCAGCAAATGCATGGGACTTGACCCTTGAGCGGTTCTTGAACGAGCCTGCCCCTCCACCAATATTTGATCCCATGTTGAAGAGTCTGCAGTGGTTGGACGTATATGGGCTCCTCAGCGATCATCCAATCCATGCCGCCGGCCTCATGCAGTTGATCAAGCTCAGGGGTGGCTTGCACGACATTCGAACGCCGGGTATTGCTGCAACAGTATTCTTGTAGGTCAACCTCAACGCCCTCGACTGTTCTGGCTTGGACTGACTGTCTCGTTTCCTGGAACAGTTTTGGTATTCTCAAAGCAAGCAAGCATCTTACCTCGCCTCTGTTCCCTTTTGTGCCTCTTGTCGAGGACGCCGAGCCGAATCAGACCCTGTGGAGTTTGTTGGGCACATCCCCGAGTGAACTTCGAGACGAGTTTGTGTTCAGCGGCCTGTCCGATCTGGGACTGACGAATGAAATGGCCATGGTCATGGTTGCGATGCAGCGATACGGACAGAGTGTCCAGTTGTTTGTGGATGGCGCTCTTGCAGATCTTGATCTCGCCCGGTTTTGCGACAGAAGGAACCTCATCCAACACACCTTGCTGTCGTTGCCCCCACAAGAAGACTTACCGGCCTCGGCTGCTCCACGACCCATCTATGAGCCAACTCGACTCGCCATGTTAATATACTCTCTGACTGTCATCTTTCCGCTGCCCCACCAAGCAGCGCCGATAGCTCTCCTAGTCGAACGGCTCAGATCGGCTCTTCGCGGGACCGACATGCGCACCAGCTGGTCCTCCTCGCATCAGGTTCGGCGCCTCCTCGTGTGGATCCTTTTCATAGGCGGTATCGCCGCGAGAGACATGCCAGACGACCGCTCATGGTTCGTCGCCTTGCTGAGAAGGCTGACGACGAAAGGGAACCGGCTCAACAAGTACGAACATCTAAAGCGAGAAGTGCTGAATCGTATCTTGTGGCTTGACCGGTCCTGTGACGCTGCTGGGAGGGTACTCTGGACGGAGATCTTGGGTTCTGGGGAATGATGGTTTTTGACAGAGAGTACTGTGGACCGAGATCGAGGAGGCGTCCTTTCCAGGAGAACCACCCGGAGTACGGAGCATATACACCCATTTCCATAGGATGGGGGAGGGACGGGAGGGGGAGCAGCCACCATTATATCTGTGATGCTGCGGCCACCAATAGGCACGAAAGTACAAATACTAGACCGGGCACAATCAAGTCTCCTGGCCCGGTGGTCTGCCGTGCTCGCCAATCACGGTACCAAAGGGGCATCCCCTTTCCTCTTATGGAGTATAGCAAGACAAATCATGTGGGGGAAATCCCTTCGTGAGACGAGACAAGGCACCCTGGATGCCGACGCCCACGAAACAGTGCACGTAACACAGGGATTCGTACTGATGACACCGAGAAGGCTGAAAGGTGCTACCCTTTGTTGACTGGCGGTTATTGCCCGGAATTGGTTACAACCCTTTTGGCTCCCGGTGATGTGGCGTCTACTTCTGCCGGCGGATCTCCGCCACGATACGGGGCACGGAGTACAGAGACCACAGATTAGCCCGGAATTGGTCTCCGGTGCGCCCGGGCATCTCTGATACTCTGGGTGGTTGTGTATCCCGATTCTGGGACGAGACCGTGCAGGAAGGCTTGCTTTCCACGCTCACCGCGCCTCAAAACGATGCCACTTCCAACTTACTTACTTCTAGTACAGTACCACTGGACACTCGTCCGGATCGAGTAGTAGAAACGCCCGACTCATCGAGGGAGCAACGGGAAGGAGGCAAAATCTGGTGGAGACTGTTTGAGCTCGATCAAAGCCTACCTGGCAGGAAAGCAGACCGTCAGACAGATCTCGCCAGTGTTTATGGTACGCGCGGAGTCCCACGTACCACAGACCCCGAATACATACCTGGATCAGCGACGCACCGGTGGCGAAAGAAGCGCGTTCACCTCTCCTGTCGCATTTCGCCTTCTCTCACATGACAAGTGTTGCATGAAAATACCTAACAATTTGTTTTGCTGCGAGATAGGCGAAGGAGTATAGACGGGTGGGTAAGAGGCTTGCCACGAGGCATCAATTTCACGTCATCGGCATCCTTGAACGCGGCGTTGCCACTGATTGCTAGAGCGCCGAAAAGAGCCGGAGTCATCTCAAAGGTAGTGTGTTTGCATCCTCAGAGTAGCCTGCCTTTAGATACAAGCCTCCTGTGGTAGGAATTGCGGCCATGATACTACTGACTTGTGGTGCTTCTAGATGACTTCGACGGCTGATGCTGACCAGACATGTATGAGGGTGGTAAAAATCCAGGAGGATCGAGGTGCAATGGTCCGCCAGTGATGAATATCAGCCATCAGGGGGGAAAAGGTCTGCCAAACTTATGATAACGCTCGACGGCACATTCACTGTCGACGCGTCCTTGGACGGCTCATGAAGGACAATCGGCATCCGGGGAAAAGCCGAAGCGAGGCAGTCTGTCACCGCTGGGAGACTTGCTACCGGCTCGCAGCGTACGTCAATCCTCATACGATCCAGTTTGTGGCCTCATGGTTTGCAGACATCGGGAACAAGATCGACATATTAACACAGACTTTCATGCCCAGAGCTTCGCCTGCAAGGCTACGAGGCTGCGGTCTAAGGCCGTTTAACTCCATGTACTGGCCAAGCTTGACTGCCTTAGGCCTGCAATCTTGATGCAAGTCAGGCTTGAGACTATGGCTTTTACTGCAGAGCCGAGGAGACGCATGAACCCACATCACCAAGCACGGATATCCATTCGGCGAGGGGTGTCGTCGTTGGTTCGACCCAAGACGGCCAAACAGGTCAACTCGAGAAGTCTTTTCCAATGAGAGAGAGCAGGCTCGTTACTGAATGAGGAGAAACCTCGTCTGCCTGTCCACGGAGTTAAGAGGCCCGGACTGGTCATCAACGGGACCACTTCACTTGCGACTTCTCGACAACGGCCGCTGTTCCAATGCAAGTAAAGGTATAAATAAACCTGATGTTGCCACGTCGGAAAGGCCAGCAGAGCAGGTCGAGCCCGTCTCTCAAGAGTTACCTATACTCAGTGAGTCAAGATGACAGCAACCACTCACCCTGAATTCAACGCGGAAACCGAAGCTTTGGACGTGGCAAAGGCATTCCCTGACGCGATCCGAGGCAAGACCATCCTTGTCACCGGGGTCAACCTCAAGGGCATTGGCTTCACCACTGCACAGGCTTTTGCTTCCCAAGCGCCGGCGCACTGCATTCTCGCCGGCCGCAACAGGACCAAGCTTCAGGAGTGCATCGAGGAGCTCAAGAAAGAGTATCCAAATGTCGACTACCGGGCACTGATCCTCGACCTCGGCAGCCAGAGGGCCGTCCGGGGTGCTGCGCAGGAGGTTCTCTCCTGGGATGATGTCCCCAGCATCGATATCTTGGTCAACAATGCTGGGGTGGCCACGATTCCGGAGCGCACCCTCAGCGAAGAAGGAATCGAGATGACCTTCGCCACCAACCACATCGGGCACTTTCTCTTCACATGCCTCGTCATGCCCAAACTCATTGAAGCTGCAAGGGCCAACCCAAAAGGCGCAACGCGGATCGTCAACGTCAGCTCCCGCGCGGCCGAGGCAAACGGGATCCGTTGGAGCGATCTCAACTTTGAGAAGAAGTCGAGGGAGTTGCCTGAGGATGAGCAGCCGAATTACCAATTGCTCAAGCTGTGGAGCATCTCTAACGCGCCAGATCTGTCGTACATTCCTTTAGAGGCCTACGTTCAGAGCAAGGCTGCGAATGTCTTGTTTGGTATCGGACTCACAAAGAGGCTGTATGAGAAGTACGGCATTTTGAGTCTGGCGATTCATCCCGGTGTGATTGACACGGAACTGGCGAGGCATTCGACCAAGGAGCAGATGGCCGCCATCAAGGACAGAGAGCGGCGCGGGGAGTTCACGTACAAGACCCTGTCCCAAGGGGCGTCGACGACCGTGGTTGCAGCAATAGATCCCAAGCTTGGGGCCAGCGTGACGCATGATGGCAAGGAGGGCTACGGAGCTTACCTCATGGACTGTCAGATTTCGCAGAATGCGCATCCTCGTGCGAAGTCGAGTGATGAGGCCGAGAAGTTGTGGAGGCTGTCGGAAGACCTTGTCGGAGAGGAGTTTTCTTGGTGAGATATAACTTGAACTGTCACAATTGCGCCCAAGAATCTAATAATACCTTTTATGGTTTGCATTGGGGAGCAGCTTGTCCGACCACTGCAGTCTAGATCTGGCGGTAGATTTGGCTTGTCTTGATATTCATCTGTCTTCCAGGATCTACCCTCTCCCGCTCACCCAGAGGAAATGGTAGAAAGCCGGGTGTGACTTGTTACAAGAGACCGCAAACCCTTCTGGCGCGCCTTGTTCCATGAAGAGGGGTTTCCTTCCTATAAGAGGTTTTTTCCTTCGTAAAAGTGTTGCTCTTCTTTCTGACTGAGGCAGACCTTTCTGCGTTGTGTGAGCAGTGAGAAGTGTGCGCTTGGCGAACTTTACCCTCGATCCTGGCAGTCGAAGTGAAGGCACGAGAGGCGGGATGAGGTGAAAGTGAACGTTAGATCAGCAGCCCCCGCCAAGGCGCCTGAATTCGGTCCTTTGTATCACTGTATTTTCTCCGTACATGTCACGCTCGTTCCGAAAAATTGTTCCGGCCACTTTCGTCTCGAAGTTGCTCGTTGGCCTTAGTAAATGCAGCGAGCACTTTTATCAAAGTCACAATCGTATTCCTCAATCTTGACCCCAGCGAGAGCGGCCTATCGTCTACATTCTTCTTCCGAAAGCACTAGCTGCTCAACATATCTCCGCCGACGCTTGGCTCGGCTCTTCTGTCACTCAAGCGTCACTTGTCGCATACAGAGGGTTCGCGCCAAAGATGTGCTAGCGCGTTCTGTTTCTACTCCATGGTCCAGCTCGACCGAAGCGAAGGGCAAGATGTCGGGAGTTGAAGAGCAAAAGTCAGCGGGTGTCAGGGTTGCGGTTGAGGGCTGTGTGAGTTCAGATCCTCTTCAAGTCCCTGGGTCTTTTCTAACTGCCTCTCAAGGGTCATGGGACACTCCATGCAATCTATGCCTCAGTTGAGCAGGCTTGTAAGGTCAAAGGTTGGGACGGCGTCGATCTGCTCATCATCGGTGGCGATTTCCAGGTCAGGTTTACCGGGTCTCAAACGCCTGACAAGCTAATTGTTTCCAGGCAGTGAGGAACCAATATGATCTCAACGTCACCGCGATGCCCCACAAATATAGGCGCATGGCCGACTTTCACGAGTACTATAGCGGCAGCAGGACTGCCCCTTACCTGACGATTTTCATTGGCGGCAACCACGAAGCAAGCAACCATCTCTTTGAACTCTACTATGGCGGATGGGTTGCACCCAACATCTACTACCTAGGAGCGGCCAACGTACTCCAGATCGGGCCTCTAAGGATTGCCGGGTTGTCAGGAATCTGGAAAGGATACGATTACCGAAAACCTCACTTCGAGCGACTTCCCTACAATCAAGAAGAGATCACCAGCATTTTCCATGTCAGAGAGCTGGATGTCAGGAAGCTATTGTCGCTACGCTCGCAGGTTGATATCGGCTTGTCTCATGACTGGCCGCAGGGGGTCGAATATCATGGAGATTACAAGTGGCTGTTTGGGAAGAAGCCGGATTTTGGCACCGATTCTTATGCTGGAAAACTGGGCAGCGTCGCTGCAAGACAGTGTTTGGATCGGTTGAGGCCCCCTTACTGGTTCTCTGCGCACCTGCACACAAAGTTCGCGGCTATTTTCCAACACAACCAGGACCAGTCCGCTACAGATGGGACTCCAAGACTCAACCAGCGAATCGGGAGACCAGCTGAGAACTCTCCCCCGAACCAGACAAGCGAGTACAGCCAAGGCAGCCGTGTCGCCGCCCCAGCAAAAGACCGTCCTCTGGTCTCAGCCTGGCAACAATTCCATGTTGGCGCTCAACAGGCAGATGCCGAAGAACGAGACAAGATCCGGAAGGAGAGGGAGGATCAGCGATTGGAAGAAGAGAGCACGGGCAAATCTCCCCGTCCACAATACTCATTCAATGAAACATTCAACGAGGTCGCGCAGGGAGAAGACCTAAGTCGTACAATAGTCTCGACGACCCAGAGCCGACTTCAAAACTCCGACGAGTATCAGGCCATTCCACAGCTCGATGGGTGTTTCTATTCAAGACCGAACAAGCGACAGCGCGTAGAAGACGAGCAGCAAACGGCTTCGAGTGATTTGAACCAGAACTCTGCTGAACAAACGGCATCTCGCGGTCAGATCGATGGCAGAAGTGGTAGTTTGCTTTTACCGCCGCAATCGGCAATTGCAAATCCCGATTCAATTGACATCGACCTGAGTGACGATGAGGATACTACGGCGGTAGCCAGCGACGCGACATCCCAAGCCAAATCTATCCCCATCGGTGACACTACCCTGAAAACTAATCGAAGCTACGGCGAAACGAAGGCGGACGACTCCAAGCGCCTCTCGGAAGAAAGTGATGATGGTGGCGTCACACTCAACCCACAGGCCGCCTCAATTGCACCCGTACCCGGCATTTCCTTTTTGCGAGCAGAGCAAGCCGCTGCGGAATTGAGGAAGCCGTCCGACCCAGCTTTGGAAGATTCTGTTGAAGAGTCTCAACCGCAAAATGCTTCTCGCACAGGTGCTGGCGAGTCTCCAGCCCAGTCGACTCAGGACCACACCGCTAACACCACCAGCCAAGTGTCGGAAGAAATGAGAGCCCAGCTCGCGGCGCTATCCAGCAACTTCATGGCCAAAGAACCCACGGAAACCTCCCCACCACTTCCGTTCCCGGAGGAAATCACCAACAAGACCACCCACTTCCTTGCCCTAGGCAAGTGCGAGATGTACCAAGAATTTCTGCAACTTCTCGACATCGGCTCCATGACATCGCCGGGAGAAACGATGAATCGCCCTCTCAAACTCTCCTACGACCCAGAATGGCTGGCGATCCAACGAGTCTTTGCATCTGAGCTGCAGCTCGGCGGTGTGCCGACTGATAGAGTCAGTCCTCATCGGGGCGAGACCTATTACCGCGAGCAAATCGAACAAGAACAGGAGTGGATTCTCGAGCACGTCGTCAAGCCCGGCAAACTGCAAGTCCCCGAGAATTTCACGGTGACAGCACCGGTGTATGATCCTAGCCTGCAGGTCAGATCAGACGAGATGCCTCGCGAGGTGACGAACCCGCAAACCGGTGCATACTGCGACTTGATCGGGATTGAGAATAAATTCGACAGCAGCGAGCAGGACAGAGACTTCAGGATGCAGCAGGGTCCGAGACCCCAGAGTGAAGGATACAATCTATACCAGAATAGATCCCGTCAACAGGGTCGCGGTGGCCATCGTGGTGGTGGCGGTGGCGGCGATAGAGGACAAGGACGGGGACGGGGGCGTGGAGGTGGCAGGGGAAGAGGCCGGGGCCGGGGCCGAGGCGGGGGACGGGGGTAGTGGTCATTGATGCATGGATGGATGGTCCTCGATCCGTCCTCTTTCTTTGCTATCGCAGAGATGTTACAGATGTGCCTCTGTGGGCTCCCATTTGACATTGCCTTGAGATGATATGCGCCCAGTCGCACAACCTGTATGCATACAGCGTACGTGTACAACACGCACCATTGATACCCTTGAGCTTGAAATGAGGGGAACTGCACGATAGGAAGCCATAGAGTTCGTAAAGAAGGTATCTCTCCATCCGGGAAGGACGTGTTTGACACACCGTAAAGCAGGCTGGCCGACCATAATGGTCGCAATCCACCACGAGGATGAGACCGGCCGTAAGGTCACTTTCACAACCTAAGCGGCAGCCACAGTCACAGCCTCAGGCTCAGCAGCACGCCCAGCAGCATGCGATTTATCCGCCCTATCCAACCGGTCCAGCCTCTGCAGGAATTGCTTCTTCCACTGCTCGAACTCGCGCGTGCGCTCTTCGCCCAGAAAGTCCAGCCCGAGATGCATCATGGTGTGCAAACCCGGGAGAAGCACGCCGTCGGGATCTTCCTCTACCTCTTCATCATCCTCGATGCCTGGTTGTCCACTATTCCTCGGCCTTCTCCTCCCTGAAATGATCAGATCGTCGTCGTCGTCTTCCTCTTCTCCGTGGTCCCCATCAGGCCGTCCTTCCTGTCCATCTCCTTCATCATCCTCGCCCTCGTCCTCCTCCCCGTCTTCAGCCTCGACAATATCACCGCCAGCATTAGGATCAAACTCAAACACCCTCTCCGGCACGCTCCCAAACCACTCCTGCCCCCTCGCATACCCCTGCTGATTAATCCTGCGGATCCATCCCTCCACGCCCTTCACCCCAGGATGATACCCCAGCACTGCCACCGCCCGGGCACACGTAGCCTTGTACACCGCGGTCGTCATCTTCGACGCCTTCTGCATGCGCGTCAAGGCCATCAGATACAGCGCGACGAGCAAGCCCGTGATTTTTTCTTCTAGATGCTTCTCCTCCTTCTCCTTCTCGCCCGCCACATCATGCGCCGGATCTTCTCTTAGGGGCGGCGGCCACAGCCCGTCCAGCTTCAACACGACACACACGCCCGTGTAGACGTGCGGGGCGAGCAAGGGCGTCACAAACGTCCTGCACAGTCTGCGGATAAGCGACATCACGTAGCGTGGCGCCTCCTCCTCCTCCGCCGCCGCCGCCGCATCCCTGTGTGCTAGTCCGTTGACTTTTCCGCGGAACGTACCCTCTTTCCTGGTGGTAGACCTAGAGCTAGAGGTTGAGGTTGTTGACTTGGTTTTGGATTTCGAGGGCGTCCTTGTCGCGCCATTAGTACCGCTGGCCTTCCCCTTCCCTCTCCTCTCCGAATCTATACCCTCCACGCCCGTTTTGATCGACCCGTCCGCTGTCCTCTTCTTCCCGGCGGTTCCTGGCGTGGGTTTCTGGGGCGTCCCATCCGTCGATTTTGACGTTGTTGTCGTTGGTGTTTCATCGAGCACGCCCCCCAGGAAGGCGACCAGTTTCCTGTACGTCGCCGGTTTGCAGGGCGCGCCGCCCGTCTTGGGCGCCGGAAGTCTCAATTTGGCCCGCAAGCGCAGACATGCTATCTCGCAGCACGCGTGCGCGCGGGCGATCTCTTCCTCCGGTTTCAGATGCGGGGCTCGCTGGCGGGACTGCGCGAGGAGGGACTCGGAGAGCTGGATCAGACGGGCCGGTAGTGTGGAGACGGTGTAGCTTGGGAGGAGGGAGACGAGGGTGAGGGTGAGGGTGTGATTTTGGGATGAGCTGGTTGGCATGGATAGATGGGGGGATTTCTTATAGTATTGGTGGTGTAGGAGTGTGGAAAGGGGAGGCGGGAGACGGAGTATTGTCTGATTCGACTGGGACTGAAAAATGAGTGCGAGTGTAGAATCCTCAGTATATATGAGGTACTCCGTACACAATACACAGATTGAAGTCGGTTAATTATGCCCTCAGTGTTCGAGGCGAGGCTGAATCCGTTGCGGACTCGTACGAACGCGCACGCGTCGACGCGTAAAGTGGACTGCGCTGCCGGATGATGGCGTTCACAGTACTCCATAGTGGGAGAGGCTGCAAATTACGGTCGAGCACAAAGGCTTAACGGGTAATCTCAACCACCAGTTGCCATATATATATGTTCTCACCGCGCCTCGCATTATTATCTTCTAAGAATCCTTAGATAGACCAAAATGCGTGGCGTCTGAGTTGTACTGCGCTTAGCGATTGGAGCGCGACTGAGCATCCACCTGGGATAAGCGCTTTCGCAACAACAACCATCATAATGCAGTCAGTGTATATCATGTCATGGTCTACTTCCAAAATCACCAGGATAATACATTAGTCTCATAAACATGAAATGGATCGTCCATTTAGCACCAAAGCTGGAGTGCAACCACACCGAATCCCATCGCAGCCCCGGCCGCCCTCGACATCCTGATCGCCCCCGCTGCGTTTGATGGCGACTGGGCCTCGGCCGTGGCAGTAGATGTAATCGTAACGCCTGGGAGATCAAATGTCGGTGTAGCTGCGGTTCCAAGATCCGTTGGCGGTGGACTCGCCGTCACCGTCGCCGTCCTTGTGGCGCCGGGCAGCGCTGTGCCACTGGGGATGGCAGTAACGGCCGCGTCATCGTCAGGCGCCTTATCGTCGACTTTGGCCTGAGCCAGGGCAACAACGAAGTTCTCGAGGTCATAGACCACGTATGCGGACCTGAGGAAGCTATCTCCCAGGATGACGTCGCCGTCACCAGCAAGGGCAATTCTGAGCGCACATGCGGGCGTACCGTCGCTGTACATAGACTCATCACCAAGTTGCTCGCTGATAAGTTCAGACAAAGACACGGACACGTTGACGCCGTCAAGTCCACCGAAGGTGTAGACCAGTGAGGCATTGCTTTGGCGGTATGAGCAAGGCACGTATCTCGTGGCGGTATCTTCATCAAGGGTGGCTCCCAGTCCTTCGGTGATTACGTTGATGACATCCTGCGGCAGGTTGGACAGTGTGGTGCCAGAATCGAGCAGGGCGGGCTTACTGAACGACGGCTGGGTCAATGCCCGAGTACTGTTGCCATCGTGGATTGACATCTGGGTCAGTGCAACACGAAACTCAGAGTATTCGCCATCTTGATCGGTGGACAGCGGGAGTGCCACAAGCTCGCCGGTGTAGCGAGTTGGGTCGATGCCACCGAACAAGATGGAGCCGCGGTTGTCGTCGGAGGAGTCCAGGTACAGTGAATATGCCACTCTGTCGATATGCCCTTGTGCTTTCAACTGCTCTGGCACCGTCCGGAAGTCCAAAATCTCCCCATTTCTCAGACTGGCCAAGTTTTTCCGAAATCCTAGGCCCATCACGCCCTGCGTATTGTCCGTGTCATTGGCGTTAGTCATGGTGGTGTTGGTGATGGAGACAGCCTCGCTGAACGAGAGCACGTCCGTGAAGTAGTCTCCCTTCGCGTACGTGAGATCGGCATACTGGAGGAAGAATGTGCCCTCCTCGACAAGGCTGTATGTCGAGGACATGTTCTTGACGTAGGCGCCATGCTCGCAGCGCCCGTACACGCAAATGGAAGCGTCTGTAGAAGGCACCCAGGTGTCACTGCTTCCTGTGTCGAGTAACAAGGAGAAAGGCTGAGGTGGGGTGCCAATGTTGACATCGATAAAGTACAAATCCTGGTAATCGTCGCCGGTGACAGGTGACGTGAAGTGGTCGCTACGCCGGGGAAGCGTCGACTTATGCGAAGGCTTGTTCTTCCAGAAGTCAAGCTTGACGGTCTTGGCTGATACAGCAGCAAAGAGGCTCGCAAGGACAAGAAGTCTCTTCATCATATCTAGAGGGGCCATCTGCTGTTAGATGCAATCGGCACTGGAGCTGTCAGTGGTTCGTGAAGAGCATGCATGCCTAAGAGCAGGACCTCATCTCAATCTTTATTTCGATCACGGCGCTGAGGAGATCAGCCTCACCATGACCCCGGGAAGAGGCATAGCGCTGAGCACACAGGAATTGCAACGGCAGGATCCTCTGCAGGCGCCGCCGTCGCTCGGCCCCCAGCTGCCTTTTGGCCCTTTGGTCAGGCGGAGCATGTTCTGGCGACCTCAAAATACTCACACCCTACCTTGAAGTCTGAAGCTGAACTTGCTGAGCGCTGTCAGGGCGGAAGAAGGGGCTAAAGGCGGCCGCGTACCTGTCGCGGTGTGATCGGTCAACAAGGCAATAACGGCATGTTGCCAACCCTAAAATAGTTAGGAAACCTTGGCACTTCCCGATAAGTGGGGCAGGAGCCAGGGTCCGCCAGAACACATTTCACTTCGCAAGTGAAGCATCGTGAATCCCTTCGACTTCCTTCGACTCGAAGAGGACAGTGGGAAGTGGCGCATCTGGCAGATAGCTTCTTGTACTAACAGTGCCTACAAAGACAGCTCTGCGGGTACATAGTAAGCACGAAAGAGCCTGATGTGTGTGCGCAGTTCCTATTCACCCCGTCGTTCTACATCGGCCCTCCTACTCGAATCGCTTCATCGATCTTTTCCCTTGCTTGCAAAACCGCAATCTCGGAGTCATGCGTCCCGCCTCGCATACCGTCACGGTTCAAGGACCATCCCGAATCCTGCCGCATACAAGATTGGGGACACAATCAACAGAACAGAAGCCGTGACCGATGTGCCAAAACACATTCAAATACAGATGATCCAGGCCGATGTGATGAGAGGAATGAGTCCACCCTCAGTACTCAGTCCGTCCTCGAGGTCTCCGCCGTCACTGAAGGGTAGACCGACACCGATTGGCCAACGGCGCAGATGGCGTCCAGAAGACATAAGCAGCTAGGTATGTGATGCTGGACTTGGTTTCGTGCCCAAACCTGTCGATCGGTCTCCATCCGCAGAGGGGGGACACTGCCCTAGGTGGAGATTCCGCCGCTCACACCCGAGCAGCGGAGGTGTGGTAGCGGCGTGAAGTGTTAAGAGAAGAAGATCGGCGTTGTGCTGGCATTCTGGCGAAAAACACTGCCCAGGAGCGATTCGATGTATTTCCACTTTCTTCCGTACGCCTTGGTGCATGTTTCGCTGAAGATGCTGCGCGAGCTTTTGATGATTCAGTAAAGACGATGACAAACATACTATAAACATGACGTGACTAAAGTCACAACCGATGGGGTATCAGATAGCCGCCCTTTATAAACGCGCATAGAAAAAAGTGATGACATAAACTGGTTGCCTCGGTTCGAAGTCGGTCGCAATAGGTAACAGAAATATGAAGGGCAAACGTTCGTCCCAGTGGCATAATCTCCTTGGACGTTATGATCACATCCGGTGCATGATGACATTTGTGCCGGTAGAGAGGGAGGCACCATTCCGGCCGTGAGAGAAACCCGTGAATCGAGGACAGAGACTTCAGATTTCAGACTTTGGCGGCATTGGCGACGGTGATATGCTCTCGGGCGCCCTCGCGATGCAGCAAAGGTCGAGCATGGCCGTTGCCGTAATAGTAGCCGTTCGAGGGATATGCCGGGTCGTCTCTTGAAAGAATGCTGGGACCGACTATCTTGTCCTCGTCGATACCCCGAAGTTTGGAACACGCATTGCCAAGCAAACCGGCAGCCTCGTGCGTGAGCTCCCATCTGGTGCTCTCGAACGACTCTTTCAAGATCATCAAAAGGCCCAGGCATCGGTTCTTTCCCTTGACGTTCTCAAGATCGTCCGGAGCCCGTACCCCGGCGACTCGGTCAAGATACTGCCGCATGTCCTGCTCTTTCTTTTCCCAGGTTGCGAATTCCGCTTCAGAAGGAGGAGGCTTGATAGGGCCCTCGAGTGCGAAGCCGTAGCACCAGACCACGAGCGCTGATATGTAGAGGACCCACGGCCGATTGAGGAGGAAGTCATCTCGAGCAATGTACTGGTTGTGCTCAAAGGCTTGAGGCAGGATAGGGCTGGCGTGGCCATACAGGCGACCGCTGATTCCATCCAGACCATCTCCGTCGGGAGGAATAAGGACTTGGACAATGAACTTGAGCGCATAGAATGCCGCATCCCGGGCAGAAGCCTTGGTAGCCCAACGCTCAATCTTTTCGCGGACCACGCTATAGTCCTTTGGCGTTATCGAGCGTCCCAGCAAACGGTTGGCGCCTGCAAAGACTTGACAGTCGACGACGTCCACATGGGCAGCGATATGAGCGAGATGGTGCAAAACGGTCCTTGACTCGAAGATGTTTTCGTCGTCCACCGGGCGCAGGATTGGATGCGGCGGCACAACAGGTGTCCGCAGTGGCGAAGAGGGAGCAGGGGTGGCCTCCGCCAGGGCCTCGTCGAAGTCTCGTTTCCAGTTGTCAAAGGCACGTAACAGAACACCTTTCCATTTGTCCGGACCTCCAAATGAATTTGCAGTACGCGGTCCGAGGGAAGAAATTTGTAGATCTCGCTGGCTCATATGCCACGAGACCGATAGCAGCCCTGCCATCAGGATGGTACGACCGAAAGAGTTGGTGCGCACTCTTTGTCCGTTCAATGTCCGCTTGAGCCCTTCGAGGAACATGATTGGCTTGATGCCGTTTGTTTGCAGGGATGATTGCACCCGAGAAGCCTCCGAGGGAGACACAGCCGACCACAGACCCTCGTCACATGGTAAAGGTAATCGCATCTCATGCGCAACCATCTTGGCAGCATGACCGAACATGGTCGCGTGGATAGAGTCCAGGACGAACGCCCCAAACGCAGCGCGACGAGTGGCCTCTGTGGTGATCCATCGATGCCATGACTCCTCTGACTTGGACGTTTCGGTGCCGGAAAAGGGAACCGAGATCCGCCCGTTATCCTGCTCTCCTCTCAGGCTGGGCGGTGAATCGGATGCGGAACGGCCCAACAAGGAGCTGCCACGGCGCATGAGCGTCAGCGTAGAGTCGTGATGGATGTGCGCTCGTTCGTGCAGCGCGCGAGTTGCATACATCTTTTCATAGACCTCGATGAGGAGGAGTGTCTGGAAAACCCATAACTTTGCCGGAGGTCTGAAGTCAACATCTCGCACGATCTCCCATCGAAGGTGCCATACTACGAAATTGGCGAACTCGGCGGCAGAGTCGGTCAAATTCGTGCCATACGCCTTGTCCAACGTAGCGGCTCCGATCGCGATGACCATGAGTAGGAGTAGGTTCGGAGTCCGATCCGCAGAGAAGGTGGGCTTGTGCAAGATCGGCAGTTGTGCATGTTGGTGGTACCAGTATGATCCGATATAGGTGTGCATCATCCGAAGACTCAGTATATGGCCGTCACTGTCCATATCACCTTCGAAAACGGAATCCTTTCGCTTCTTCACCGCGTCGTGCGGGCGCTCTACAAACTGACTCTGCATCAGGTCAAGCAGCTCGTGACGTTTGGACTCGGACATGATATACTGGCTTGTAGCTGTCGAATCGAGAATGCTTGTGACACTCATTGGGTGTTGCATGCCACCTGTCGAGTAGTTATTACTGGATGACGAGGGGCTCTGGTCGAAGTACGGGCCCTGCGCTGGCTGCTGCTGGTCATGACCGCTGTACCCAGGAATGTAGTTCGGCGGCGAGAAGTCGTTCGAGCCAGAATGAGCGTCATTGAAAAGCCACTGAGTAAAGTCGTCGGCAACTGCAAATGGTGTCTGCGTATATGGAACTTCTTCACCACCAAAGACCGGAAAGCCAAAACCACTGCTGATGTCCACGCTCGCCATACTGGTGTTGACCATCCCGTACGGGTACTGATCATTTCTGGTCAGTCCGTGGGAGACCGCGGCAGCGAAGGCAGCGTCCGCGGTGCTAGATACACCGGCCGAGGGATAGCCTGTAGATGAGTACGTCGAACTAGAGGCCATGTCGATGGACTGCATGTAGCCATTCATCCCGTTCCTATCCATAGCATGGTCGGAGTTGGACCTGACTGGTTGGACGGGGGGTGCCGAGGACCCCGAATACTGGCGAACAGGAGAGGGCGGAACGTTCTGGCCTAACCCCCTGTCGAGTGATTGCATTGAAGCATACGCTGGTTGCTCTCTGTGATAGTCTGCGTTGTTGAAGCTTTGCCGTCGAACCCCGGAAGACCAGCCGGTCTGCTCGTGCTTTTGAGGTGGACTCATGGGGTTACTGCCAAGGCTGTTTGTGCGATGCAGCTGGGGTTCCGGCCTCGCGACGACGGCCTGCGGTGTCGGTGGGTGGAATCGTGGCTCAGTCGCCACTGGGGAAGGGGGGACCGTGTTGCCGGACATGTGTGATTGCTGCCCGTAGAGGTTTGTGTCGGGAGGTTGTTGTTGCGCACTCACAGACTGGCTCTCCCGACGGATGGGCGCATTAGGAGCAGACATAGGGTAGGACTGTGGTTGACTCAGTCCGTTCTGAGACGGCGTCGGCGGGACTGGCTGATCGTTGGACGTGGACTGTGCAAAGGCATCTCGTTTAGCAAGCTGAGAACCGTGGGTCGTATGCCGTTCCCGGTGTCGGATGCAGAGGTCCTGTCGTACGAAGTACCTCGTACAGTCAGGATAGTCGCAGCGGTAGATGGTCTTCGGTGTATCTTTGCACACAATTAGGACGGTTCTAGGCGAGGTAGTAAAGCACACTCACGGTTCAGCTGATGTCTGTATAGGTGTTCGGCGCGAGAGTAGCTTTTGCCACAGCCCTCGTGCTTACACTCAAACTTCTTGTCGGGGTTAGGCTTCACGACTCTCCTCCGCTTCTTCGGTGGCTGGCCGGAGCCCCCTTCATTGCCTGCTTGCTCAGGCTTCGCGTCATCCGAAGAGCCATGCTGGGTGAGCGTTTCCTGGTCTGTCCTGTCGATGGGGTCATTTTCCGCCATTGCAACAGAAGCCTGCCGCCTGGCCCGAAGCCTGGTGATGGACCGATCGGAGGCTTAGCAAGAACAATCACGGCGTGCTCAGCATGATCAGCGAGCAAGCATCCGCACAAGGTTTGGTGATGATTCGCAGTCAACGTTCTACCGGGATTCAGCCTCGTCTCCAGGCTGACCAGGTAGCGCGGTCTAGCGATGTAGCCGGAGAATCCAACAGCAAGCGCACGTCAAGAGAAACGTTGTAAGCGGCTGAGCTCAGCACTGTGTGTTTCCTCCTGACGCAGGGTGTTGTGCGCTGCTGACCCTATGTGGCTTGCAACTGATTTCCTCGCCCACGTTGCGATTTCTGGGATTTGTTCGACTGTGTGGAAGGCTTCTGCGCGCCTAGTGATGGTTGTCGCGTGGTGGAGGGAAGGTTCGAAATCGGCGGTGCGACGCAGATGCAACGAGCGGCGTCTCTCTGGATGCAGGTACCGGTTGCGCAGAATGAAGTGGTTCAGGTGACCTCGGGGTCTAGCGCTCGTGGAAAATGAGCGAAGGGCTTATTGCTTCTGCTGCTCCTCATGGCCTGTGTGGCAAAGGACGGTCGAAGAGGCGAGGACGAGGCCCAGTTCGATGCTTGGAAGCAGAGGGAAGGGTCTCCTAGCTGGCGGGATCTGCGTTGCTTCTGTAAGAGGCTGTAATGGGGCGATTGTTGGGATCTAGGTTGCAGTTATGCTTGTCTCTGGCTCGTGTTCCGTCGACAGTCGCATAGCCCGGTACGCGCACTAGATGTGAACAGGCAATGGCAGGTTTCGTCTTGCAGAGCGGAGTGCAGGCCAGTCACAGGCACGAGCACGGGGGATGAGCTTGGGGTGGTGCAGCAAACGCGGGATGTGTGGATGGCGAGGCGTGGAGAGGAGGAAGCACGGATGATGAGTCTGTCAGTGTCGCAGAGGAAAGAGGGGAAATTGAATCGTGTAGCGGGCGGACGAGAGAAGAGGGCGTCTGGTTGGATGCGACACCACCGGCCTCGACACCGCACTGGTGGGTGACTGGTGTGCTTCCGGGGTGAGATGTGGATTCCGACTCGAATCTCTCGCACGAACTCGGGGCGGGTCGTCAAGGCAAGCGGCCTGCGGGCCCCAAATATCGTGGCATTTGACCGGGGGATCGGTTGGCCCGAGTGCAAGTCGAAACGGCACACGCGGCGAGGTTAATTATCAGCCTGATTGTCTTCTCTCCGGGCACGCGCGGGAGTGCATACAAACGGGCTGCACGTGTCTTGTGGTTGCGTGGCATGACTCTGCCACGGTGTTACTGTATGCATCAATCACTCGACTTGGTTCCTCAGGCCAGCCGGCAAGTGAGCAGCAGACAAGTGAGCACTTCGCAGCAAGCAAGCACGCGAGACCTCAGCCGAAGGAGACATAAGAGCGAGAGCCCCCGCCCTGCACAATCAACACCTAATTAGCGACGCTTGCCTGAAAGATGCCCAGTGGGCGTTTCAATCTGACCGACGATCGCGGGGTTGCGAGGCGCACAGCCAGGCCGGATAGAGGAGCGCCCTTAGCACTGGCAGCGACACAACTATCATCACAATACTCGTTCTCTTTCTCCTTCTCTCTCACCGTTTGGCTGATGGGGCTTTCCATCAATCGAATCGTTCACGTAAGAGTCGGGTTGAACCATGGCAGAGCCTTTCTTCATGCCCACCTCGCGTCCCGCAGAAAGTTCCCGTCCGGCGCGCACTGTCTAGCTACCGAGACGCTTGCCCGTTAAAGTTGCAGGTCGTCATCTTCGACTGCAACTGATCACCTGTCCCCGTCTTGTCTTGTCGCCCTCTGCAAAGCGAGAGGCTGCCTGATACCTGACTTCCCCACGCTTGCGCTCTTCCCTGACCCTTGCAGCAGCGACCTCAAGGCTGGACGGTCTTTCGAAGAACCAACCACCTGGGCCCTCTTGACAACGTACACTATTCTCCGCACTCCTTTGGCGCCTGGATTTCTCATCAGGAAGCCCGGGCCGAATCACATCATCCCGCATGCCTTGTGTTACCCGTCACGATCTCGTGTGACCTCCAGCTTGTCTGGATTGACCCGGAGACGATGTATGGGGGGACACGGTTATCAAGGCTTACTGCCCCGGCCTTCGGGTCACGTATAGATACAATGCCTTGCGTGGCCGTCAAGCATCAAATCAGGCCCAGCAAGCACGAGGCTTCGCTTACCCGCGGAGAACATGATCTTCTGCTAGCAGCAGTCATTTTTTGGAAGTCGGGTAATAAGAATACTAATCCTACCACCCAATTCGTCCGTTGTACAGAGAGTACGGCTTCGTGGCCTATATCTTATCTTCAGGCGCATCCGTTGCCAGATATCTGCTGTTTTTCAATTCAACGGATGCTTGTCCTTGCCCGGGCGTCTTTCAGCCGAACAGTGATGTATCCGTCGTAGACCGGCGACATCCGAAGGTTTCTTTTCGCGCCCGCGTGATGGATCCCTGAGTGACCACCTCAACCGTTGAATATCGAGGCACGCCACGGTAACGTACTCGAACAAACCATCACTGACCCCTGGTGCTCTAGTCTGGGAGCCCCTGAATCGTGACAAGCAAGACTCCTGCGTCATGCTGTCATGCTGCAAAAGAAAGAAACCAGAAAGCCCGCAAGACGCACCGTTGGACCAGAAGAAAGGACCAGGCAGGGACGCCGAAACCGCCGGCATGTGACTGTCTTCGGTCGTCACTGCTTGAGGCCGGGTTGGAGTCGGAAGACCTTGCCTGCTATCGCCTTAAATGCTGCTCGGAGCTTTTGTAGCCTTTCTGACTTGGCCATGCCCCTCTTTCTTCTGGCAAGAGGTGCCTGTGCCGTCCAATCACGGGGGTGAAGAACAGACGAGGCTAATGCACCTCTCCTCCACCCACTCACATCTCTTGAAGCTGTTGATCTCTACCGGATCTCCAGCTGTGATGGCTGTCTCCTGTGCGTCGAAGCCCAAATACGATTCTCAACACATTTTCCGTGCGTTCATTGCTACTGCGGGATCGAGATCGTGCGAATCTGATAACCTAAACTTGAGCACTCGAAGCACTCAGTTGAATTGTGTCCAGGAAAACGGACAAATTTTAGTCCGTTCCCCGACTTGCTGCTCAGACCGAAACGCCGGCAACCGAGGCCACAGCAGACGGTTGCAGCAGAAGACAAGAGGCCATGTAAGTCTCAACTAAGCACGATATCTATTAAAAGAGTCTCGCATGTCAAGGCCCTCAAGATGATGGGCTTGGGTCTCTGAAGTTTCTATAGCAGAGACACATCTTGGAGCCATTTCTAAACGGTCCAAACACAGCATCACAATGTCTGGAGTAACCAGCCCGATCAGCCCGACGGCGAAGCCCAGATCACAGACATACGAAGGATCATGTCACTGCGGGAAGGTCAAGTACGGTCGACAGCGTGAGCCGTCTACTGGATGAGATTGCTTATCCGCGCCAGATTCACCATGAAGCTCTCTCCTCCGGTTGAGGATGGTTTGGTGACCAGCTGTAACTGTGAGCTCAATTCCTACACTTCTTTCTCGAACTAGTTTTTTGTGAACGATTGACTGACGGCTGTCAAGGCTCTATCTGTGCTATCAATGGGTATCTCATGGTCTACCCGCTGGAATCCAACATCACATGGCATAGTGGCTTCGATTCGATGACTACCTACACATTCGGCAAGGAAAAGATAGCCCACTCCTTCTGCTCGACCTGCGGGACGAGCATTGGTGGGAAAAGCACCGATGCATCCTTTTTCGCTGATAATCGGGCTGTGAACGTAAGTTGACCGGCCTCCATCCTTTCTGGAATTGGGAAATACTTCCACCGTATAGCACCAGATCGTACTTCCGGATGAAGGGAAAATGCCCCAGTCAGAGTTCCCCTTCCTGTCTCCGTCTCCTCGATCGCAACTCCTCCATCTTTTGCTTATCTTGATCCTGCGTTTCCTGGATGTTGTCAGAGAGAAGGCTCATGTTTATGGATATAGGTGCGCACTTTGAAGGGTATCGATATCGAGTCTCTACGGCTGAGGAAAGTAGACGGCCGCGGATCGGAGATCAAGCTCCCCTCTGAAGCACCACGGCGGATGTCACAATCCCATTGAGAGTCTTCAACCCCAGGCAGAATGTCTTCCGACTGGACGGAGCTGTACAGACGACAAAACACCGTGGCAAGGTTGTCAAAGTATGGGTTGCGCACAAGTCTATCTGGTGACTGCTGGCTATCCTTGTTCAGAAAGGCCAATGGACGCGTCATCTCCAGGCCAGATAAACAAGAGTTATTCAAACCTGGGTTGATCCTGAGGCAGGGCCTCTAGCACCACGTTGATGAGACGTTGAATCTGGTCTATGCCTCTCAATCAATCACACAGAGCAAGCGTGGCTGAGAGGAGGCGACTTTTCAGCAACCGTCGCATTCAGTTATACCTATTCGTGCGAGTGTAGCAGATGTCCCGGACGCAGTACAAAGCCAATGGATTTGGAAATTCATCCTCTCGATGCAGAACTCGATGGTTAAAACGCTAGAGCTGTTGATGGGCAGTCTTTGAACGCCTCTTCCTTACGATCCCCCTTGTCGGCCCTTTAATTGGATTTGTGTCTCAGTACCCATTAAGTCAAACCCCCCGCAAAGCCCAACGCCACCGCACCTGTATGCCATAGCTGATGACATTACAGCAATATAAACCTCTGCACAGACGAGCCCCAGACGCCCTTTGTCGAAGCGGTCTCTGGCATTTTCCACAATCCCTCCCGAGAGCGACGCCAGACCAATCTCTGCGTGAGTGACAATCTTTCCAGGGGTCGCACGGTTATCATCACTTCCAAGCCCTTTTATAACACAAATCTACACACCCACACAGAAACGCGACGCATCCCTCACGTCGACGTAGGCAACATGTACATGACGGTACCGAGGGCCGTGAGCCCGACACCGGCCCACCACCACCGATCCGCATTGTAAAACTCACTGACCGGGGTTTGAATGACGCCCTCTTTCCCGCCCATCAGCACCTGCTGCGGCTCACCATCTCTCTTGACCTTCGCCTTCCCCGTCGCCTGTGACACACTCGTCGGGTTCAGCGTCTGCGTGGGCAGCATCTGTGGTGGGTTGTAGACCAGGTACATGGGCTGCAAGGGCGCTCCGTCGAACTTGAACAGGTTCAGGCGCGGGACGTTGTGGAACGGGTCCGTCAGCACTTGGTAGGACTTGAACAGTTCGGGCTGTTCATAACGGATATAGACGGCGTTGTCGTAGGAGCAGGGCGCGCTGGTGAGCTGACGGCCGTCGACGCCGAACGGCGTGAGCGTGATGGAACCGTCGGCCGCGATCGTGTACGTGCCGTGCTGCCATTGCATTATCGACGAGGGACATTGGGGAGTCGTTGCTAAGGGGAGCCCATTGTGTCAGTACCACTAAACCGCGTCATACATGCCTGTCCATTTCGGGACAGGAAACATCAGGAACAGAAACAGTGGCAGGGAGCGCCAGTAGTGTAAACTCAGGAGCCCTGGAGGCAGGCGGGAGTGTAGACAAAACATACGATTCGGAATAGCACGATAGTATGCTTCCTCGTAAAACCCATCCGCCGTGAACGAGTATGAAATGCCCGCGAGGTCGGGCTCGATTAACTTGTCGGCCACGGGGTCGTAGAAGCCCTGTTCACTCATATATGGCGTTAGCCTCTGATATGTCCATATCTCCGGTGCCACGCAGTTCATTCCTCTTATGTGGCATGGGTGTGTCTGGCCGGGGAAGACTGACTGGTCCGGTGAGGACTTTCTTCGACTTTGTGGTCCATGTGCCTACGAGTGCGGCGTCATATTGGGCTCTCGCGAGGCCGAGCAGGCCGAGGGACAAAGCTAGAACGTTGGATAATGAGTGCATCATCGTTGCATGGCTTTGCTGTATGGCAGATCTGCGTCCGTGTCTCTCCGTCCGTGGGACAGTTCGGGGTCGAGTCTCGGTCTGGATGAGGGCGTGCCGCACGGGAAAGAAAGTTCCTGGTCACAGAGAGTAAGGTGGACAGAACAGGCACGAGGGTGAAGAAAGAGTGGAGGGAATGTGTCGTGTGGTCTGTTGGTCGGCGTCTGGACATGAAATCTGGAATCTCACCCTGAGGCGTCAGTGCCGGCCTTGGGGATGTCGACGCCCGAGGAGGCTGAGGCGCATGTGCAGGGGTCTTTCGAGGTGCCGCAGTCTGGCTTGTTTGAGGCTGGTGGGGTCCTTTGATTCGTCGGACGTGGCCCTGAAGATCGTTTTCGCCCACTTTGTTCGGGGTGAGCAGCCGATTGCTTCAAAAATAGTGCCATTACGCGTGCTGCTGATTATCACGACAACAGCCTGCTGCAGAAGCGCAGCGAACAGAGGCTTATAGCAGTCATCACGGGCATGCTCAAACGACCGCGTCGCTAGAGTGACAAGGCAGGTCTCGAGTGTCATGACATGCAAAGAGCGCCAAGTTGGGGACCTCCCTCGATGAGGTCGCGACTCTGTGTCCAAGCTCTACGAACAGTCTCGACCATGGCTCTGAAAGAGCAAAAGAGCGCGCTGAGGAAACGTATTGCGGAAAAACTTAAGGAGCTTGACTCGGAGGAAATTGAAAGGCAATGTAGGCGACCTCATGTCTGCCTCGAACTCTTGCTGATGGCGCCAAGCCGCAATTGTCACCAAGAAGGTGCTTCAAATGAGAGCCTATCAAGAGGCAAAGTCCGTTGCCATCTTCTTATCAATGCCCGGCAGAGAAGTCTCGACGCGTGAAATTGTGCTTCATGCGCTCGGGGAAGGCAAGTCGGTCTTTGTGCCCTACCTTCATCCAGGACAAAGACCAAAGTCAAAAATCATGGACATGTTGCAATTGCAAGACAAGGAGGATTTTCATTCTTTGAAGCCGGATGCTTGGGGCATTCCCTCGCTCTCGGAAGACTCAGTCGGCAGAAGGAGGAATGCTCTTGGTGGATTCGGTCTTTCGAATGAGTCAGTGGACAACCAGCAAGCGACACCGAGCTTGGACGTCGTATTCATGCCAGCAGTAGCTTTTGATCAAGCTCACCGCCGACTCGGCCATGGCAAAGGCTTCTATGACCGCTACCTCTCCAAATATAAGAACGCTCTTGACTCTCGATCGACCACACGTCCAATGCCGGCACTTGGTAAAGTTGTCCAATGCCGTATGTCTTGGACTTAGCACTAAGTCGTCTCTTCTAGTGGGCATTGCTTTGCGCCAGCAGATTTTGGCACCCGAAGAATCTCTTCCTGCCGATGAGAACGATTGGCCGGTTGATCAATTTGTGGTGGCCGACGTTGACTGATGGCTGAGCACAGCTTGTCCTTCGGCGCGCTTTCTGCTTTCGATGTCCGGCTCGGGCGCTGACACCGACCTAGTGACCAAAAGACCTAGGCTGAACGAGAGCTGCGCGCGTGGCTGAAAAGAAGGAAACCACGGTGTCTCTCTAGTCAAGGGACTGGATCAGCGAAACATTGTCACCCTTGAGTAAAATTTGGCCTGCAACCCTATTAGTCCAGCATCCTTCTAGCGCTGGGGACATATCATACCAAGCTGCCTTCTCTTTTGTGGGGTATCTTTTGTGGCTAATTGCACCTCGACCGCGTCGTCGATCACCAGGTTCATGAATTCGTCGAAACCCTGTCGAAGCATTAGCATTTTCGGCGACACTAGAGCTTCAAGAAGTCACATACCCTGATCTTTCCTTCGATGCGCGTCAGCAAGTTCTCGTAGAGCCATATTGAGACCGTTGACCGCTTCTGCAATAGACTGAAAATGAAATGAATGGGCGCAAGCAGAGTCTTGCGACCACCGCCACCTCCACGGCCTGTCATCGTGTGTAGTGACTATTTGCAGATGGATAATATCCCAGCAGCGTGTTGCTTAGTATCACAGTAAAGAGAGCCCAGTGTTTGTGTATTGTCGTCGCATCCAGTGGTAAAGGAGAGACAAATTTCCGCTATATTGAAAATGCGGAGCAACGCAAGGCTGAAGTGGGTGGCTGGCAAGGCTGCGCCATGCATGAAAACTGACTTGAGGTCATATCACAAAACAATCACTTCCACTTCATCTCGCTCACGGCTTCTTGAAATCCCCCACAACCTGCGCCCTGCCTGCATCTTCTCCCCAATCCGTCACTCCTTTCTTAACAATCCTTCTTTCTCTGCTCACAAACAAAGGTCAGCGACCAAATTTTTACTGCTGCTGCGCGGCCGGTTGTCTATCGCTGCCCCTCATTCTGACCTCACCCTCTATCTGCGGCGATGGCAAGCGGGACAAATTCGCCGGCAGGCTTTGCCCCAGTCCTCTCAGCCTTGAAGACTATGCAAAGCAATGCCGCTAGAGATGACAAATCTGGCGCGCACGAGTTCCTTGAGAAGTTTCAGAAATCAGTGCGTCAGAGTCCATGAGATCGTGTACATTCAAACTGATCGGCAATAGTCGGAAGCGTGGAACACCACACATGCAATTCTTCAGGATTCGTCGGCGCCGTTAGAAGCCAGATTGTTCGCAGCGACCACTCTGAAGGGAAAGGTGCGACTATCACTCCCGCCGCAAGATGGAGGACTGATTGTGTTTCAGATTACCTATGACCTGCATCAACTCCCGCCCGAAGCCCTTACACCTCTCCGAGATTCTCTCCTCACTTTACTTCAACTATACACCCCGGGACCCCGACCGATACGGACACAGCTATGTGTATGTCTGGCGCACCTTGCGATCCAGTTGACATCGTGGAAAGATGTCTTGCGGACAGTAGGATCGGCTGTTGGCAACAGTAGCGATGGCGGAGATTGTCTACTCGACTTCCTGCGAATCCTACCAGAAGAGGTTACAGAAGGCCGCAAGATCAACCTTTCAGTATGTTCGACCACACAACATTCTGAGCGCGACTTTGCAGCAACTCAGTCCTGGCGGCCGATCACAGTCTAATGCAGCATTTTGCAATTTTAGGAAGAGGAACTCGCCGATAGGACCAAGGAACTCCTGGAGGATAATTCCGCTCAGGTTTTGAACCTTTTGGTCTCCTACGCTCAGTCATCAAGTAAGTCCTGTTATGGATCGGTGATCAAAAGCCCTGACAGACCTTCTCTAGCCCAGGCAGCCCATAACCCACGGCTCTACGAATGTATCGCATCATGGCTTAGAGAAATTCCAACGTTGGACGTTCTCAGCTCACCTCTATTGAATGAAATCATGGATGCCCTGCACGACAGCGATTCATTCGAAGCGGCAGTGGATTGCCTAAGCACCATGTTCAGAGATACCCGGGACATCGACGAGTCACAAAGTGCCATCAGAATTCTTTACCCCAGAGTGGTCAAGTTAAGGCCCATGATCGCCGAAGCCGCCAAGACCGAAGACAACGATCTCATGAAAGGCATCACGAGACTCTTTGCCGAAGCTGGTGAGGCATGGGTTATCCTCATTGCACGCATGCCGGGCGACTTCCGGGAACTCGTTGAGTGCGTCCTCGAATGCTGCGTGCGGGACAAAGACAGAGATGCTATCGCCGTCACATTCATGTTCTGGTATGAACTCAAGCAGATTCTCACACTCGAAAAATACATTCCGGCCAGGACTGCCCTTGCAGACCTCTTCTCCAAACTTGTCGACGTCATGATCAAGCATCTTGAATTCCCTACGCCAGAGAACGGCGATGAGAAAGATCTCTTCGATGGTGATCGGGAGGCAGAGGACAAGTTTCGCAGTTTCAGGCACAGTATGGGCGATGTCCTGAAGGACTGCTGTGAAGTTATCGGTGTCACCCAGTGCCTGACCAAAGCCTTCGCCCTGATCCAGTCCTGGGGTCAAACCTATGGTCCACAAGTCTCAGGCACCACTGTGCCGCACTGGCAGGAGCTTGAGGCGCCTCTTTTTAGTCTGAGGGCTATGGGTCGTATGGTCAGTCCAGAGGAGAGCACCGTGCTTCCACAGTTCATACCTCTCCTCACTTCAGTGCCGGATCACGAAAAGCTCAAGTTCCAAGCAATCATGGCACTAGCTCGCTACACTGAGTGGACAGCTCAACATCCTGAAACACTCGAGGCACAGCTCAACTATGTCATCTCGGGCTTCGGCCACCCGTCGCAAGAAGTTGTACAGGCATCAGCATTGGCTTTCAAGTTCCTCGGCACCGACTGCCAAAAGCTACTGGGGGACCATATCTCACAACTCCATCAGTTCTATGAGAGTGTCCTTGACAAGCTCAAACCAGCGAGTCAAGAAGAGGTCACGGAAGGCGTCGCCGCGGTGGTCGCTGTGCAGCCAGTCAACAAGATTTATGAGAGTATGAAGCTGTTCATTGATCCTGTCATGCGGCGGGTGGTATCCCTGGCCTCACAAGCAACCGACGAAAACGCCGAGAAGACCGTGGCTGATTATCTCCAGCTCGTCAACATCTTTTTTGAATGGGTTCAGCCCTACGTTTCCCCTTCAGAAGAGAACCCTGCGGTGAGATATTGCCAAGAAGTTCTTCCGGCCCTCTCACAGATCGCAAAACACTTCACTCGTTCAATGCCAATACTGGAGAGAGTCTGCAAGTGCTGGCGGACGATGGTAGTCTCATATCGAACTGCCACGGCACCTCTCCTCCCCACTCTCGCAACCAGTATTGCTGAGGGATTTGCAGCCTCGCGTCAAGGCTGTTTTCTGTGGGCTACGGATGCCGTCATTCGAGAGTTCTCTTACGGTGCCGAATTCGTCGATGAGGCCACAAGCGACAATGTCTATCAGTTCTTTGCTCAGCAGGCGACTGTCTTCTTCAGGATTCTGTCAGGATTGCAACCAGTCGAGCTCCCAGACGTGATTGAGGACTTCTTCCGGCTAGCCTCTGATGCAGTGCGGTTTTATCCAAAGAAGACAATCACATCTAACCTCGCCCTGCCAATGGTCCAAGCTTCGTTAACAGCTCTAACATTGACGCTGTTGGAGCCAGTCCAAGCAACGCTGCATTTCTTGAGAGATTTCTTGGATTTTGGGTTTGAGAGGCCACCAGTGTCCAGTTTCAATGGGCCAGAGGGTGAGCCTGCCCCTGGCAATTCTCTGGAAGTTCGAGCCGCGGTAAGACAGGTCATCAATTCGGTGGGTCAGGAGCTGGTGCATCGAGTCTTGACAGGCATGATGTTCAGTTTCCCGGAGGACTGTTTTCCAGATGCCTCCGGCGTACTACTTTCTCTGTTCAACTTAGGACCGCAAGCCGCTGCTCAATGGGTGCAGGGCACACTGCAAGCACTGCCAGCTGGGACGCTCAAGCCAGCAGAAGCGAGCAAGCTGATGCGGAGCATAGGCGACAAACTTCAGCAGAATGAGCCACGTAAGGTGCGCGTGCTGCTGCAGGACTTTACGAACTCATACCGAAGACGGAACGTGGCGCCTCGTGAAGGGTTAGGAAGGTTGGAAGCAGCCAGATTCAAGTTCAGCGGATAAAATGTGGTTGAAAATTTCGTCCTTGTTCGCGACTAGCGACTACATTTCTCAACGGTGCCAGCTCCATCAGGATACTTGTGACCGATCTGGTAGCAATGCAGAGGCAGTTGATCGACAGGTTAAGCATTAGCAGCACCCTGTACCGGACGCATCGAAGCGTCCAAGTCACTCTAGGGCACTCTTAACTCTCATCTGCGCCCGGTACTACGTCCTCACCTGCTTGATACGACTTCCTCACCTGCTTGATACGACGGAACGGTGCTGCTCAGAACATAGCCAACATCAAACTCTTCTGTGATACCAACACCACCTTAAGAAAGCATATACCCTTTCATTTTCGCGACTTTTTCAACAATAGCACCAGGTTCCAGCATTAGAACCGTCTACCTTCATCACAGCACGGCTTCCGACAAGGACGAGTTATGGGCCGAACCCTAGCCATCATGTTGAGTTGGATCAATTGGGTATGAGGCAGATCAACGCTGTCAGACAACCTTGGACTGATAGCATACTTTGCGAGGAAAGGGCTGCAAGTCTTGAGGGTCCCTGTTCACGAGTGGTGAGATGCTCCTGGAACCCATTTGGCCGGTCATATGGCAAGATTGTGCCTCAGCATAAGACGCCGCCGCACCCAGCATCAGACGATGCCAGCAAAAGTCGGATCATGAACTCCTCTGTTGAAAGCTGGTCACGTCAACGAGATAGCCATGAACCGGTGGACATATCTAGGGCGTGGACGCCGCGCGAGCAGCCATCACGGGCCACACCAGATTTTCGATACCTGTGTCACGTTCCTCAATATTGATCCACGTACCGCTTGACTCGTTATTTTTTTCTCAGCTCGAATGCATTACCATGACCTGTCGTAGTCGTACGGCTGCGATAGTGGCACCAGTCTGGCCGACGAGTGACAACAACGCGACTGTAAAAGGCAGCAGACCATCATGTCCCAGACCAAATCCCTGTCCACACCTTCTACAAGCCCAATCCCTCGTCCCCAGTTCTTCCGTAGACCCTGTTTGCTCCGCGTCATGGACAAACATCCACACAGTCCCAACGATTCCATAGTGATTGTCAGTGAACCGAGACCCACCCGGTCGTCCAGCCCCGCCAATCACACGGTGTACAAATATCCCTTGGGAGCCCGGATATCCCTCTTCAAGAAAGAGCTATCCAGGGACCCTGTTTCAACTTTGTCGAGATACAAAGTCTCAGGTAGAGCCTTGACAGCAGCGGTCCAGGTCGGCGCCTCTTCGCGTTCGAAGCTGGTACTTCTGTTCTCGGAAGAGTCGATTGATTTATCCCGCCGGAGTCCTAGTTCTAGGCGCCAATTGAACGCCTCGACCAGTGCTTCGACCATGCTGGCGAGTACGGCGTAGGTGACGGGGTCTGGGTCCTTAGGGTCTCGAACGCGACAGAGCCGCCAGGACGATTCGCCGTGGAAGAAGAAATACTCGCACTCGTAGCTCATTTGGATCAGATCACCACAACAGATACCCGCGTAGCGACGAGAAAGTGAACAGAGCCACGTATCGCACATGCGAAACAGAGGCATTTGACGGAGCTGCCTGATGCCTTGCTGCTGTAAGCCTTGGAAATTTGCTCCATCTCGTTCGAGCTCCGCCACAGCAGGCCGAGGTGGTGGCTCGAAATACCATGGAAACGGCCACAGGAGACGGCGCAACTGTCTCCATGGATCAGGGCAGAGCCGCAAACGTCTGATAGAGGTGCGTACTTTGAGCGGAGATGCGCTCAGGTAGACAAGACACGGAGCCATGTGTGCTGGCCAAATGTCAAGAGGAGACTTTGGGATGGTGGACTTGTCTCCCTTCCTTCAAGCAATAGCGACGTCTCCCATCCGCATTAATCAGACTCTGGCGGTCTCGCCAACAACGAGGGTCGAGACCAAGCACGTTGCATCTTGCCTTAGCATACTGTTGAGGGTCGGTCTGCTCAACGAGAAGAACGAGTCGGCGGAGAGCATTCCGTTCTCATCGACGGCGACCCACAATGTAAATAGCAACCGTCGTTCGGAATCGTCTCTAAGGGCATACGTCGAACCTCGAGTGCTTGAAGTAGTCCGTACTCCGTTCTCATACAGTGAGCCAGGTCCTTCTAGCTCGTACGGTGCGCCACTACTACTATCTGCGCAACTCAACTTTCCCCGCAGGAAAAGTTCCGACCAGCATGAGGATCCTCGTCCGTCGCTGAAAGAACCAAGCCAGCATCGTCTCTGCGAATTGTGCGTCTCTCGAGACCATCCACGCCGCTACTGCACCGAAAGACGCTCCTACCACATTGTATTAGGCAACTAATACCACACCACTTACGGAGCACGCACCCTCTAAGTTCCCCGTTCCAGTCAGTCCGTCGCCAACATGCGCGCCCGCCGGTCAAAGAGATACCGCAAGATCATGTCCGCGTACCAAATGTCCTTCTCCTTCCGCGAACCGTACCAAGTGCTCCTGGACTCTCACTTCCTCAAGACATGCCACTCCTTCCACATGTCGCTGCAAAAATACGTAGAAAACACCCTGCACGGGAAATGCAACCTCTTTGTCACGAAATGCACGCTTGCGAAGATCATGGACGCGCACCAGAAGCAGAAGGAACGCAACGCAGGAGAAGGCAAAGCGAGGGGCCCGACCCGGCCTGACTTCCTGCCCCCACCGACGGAGGTCCCCCTGCGGCATTGCAAGCACAAGAATGACGAGGGCGAAGAGCTGGGCATCGTGAGTGAGGCGCGGTGTCTGCTCGATCTTCTGGCCGGACAGCCGCGCGGCAACGAGCACGCCAAGAATAAACAGCACTATATCCTTGCGACGGCGGAGGCGGAGGAGAGGGAACAACGCGGGCGAGGATTCATCGACGTGCGGGAGAGAGCGAGGTTAATTCCCGGTGTGCCGATCATATATGTCAAGAGGAGTGTGATGATTCTCGAGGAGATGAGCGGAGTCAGCGAGCGGGCGATCAAGAAGGTGGAGAAGGAAAAATTCGACGAAGGGTTGTTAGGGCTTGCTGGGCGGAAGAGAAAGAGGGGTGAGGATGACGAGGAAGGCGAGGGCGAGCGAGATGATGATTTCTTTGGAGACGAGCAACGGGATGGTGCGACTACGAAGACCAGAGGCATGAGGAGAGCTAAAGGGCCAAATCCGCTGAGCGTTAAGAAAAAGAAGAATAAAGAGCCGGCCAAGGTATCACGACCGGGAGAGGGTGATGCACCCGTCGATTCAGAGGCCGAGCCCAAACGGAAGAAGCCGACGAGAAGAGGCGGCAGAAGAGTTGCAGCAAGAAGGGACTCTACGGAACAAGAGACGGCACAAGAGCCTTCTGCGGGAACGGGGTCAGAAGCGTGAGTGGGGGACCCTCATAGCGCTGGCCAGCCATGGTGTTTTCTTTTCTTCCCGAGATACCCTGAATGCGACTCGAATGTGATTGCAAAAGCGAACTCGAATGTGATTGCGAATGCGACCGTCAAGACATGAGATTGAATCCCCCTGTACCTTCTTATACACGTCCTACCTCTCTTTCTCTCGCTCGTCTTCTCTCGTCTTCTCTCTTCTCCTCTTATCTTCTCCCGTCGTGACGCATCTCAGAGTCCTGCCCTCTCTCTTCGAATATCACACTCCTACGCCCCTCCCCGCCGCCATACTGTAACTCACTTCGCCAGAAACGCCCTCCCGTAAACGAACAGGCCCGTCGCAGCCAACACGCTCAACCCGGCAGGCAGAGGCTTCCCCGTCTTGATCGCCCTGGGGATCGAACTGCCCGCGAGCAACACCGATGCGAGCAACGCGAGTTCCACGCCGTAGGGTTGGCGTTTCGAGATGCGGTAGCCGCCGAGACCGTACTGCGCGCGCGCGAGTGAAAGATGATGTTAGTGCCCGGGGGTGGTCAAGTTTCAACAGGGTCACAAGTGGGAGAGGGAGAGAATTCGCAAAACGTACCAGGAAACCGACTGTGAGGCCGGCTGCGATGGAGGGGATCGATCCCGTGCGCACGTAGCCTGTTATGCCGCCCACGGAAGTGAGGGCGGAGAGGATGTAGGCTGGGTTCTCGGACTGTCGTGGCACGCCGTGTTAGTGGGCCACGCCCCAACTCTTCCGGTATGGGGCTTTACCATGTTGACTGCTTCAAGGCAGAATCCGAAGGTTCGACTGAGAGATCTTCTGGTGCAGGGAGAGAAGGATCATGTCGAGGTGGAGTGAACATTTGGTGATGTTGACAATGACGAGACAGCTACCCCGACATTCGGGTGAGAATGTCCCGCCTTCCGAGTTGCGTACATCAGACGACTTTTCATGGGCTCACGGAGTCTTCGACGGATCACTCTGGGAAACACTTGGGTATTAATGATTATAATTATGTTTTAATCATCAGCTCAGCAGGCAAGACAATGCTTTCCCAAACCGGTCGTGAACAACAGTTTATATCACTTTGTATAAGAATAGTCATCAAACCAAAACCACAAAAGACAACCATAACCCAACCAGCGTCATGATGAATGAGTGAGAATGTAAAGAAGCAGCACCATTGCCGCTCGATTCTCCTTCTCCCGGAGGCGTATTCGTGGTATTTAAGATGGCCGTGCCATCGTCGTTATCATTTGCTCGGTTGTTAGTCGTAGAGTCGGTCTCGTTGTGGCTGGAAGTTGAATTATGGGTGCTGTTCTTCGGAACAGGTTGATTGTGGTAGTTACGGATGATGGTGCTGGCTTGTTCGGCGATGCCGTATGTCGAACTCATCAGATGTGCCGAGAAAGAGATTGGGGGAATGCTTGCATCCGCGACACGGACATTGGAAAGGCCGTACACGCGGAGGTTCGCATCGACGACACCGCCTTGTTCGAGAGGCAGCATGGCGCAGGTCGACGATGGATGAAACTCAGTGAAGACATTTCCTCGAAGCCAGTCTTCCCATTCTTGGTCAGATTCGACGTCCGGCCCAGGCCAGGTCTCCTCCGTCATGCTGCTAGCAAGTGGTTGAGCATTGCCCAAGCGCCGCGCAAGCTTGATACCCTGGCGTAGGACCTGGACATCAGCGGGGTGATTGAGATAATTTGGATTGATGATCGGGTAATCAAGCGGGTTAGACGAGGCGATGGAGATTTGGCCGTGACTGAAGGGATGCTGTAAGTTGGCACCAATCTGAATGACCCCATCCGTTGTGAGTCCTATCACAAGCTCGATCAGGCCAATGGGACTGGTGAGGATGGTGTTCGCTGTCGTGTCGTAGATAGCCTTGAAGCCATCAATGACGCCCGCGTCGGTGCTGGTGTTGGGGATGTACTCGTCAATGGCGCCATTGATGCTGCTTTGCAGACTGCCTACTCCGTTGCCGAAGAGCACGGAAGCATTCACGTATGCCGTTGCAGAATTCACGTATGACAAGAAGGTAGCATCATCCTGTAGCAGTTAGAAACATGTGACGGCTGCCAGAAGAGTCGGACGGTACCTTCTCGGTGCTAGCGTTGTTGGCGTATATGCTGCCTCCTGTGTCTGCATCCGTACTCCACATGATTGAGACGCTCTGCTTCAGTCAGCTTGCAGCCCATCTCACATGCATAGAATGACTCACTAGGTGATCCTGCAGATGCTGTCCGACGCCCGGCAGTTCTGAGACAACAGGAACTCCAGCAGCGTCGAGCACGTCCTTGGGTCCAATACCACTGTAAAGTAGGACAGCCGGACTTCCGACTGTGCCGCCCGCTAAGATGACCTCCTTCTTGACACCAACCGAGAGTGTCTCGGCACCGCCATTCAATGCGTATTCGACGGCGTTCGCGGTCAAGTTGCCCCTGGGAGAGGAGCTGTTAAACAGTAACCGTGTGACATGTGCATTGGCGACCACATCGTAATTCGCACGGGGCGGCAGGGGGTCGAGATAGCCAGAGCGGCTATATGAACGCGTCCAGTTGGTTGGGTTGATGGCGGATGTCGCGACGTATGCGCCCCAGTTTTCACCACCGTAGGCGTCAGTGGTACCGGCAACGCCGACATCACTGGTAGCGGCTGACCACGCGCCGACTTCAGGAAACGTGCTGCAGCACGGTCAGTATTGTGCCCTACATGTATGAGTTGTGGACTCACTAGCCAGGGTAGGACATATGAATTGGTCCTTGAGTACCATGACTCGCCGTGTTGAAAGTAATGCCGGCCTCCTCCTGAACGGAAGCATCAATCGGAGCACTGAACGCCTCGCTCTTCTTCATCGCCGCATACAGCGAGTCCCATGACCAGTTGTCGGCGCCCTTCATGTCGCCAAGCATAGTCTGCCATGCGTTGACCTCGATTTCGCCCGGTCGGTTCATGTAGAGCCCGTTGATCGCTGACGAACCACCGAGCACTTTCCCTCGAGGCCATGGTAGTTGACTGTTGTTGGCATGCGCTTGAGGCGTTGTGGTGAAGTTCCAGTTCAGATCCGTAGGCCATAAGGATTGATAGTATGCATACGCAGGAGTATCTGGGGCCAGGTCAGTGATCCTCCGGGTCTAGTAAGCACTAGGGGTCCTCACCTATACGGGTTTTGAGCTCGTCTCCAGTGGTCCCTGCTTCGAGGACGAGCACTGTGTGGTTTTTGTCTTCTGATAGGCGTGCGCCGAGGACGAGACCTGCCAGGCCTCCTCCAACAATAACAAAATCATATGAGTCTGCGATGCTCGTGCTGTCGATAATGTTCCGCGTCCGCAGCAAGTGTGGTTCGTCTTGAGCGAAGGGAGCAGCAAGCGCTTGCCCGGCCCACGCGACCAAAATGATAGACGTGAAGCTATGCATACTGTCTACTTCATGAGATATCACCGCGATACGCGAAGGAGGGGGAAAGAGATAGAGTCGATGGCATACTCGCAGAGGATGACACACGACTGCGCGGCTGCCATGGATAAAGATTGTCGGTCGCCGTTGACTCGACGCGTACTGGGTACCTAGTGTCTCGTTGCGAGGCAGGTGCCGGTGGACTGATCGCTGCTCACTGACGACGTTGGGTATGGCCCAACCCCACCCTTTTTAAAATTGTATACCTAGTCCACCACTAAGCATACCTATCAGAGATTTGGACATGGGCCCGTTACCCAGCCAGGTCAAGGTCAAGAAGGATGAGCGGAGCCTAGCAACGCCACCCGGGCAACGTTTCGTGTTTCACCAAATGACGATCTCGTTCTGGAGCCGCCATCACTGACGAATGGGCGACTATTTGATAGAAGCGAGCTGATAAGAACAACCGAGGTTTTGTCCAAGCAGGGTTCCGCACACCTTGCACATGCGAGCAAAGTGAGACACGAGAACTCGCGGGACCCATTATGATTATCGACGCGATTGTTGACAAAGGCAAAATCCAGGGGTAGAAAACTTTAACCGGGTTAAGCTCCAACAGGCGAGGCTGGAGATCGACACCACGAGGCTGTGCGTGGCTGTGTGACTGTGTGGCTGTGTGCTGCCGTGCCCCAAAGAAGCAGGTCGTGCGGTGCCGGCCACGTCGCTGCAACGCAGTGATGGCCTACGCCTATAGCTTTCTATGACAATCGGCCAACACATCCAGCAACCGTTGTTCCCAGCACGTTTCGCGCCCGTTGGCCACTCCCTCAACAATGGCTAAGAAGCCTGCAGCCCAGTCGCCCGCGACGAAGACGCCCGCCCCCGTTGCGGCGGCCAAACCTCTGCCACCAGCAACACACAAACCTTCGGGGTCGATCTCTTCAAATGCACCCCCGCCCGTAAAGCCTGTACCACAGAGCTCCTTGTCTCCTCGATCGTCACCGCAAGAGATCATCGTCCATGTGTGGAATAGATACCTCCAGGATACACCCTCGAGGACCATGCTGCTCGATGCCTTCATGGCATGGCTGGTGGTGGTTGGGGCTGTCCAATTCCTCTACTGCATCCTAGCTGGGAACTACGTACGTCACCTGCGACCCCGAGGGTAGCGGATCAACTGATCGAGTAATGAAATAGCCATTCAATGCCTTCCTATCCGGTTTCTGTTCAGCAGTCGGCCAATTTGTCCTAACAGCATCGTTACGCATGCAAACCTCGGAACGGCCTCCAACGGGCGCGTCGGCAGCGGCGAAGAAGTCGACAGCCAAGACCATCGACGGGATCAGCGGAGAAGTGATAGAACAGGGAAAGATCAGTTCCGAGAGAGCATTCGCAGACTTTGTGTTCGGCAGTCTCATCCTCCATGGCTTCTGCGTGAACTTCATCAACTGAGGAGATCCCCATGTACAACCACGGAAGTGAACCGAGTGGACGGTACGGCGCGTGTTCTTCGCCAACCGGGGTCAGGCTTGACCCTCGTAGAGCGACATGTTGCTGTTTATCCGGAAGTCACTCAGCCTGAAAAGCGTTGCATTTTTGTGGAAGCAAGCCAGGTCTGAACCAGAGAATCAAGATGGCAGAAGCATACGCCTGAGACATACGCATGTATGCACAAAGGCCAACAACTACCACACGGACAAGGTCAATACTGGGGACAGTCTTGGGTCTGCTTGCTAGACTAGGGCCCCAAGGACCCCTTCCCAAGGACAAAAGTGTACTACTATATGAGGCATAGAGAAAATCCAACCGGAGCGGCAATGAAGCGTATGAATCCGTGTCCAATCTCGATATATGTACATTGCACCCGTCGGTCCATATAGAACTACCAGCACGATCCGCGTCGGGGCTTTATATACACCCACGATCGCTCGCTCACAGTTCCGTCTTCCTCCTGCTCCGCCAACTCCCATGCCGCGTCGGATCCCTCGCGATGCCTTCCCACTCCCTGACCTTGTCCTGGCCCACGCTCTCAAACCCATACTTCAACCAACTCGCCTCGGCGGCCAGCTTGGCATATTTCTTCGCCCCCCTCGCACTGCCCACACTATTATACATCAAGGCGGCATGCCCGTACGCGTCGTCTAGAAACGCGTCGAGCCCTTCTTCCTTGTACAGCCTGACGAGCATTTCGGCCTTTTTGACGCTGGCCGTCGAGTTGGCCGTCCACTGCGCCAGCGCCCACTGCAGGGCGATGATATCCTGGGTGGCCCTGTCGCTGTCCTCGACCGTGCGGTGCTTGTGGTGGTGGTGCTTGTGCCCGCTGTAACTCTCCGGGGAACAGCGCGGACAAGTACAAGTGAACTGGAAGGTGTTTTCGAAATACTGCTGCCGGTCGGCGCGGAGCCGGAGAGGCGGCGCGTACGAGATGGTCAGCTCTTCGTCTTCCTCGACAGGCCGCACGGCGTGGACGTAGTGCGTGAGCAAGTCGCTGGAGAGGAAGTATTGGGCGCTGCACCCATCAAGTTAGTACCACATGACTGTACAAATCCGACATGTCGCGAGCGAACAAAAAAGAGACATGGTGTGTCAAAACGTACTTTGGCGCGCACGCGTGATTGAACCTCGACGACTCCGGGAACACAGCCAAGTGCATGAGTCCTCCGATCTGGATCTCGAACGCGTTCGCCTTGACCACGTCCTGGGCCACGACGCTGGGATCGTTGTAGATCTTCGCGAGGCCGAGATAGATGTTTCGGCTCGCTGGGGGCAGCTGGTCGACGGCCAACCGGAGATAGTACTCCCGGTCGTGTGTCGAGAGGGCATTCTCCATGTGCGCCAGCAGGTAAGGTGTATAGGCGGTGATCAAATCGCCGCGCTGCAGGGGCCGGGCCGCCAACATGCCCATGCCCTTGCCGCGGATCAGGGCAGTATACCACGGCTGGGTTGGGACATCGGGTTCAGGGTTGATGCCCCGGGAGGACAGTGATTCTGGGTCCTGGAACGGCGGGAGAGCGGCAAACTCCTGTGCGATTCTAGGTGTCGTGAAAATGGATATCCCTCGTCCGTTGCTGAACGTCGCGTTGGTATAGACACATAGTTGGTCCCCTATGCCGTCGAGGTGTTCTGTGCAGACGGGTTTGTGCGTCCAGGGGAAGTATGAGTCGGAGATTTCTTGTGTTTTCGAATGAGACGACCGAGTAGCGTGGGATCCGGCTTCGACACTGTCTTCACTCGACAATGTACTTCTTGACATGACCCGCTGTTCAGCTAGCGCTACCAGCTCGGTGCACGCAACAAGCGACACCACCAAAGAGACAACGCCTATAGAGACCAGCTCGAACTTCATGTTGAACAACCGTTACGAGAAACGCAAATAAACACCAGAACACGACGCACAAAGGAGAACAAACCCGGTTATACACAGGAGATGCTGTTGAAGTAGGTATGTAGTACTTTGTTGTCCGGTCCATCTTGAAACATGAAACACCACTCCGTGCGCCCTGGGCTAAGGGTTTCACATTTGGCGACCCCTATCAAGAGATGACAAGGGCTGCAGTAGTGCTGCCTTGGTTGTCACCGTACATACTCCTACTGCGTGATATAATCGTCTCGAAGGACGAGCTTGACGAGACGACCACAGGTACTCTACTCTGCGGTGGACATGGCAGACATGAGTGAAGATTATCGATCGAGTTGGGACAATGGACCTTTGAATACGGGAAACGGGTGGAAATGACGCAGCATGGGCGCGGCTTATCCTGTAACGACACGTTTTCGAAGCAGTCAATTCCTCAGTTTTATTTCGAGGACTTGTCCTGCTCATGAACATCTTCACCATTAATGAGTGGCCGTCGATATCGGGTACAAACTTATACGTGCTTTCGAACAGCCGCCGTCCCCAAAATCGGCCCATGTCGCCTGCTAAGCTGCTTGTTATCGACATGAATGTGGTCGTCGTGCGGAGGAAGTGAGGTCGATGCGGCGACCAGATGGGCAACGGTTTGAGGAACCATTGCAATAACTCCTGCTGCTCATCCTCAATTAGACTGTTTTTCACGCGCGTAGTGGCATACAAGCAAACACTAGGTATCATATCGACTGGGAGCAGGAAAAGTCACTCAGACGCCACCCCTCCTGAACCACGCCTCCAACCCAGTCTTCCAGGCACAGAACTCGCCATCTATCTGCGCCACAATCTCCAACGTTCTCGGTTCCAATCCGAACGCCTCTGACGCCGCCGTGCCCTCGTCTTTCATAGCCGCGTAACTCATCTGATCGTAATCTAATTCATCGTGCTGGTAGCTCACGCGGCCCAGATCCGCCATCACCACGTCTCGGCTCCGCACCCGATCCTCCGAGAACTTGATAGCGCGGACCTTGTCCATTCCCAACGGCCTGACATATGCGCGGACCTTGTCGAGCGCGTCGACCATGGCCTCGGAGCGCACGTTGCTAAACAGCTGCTTCTTGGTGACCGGGTCGAGCGTCCATTTCAGCCGCTGGACAGACACAGCCGGTTGCTTGGAGACCTGCGCGAGCAGCAGGCCGAGGACGTCAAAGTCACGAAACTCGGCCTCGATTTCCATGGACGATTCATACTGCGGAGCGTCCCGTGAGAGGATTGAGGAACCCGGTTTGAGCCAGGAGTAGGAGCGGAATGTTGTCACGGAGAGGTCAACGATGGGAGGCTCAGGCTCTTCGAGGGTATTCGTGGTCGCGTTCTGCTTGGAGCTGGGAGGCTGTAGAGCAGAGGTTTGGACGAGCGGTCTGAGCATGGATAGAATGTCGTCGGCTGTCTTGCGGACTGAGTCCGCGACCTTCTCCTGCTTCGGTCCCTCGGCGTATATTCGGAGACACACGAGGGCTCGGTTGGCAGGGACGCTGATGCTGGATTGTCCCTCCAGGTGGACAGAGATGGGCTTTGGTGCTGACAGGTATGATGGGATCCCAAGCACGCAGAGCACGGTGATGATCGTTTGCTTCAAGTAAGATGAGGCAATCATGGTGGCAAAGAACTGCCAGAATCCGAAAAAGCGGGAGCTTTCTCGTCCAGAACCAGCGCTGTTATTCGTCATGCTCATGCCCTCGACAGACGTGAACGGTTCTTAGTGCGTGCAACGGCTGGTACTTATGAGAGCATCATTGAACGTCGTGACAGGTGGTCTCATTGTCCGCGGCTGCTGTATCTGCTCTGCGACTCTGGACTCTAGCTCGCTCCACGAACTGCAGCCTAGGTCGCCAAGGTTTTTCCTTTGCGTTGCTGTCTTGTAAAGATAGTCCTGGCATGGTAAAGGCCAGGTTGTTGTCTCGAACGGAAGTCCTGGACCGGAAACTGTTTCCGCACCTCAGTCGCCGGCTTGGCTTTGCTAACGGGCCAGCACCTTGTGAAGAGGCTTCGGAGCGAAGGGTGTGCACTTGTGCAACCTGTTATGCTGAATATGGGAGCATCAATCTGAGAATAACTAGCGCCATTCTGGCGCTGTGACTTTTCTATTTCTAGATGTCCTTCGCCCTTGTATGCAAACACTTTTGGAATCCTGATATCGCTCGAACGCTCTAACATCGAAATGAAGACAGCAATACACCGTTCTAAATGCGGACATGGTCGTCACACGTAGCCATGACTGAGCTGATCTTGAACTGGTGGATAATCTCTTCCGCACAGCGCAAATTTCCATCATGGTAGGTTCTTCCGTGGCGGTATGATTGTATGGCACACACTTCATTCACCATGGAATTCCTGACCAAAGTCTTCGTCGTCGTCGTTTTCCACGTCATCGTCATCTGACCCTGCGACATCCATCCCTTCATCTTCAGATTCCGTATCTTCGGCCTCTTCACCAGGGATGCCCTTCCACGCGACATAGTCGCCTTCGATCCAATGCTTGCTGATCGGCAGATGATATGGGTCGTAGGGGAAGTAGCCTTCAAGTATGCCGTTATCCCCAACCCAGCTCAAGTCTCTGTCAGGGTTGCTGATGGTCAAGTCGGACATGTCGCGCCAATGAGTCGTAATTCGCACATGCCTGTTTTCTTCCAGCTTGGGATAGATGTAGAACAGCTGCAACGCGTGCGTGAGCTTGGCGAATTGCTCAACAATCACTGGCGTGCACACGCGCAGAGGGTTGAGCGGCGAGTACATGGCTGCTCGGAGCGCTTCGCGTAACGACTCGGGGAAATGGAATGTCTCGATTTCTTCTTCTTCGACCTCGAAGTCCGATTCGTCATCGGAGCTGGAGGAAGCGATGTCCCGCCATCGGAAGCAGAAGATGTACAGGATCGCTTGGAACGCAGCGTAAAAGTCACCATACCGCTTGAGGTCTGGACCGCGACAGCCGGGTTCGTAAGACTTGCGTAGAATTGTCAAGTGGTCGCATAAGAGTTCCAAACAGTCTTGAACCACTTGCGGAGATACATGCGCACCGCGACCCACAAAGCCTGAGAAGTAGGCAGCAGCGCTGTGTCGGAGATGATGTGGTTGCTTCTTGTCAACAAGCACAGCCACGCAAGACGTGACAAATCGGTCGACAATGATAGGATCTGCCTGCGCGAAGTGGAAGACCAGGAACTGTGGATGTCGGGCTCGGTATGTTGGGAGAATTTGAGTATGAAATTGAGAAACAATCTGTTCGATGGTGCTGTCTCGTGTCTGTAGAGTCGTGGAAGCGGTGAGTTTGGCATAGTACTGAAACAGGATGTCCATGATTAAGTCGACCTGTTTGATGTCCTCTTTCAATTTTCGTCGACGAGCAGTGGCGGCGTCGACGCTTTCATCTTCTTCTATATCTGACTCGTCAGTCGTGCTTGCATCATCGCTCTGTTCATCGAGGCCACCCTTCAGCATGTCCTGGGAAGAGCCTGGGACAAGTGTTTGTGAAGACGACATGTGGCTGAGTAAGTCATCTTCAGCGTCCTCTTCCTCTTCATCCAGGTCCACCTGCACCGCCACATCCAGCTTGATGAGCTCTCTCAGCACCAAGTTTAAGATTTCGGACGTCAGCTCTGGCACGTGGTTGATCATTTCCATGAAATTGCGGATGTATGTCATTCGCTCCTCGCCCTTTTGGAAATCAAACTCTAAGCGCGCAGCTATTCGATCGGCAAGTGCGGCGGGCGAGGAGGGAACGTTATCGGCGATGTGCTGAATAGCTCGTAGGACACGCCGATGAATTTTTGGCTGTCTGACAGGAGCTGCACGCTGAATTCGGCGTGTTTTCTGGGGCCCAAGCAAGTCGACCAACACCGACATTATCTTCGACTGGTATCCACGCTGCGCCGCAGCCAGGTTGTTCAGGAATCTGACAAAAAGGGCGTAATATTGCTCCTCTCTTCCGATCCATTCGCTGTACAAAATCGCATTCACGAGGCCGCTGCAATCTTTGTCGAGCGAGGTGACGTTGGCCAGCAGAGCCTGAAGGTGTAATCTGAGCTTCTTGGTGGAGGGCGCATTTAATTTGTCTGGTGAGGTGCTGAAATAGCTCTTGATCCTCTCGTACGCTTCGTCTTCTCTGAGACGGTGTCTTTCAATCGCCCTGCGGACTTGCTCTCTGACAACGAGAGGGTCGAGGTCTTCGTCGTCGTCGGCAGACACTATCTCAACATCGGAATCAAAAGTCACTCGGGAGCGCTTCGAGGGACTCGAAGGAATGTCCATGGCATTGCTTTCGTCCAGCGACCGTTTCAACGTCGTCCGCCTCGTCATCGGTTGAGGTCTTGATGGTTTGGGAGGAAGAGAAGGAGCTGAAAAGCTGGGGGGAAGAGCAGGCCGACGGCCCTTTGGGCGCGGGGCTATCATGACCGCAACGGGACCCGAGAGCCACTTTTTGACGTATCATGAGAGGGACGAGAAGGTATAAGCATACAGTTAGGCTGATACAGAAAATCCCTTGCTAGATGTGACTGTAAAAATCTAGTCTTCAAGCTAGCAAGATGCCATCATGATTGCTGGCAAGTTGAAGAAAATAATACAAAATTCATTTCGTGCGCGGAAAAGCTATACCCCTTTGGGCTATGAGGCACGCACGCATTCAGTCATCAGTCACCGCTTCCTCAATTGTGTGTCACTTCGGCTTGACTCACTTCACAGTCGACGAAACGGTCTATTCCTAGCTTCAAAGCCCCGATGGAATCAATGACTCAATGGTGTTTTAGGTTCCTACACAGTCTTACAAGTAAGCCCTCTGGCTAATTCTCTCTGTCCCTCGGATCTTATCAAAGTTCGACGCCGCATCCTTGCCAAACAATTCGATCCTGTGTCCTAGTGCTCGTCTGAGGATCCAGTCATTGCTGTTGATGTCCTCTTCGACTGCATCTTCTTCGAGCGGCGGAATCTTATCGCTCCCGTCCAGTCGCTTGAGTTTTACATCGTTCTCCGGCCTATTGAAGTACACCAGTGAATACCGTGTATAATTCGCCTGCTCTCCTGGTGGGGCAACGACACGGTGGATGTTTGAGCGAAGAAGGCCATTGGTAAATTTCACCATGGCATCTCCGAGATTTATGATGGCGTGGTTTCTAGATTTTTTCAGTTTGACATTCAACAACTGTATCCTGATAGTCCGACCCGTGGAGTAATACTTACGGAAGGGGTTTGACGTAACACCACTGTGCATCACGGCCCGGTGGAAGGACTTGCAAACCGCCGAGCCGGTTGAAGAGGACCGTTACGCTTCCAAAATCGGTATGTTCGCCCAGAGCTGTCCGTCGGTCGTCGCTGGGCTGCGGTGGCGCCTTAATAAACCGGACTTGGTCCCCAGAATGGCCATCGAGACGGTGCATATTCTGCAAAGTGTTTGGTGGTAGTTGCAGATGATCGTTGAGGAGTTCGAGAACAAGTGTGACAATGCCGTGGGCCGACGATATGAATGATTTGAGGAGTGGACGTCTTGAAGTGAGCACCTCGGGGGCTGGTAAGGGATCCATGAGTCCAAACATATCGTCTTTGGACACCTGCTTGTTGTCAAAGGTTTGCGGGACGCTTTTGATACTATTCACCACTCACATTGTAAAACTCGTTGCGATCGAGATTGCCATCTTTGTCCACCACATTGGCACCATAGCCCTTATATCCAAAATAGGATTTCTTTTGCTGGAAGTCGTATTGCTTCTTTTCTTCTTGTGGAAGGTCAAACAACTTCTCGCCAACTCGGAAAAGTTCATCAGCATCGGCCAGGATGGAGTCGCCTGGGCCAGAAAGGTCGAGGTAGAAGAAGCCGAGATCCTCACAAGCCCTGACAAACCGATTTACTTCCTCGGGATCTTGGTCAAGCAATTTGGCGAGCGAGAGCCGAAGAAGAGGTGCCGTTGGCACATCATCTGGGAAGCGGGGAGCATTTTCGTATTCCTGCTTCGGCGCAGAGAAGGCTTCGACTTGTTGAGACGCCATGGTAATGTTGTTATATGCGTTCGAAACGCTTCAATGAATCGTCGGCGCAGTGGAAAGTCATTCGGTTTTATATAGCCGCTCGCTTCTGGCCGAGGTCGCCTATCTCCACTTTCTCTCCACGTTTTGCTGGGCTGCCATGACGAAGCCTCCAGACTCCGGGTGGGGGAGCAGAGTGAGATAGAACGAGGAGAGCTGTTGTCATTGGATATTCGTGACTGGCTCTCCGCTGACAGCTCGGTGTTCCCTCGGGCAGAATTCAGCTTATTCCCCGGGATACTGGATTTGACTCCTTGTCTTCCACCTGGGCATGCTATCCCTACAACGTATTCTCCTATGGATGGACGTGAATGTCATCACGGCAGTACACCTCATTCCAGATATTGGGGTATTGCCGACTTCAAAGAACGGGAAACTCCATATCAGCTCCGTGGTAGGAATTATCTTCCAACGCGAGATCCCTGTTTGCTGGGGGTCTTTCCTGTCTTTCCGGGCAGTTTGCAAACCCCTTCAGAAATGCTTGTGTGGCGTTTCACGTCTGCATTCCTGGAATCCTGCATTCGACCGGCCCAACCTGATTCTTGATAAACAGCTGATCAAGCGTCTTATAGCAGACCTCCCATTCCAAGATAGGATGTTGAGAAAGGCTGGCTTTGTTAGGGCTGGCTCTGTTGAGAACCGCGGATTTTGACTTCCCCACCATCACATTCAGTGTTGGAAACACCGAAACATGTTGATCGACCGTCAGAACGGGGATTGTAAATCTCGATTTGCCTGGCGCCGATTCCGCTAGTATTGCTTGGAAGCCGTCTCTTTCGTCTTCGAGCATTTCGTACACCTTTTGTACGTCAGACTCGGAATAAGGGCGAATACGAATCCTCGAAAGACCCTCGATACTGTCAGCCCGCACGCGGATCCAGTATCGATGATCCCAGAGCAGCCACGCCGACCAGAGTTTCTTTTCGTGACTCTCATCGGCAGTATAAATCGGATCAGGGTCGCTGGAGTATTTCCCTTTGACAATCTTACCTTGTCTGGGGAAACGGAAACCCATCGTGGCGCGGTCAAGCTCTCTTCTGCGCATAGGCGGCCGCGACATCGTCCAGACGGTGCTTCGCCGGTCCCGTTGAAGCCGGCGATGGTCACCTTCGCTGTTATCCTCTTCGTGGTCAGACGTGGCCTTGTACTGACTTTCGCTCTGCGTGTTCTCGCTTTTCTCGAGTAAAGCCTGTTGCACAGTCATTTGCTCTCCACCTCTTCGCTGATTCCTCTCAAGGAATTCCCTAAGATTATGTCGGGGCACCAGAGTTGGCTCAGCATCGTCTTTTGACTGTGGGCTCACCACACTTGTCAATCTCGCCAAAGCGTACCCGCCAGCTTCCGGGTCGGCTTCGCATGAAGTATGAAAGTGGGGCGGGAGAGAAACAGTCATACGGCCGGACCGTAGATCAAAGACATCTATTGTCATCATCCGCAGAATCGACTCTCCCCGTAGAGCAAGAGACTTCGCGGAACTTTGGGCCCTTCTCTGGACCTCTAGTATCGAAGGTCCCTGCAATGCTCGTGGTAAGGCGTAGTGGGTCCTTAGATGGCGGACAGCGTTTCGCAAAGTCAGTGTCGGATCGAAGTTGGTCTTATCGAGGACATATGGAATGTCGTATGTGGCGCAAAACTGGAGGATAGCAGATTTCGGAAACGCCAGAAGCGGTCGGTGCACCTGGATACCACTTGAAGAAGGTACCAGTGTCTCACCTTGGTGGATGCGGACAGGGTCATCTGAAGCTTTTTTCACCCCCCAACGAGCACAAGCGTCACGCAACGAGGCCTCGAAGCCAGTGTGTCGAATTGCCGCCTGTGCGCCTTTGATATCTTCGCAGCAAGGTATTGTGCCATGCTCGGGTATGCCTTGCCGGCCAAGAAAGGAGTCGTTAGAGTTGCGTATAAGCCGCATGAGGATCGTCTCAACCTGATCATCCTGATGATGCCCTAGAAAGATGTGGCTGATCTTTCTTCGGATGGCCGTTTCAGCAATCAATCGATAACGAGCTCGGCGAGCTTGCATTTCGAAGCCAGGCAGGCTTGCAGGGTCAGTGGCGGCCGGCCACTGCATCTCGAGAATATCGCTTTCGATTCCTATAGTCCATCAGTACAATGCCCGGGAAGAGGAGTTGTATTTCCCACCGAGTTTCCGAAGCTGTGAGCCAACATACTTAGCCTCCTCGCCACTTTCTTTCCTTGCATTATGATTGACGATAAATGCCACTGGCTTGGTCATTGTATCGGTGGATCTCAGTGAGAGTTGCCTGAGCAAGAAGGCCAATGCCATAGAGTCGGGACCTCCGCTAACGCAAACGCCTGAAAATGTTAGAATGAAGCCACATCATCGAGACGAATGCATACCAACTGGAACTGCCTGTCTTCTACCCAGCTCCAGCTCATGCTTGTTCCAGATGCTTTTGAGAAAGCTGCTGGCTGCCAAAGCCAAGCTCCGCTCAGCATTGTGCATTCGACTTCCAATCGCGTGCGCCATAGTGATCAAGATCTGGCTTTTGCCTTTAAACAGAGACTAGACTAATCCCTGCACGCACTGACGAACCGGCATCTACCGCCAGCAGGCTCATACCAGCGTACATGTAGCTGACTTGAGTATCTTGGGTTGGAAGACATCCTCAACACCTGCCTCGGCATAGGTCGCATCAAGGAAACAGCAACAAGTCCACTAACAACAGCCTTAGGAAGCTGTTCGGTGATCGCGATGCATGGTATTCTATTGACTTGTCGGAAGCAGAGAGGTAAATGAGAAGTGTTGTTGCAATGTTCGTGACACGCAACGGCGATTTGTTCCTCTACGGAGCAGCAATGCGACCGCGATAGACATGCTCCGCAGGACTCTACGTCATCAAGCAGCCTCGCAGTCTGGTCCAGACCTCCGCACGTCTTTGGTGATAAGCGGACGGGATCAAATATCCTTACAGATGTGCCCGGTTAGAGATCGGAATTCAGGCAGGAGAAAGCCTTTAGATTCTGTAACCTGGAATGCGAGTAACGCTCTCAGCCATCTGCAGAGCAGCGATGTAGCGTGTTACGAAGTTTCCAGAAGAGTCGCCCATCCTGTCCCTCTTGCCGTCCACCAGGTTCATGACGTACTGAGCATGGAGATGATCTGGTAAGTTCTCCTTGCACCATTCATTGTCGATATTCATCCCATCAACAAGTTGCTCCATGCGAGTCCTATGCACAGGATCCCCGCTACTAAAGGAGAGCAGACACAAGTAGCGCAGAAGCGACGGAAGCGTGGGTATCGGCGTCTGTGTTATATCTTCGCCAGTGAGATAGTCGAGGATTTCGAGGCTGTAATAGGCGTCTCTGCCGTGAGCCTCTTGACCAAGGGCATCCGGCTTCTCGATTTTCTCATCGCTGAGTAGTACAATCTGGGGCTCGTCTGCGTACTTTTCTACAAACCGAGGGCATCCCCTTGTGTATTCAGCATGCGCACCAGGGCTGCTTGGTGGCACTCTTCGGAAGAGAGGAGAAGAGTCCAATGCTTGCTCCGCGCTGCTGAGCTTCGAGCTGGACACGCATACCTCGATGTCCTCGGCCTTCGTTAGCTTTCCAACAGCGTGGCGAAGAATGCTCCTACATGCAGCACACAGCCAACATTGTAGTAGCTAAGTGCAAGTTCGCCCACAATCACACAGTCCACGCCGGCATTCTTCAGCACCTTCAACGACGTTCGCAAAGGCTTCGCGTACATGCCCATCTCTCGCGTAGAGCATGGAAGTTATCGAGCTTGCCCAGAAGTTCTTGGCCTAATAGGGCAGTTTTGACGCGTTGCGCCGCTTTCCTCCGGATGTGTTTTCTGCAGTCACAAAAGAGCATGACGGTGTGACGGTTGAAGGCTTGTTGATGTGGAGGGGTTGTGGAAGGACGCGACGCTTTATTGTTTAGAAAAGCCTGGCGTGGGATCCGATTGGTAACCACCAACTTGTATGCGGGTGGTCACGGCTTAGCATGAGGTTCATTCTTTCGACTGAGACTTCTGAACAGCGGTGTGACAAACATCCAACACGACCATCGACCATGGCCAACTCGAGCATGCTCGACTACAAGTCCGTCCTAAGAACCTTCCACCGAGGCTTCTTGAAATTTCAAATAATGTCCGATCTGCACCTTGAAGTCGGAAATCAATACGAGACCTTCCAGGTCCCAGTCGAATCACCATTTCTGATCCTCGGAGGGGACATCGGTCGACTGCGAGACTACGAAAGCTACCTTTCATTCCTCGCGATGCAATGTGCTCAATTTGACACAGTGTACCTTGTCCTGGGGAACCATGAGTTCTATGGCATATCACGCTCCGAGGGTCTTGCTCTCGCTGACAAGCTGGAAAAGGAGGAGAGGACCCTGGGCAAGCTGAAACTGCTTCATCGACGCAGACTGGACGTAAGCCCGTCTGTATGTATCCTTGGTTGTACTCTCCAGTCACACATCAGGCCGCAGAACCGGGACGAGATTGAGCGACGAGTGAACGATTTTCGGCAAATACAAGGTTGGAACGTCGATGAGCATAACGAGGAGCATGAGAGAGATGTGGATTGGCTGCGGACTGAGATCAACCTCATAAGACCAGGATTGGGCGGCGCAGGCAATGCAAAAAGCATCCTCGTCGTTACCCATCACGCGCCCGTCAGAAAAGGGAGCAGCGACCCTATGTACGATGAGAGCCCCTTGGCTGATGCATTCTCCACGGATCTGATCGGAGTCCATGAACAGTTGGGGAGAGTGCAATGGTGGGTCTTTGGTCACACACACTACACAACGCAATGGCGTGAGCAGGGAGTCAATCTCATCAGTAACCAGCGGGGATATGTATTTGGACCGGGTCCCAATGGACAACATAGCAGTTCGACCAAAGGCAACGATGCGTTGCAATTTGTTCGTTCCTACTTCAAGCGGAAGGACTGTCAGTTTGACCCGCGGAAATGCATTCAGATCAAAGCTTGACACTGTCACGGACGTGTATCTCATTCGAGTATGCCTGATTGAAGTTCTCCACGTTCAAGAAGCGGATTGACTCAGCTCGTCGACCGCTGCACTCTGACGCATGCGAGGCCGATACCTTCTCAAAGTCGATGTTTAGATTCTGAAGGCGAGAAAGTATTGAGTCAAAGTACCCAGGAGACAAGGCAGTACGATATATTTCAGGGGGACTCGAGAAGCCGTAACCCTGGCTGGCTGTGAACAGCATGTGGCGCCTCAAGGGTTTTAATGGTCGGATGTGGCTGTGCCTTGTGGCTGATTCCGGGATCTTAGGTACCCAGGAGGTATGTAGACGGAGTAGACTGACTGAATGGCTTATTGCGCCGATAGGCTACTGTACGAGTACGGAGTACTGCGTAGAGATGCTGGCCATATGGGGTATGTCGTGGTATGAAGACGGGTCAGACTGGTGAGAATGGAGAGACCCTAGTAGGTTACCGGAGTACTGTGTAGGCAGGTGGGTCACAGCGGCGTCGGCCTAACGTTGGTCCCTCTCTGGTCGATTCAAGCTCAAACCAAGACCAAAAAGCTCTTCCAAGCTACCCAAGAACGCCCAAGCAATCACGCTTGCATGCCGCCGAGACCGCGCATTGAAGAGGCCACTTCTTCGACGCTGCACCTCAGCAACGCCCTCCGCGGAACGAGCAGTTCGGCTGCCGAGAGCATAAGCAAAACACAGAGGCCTTTTCGTGGGAAGCATTTGGATTTTCTTCTGCCTGGCGTAATCGCAAGTTGCACCGCCCACTTGGTGCAAGCCTGTGATGGAAAGCGACTTGACCTGGAGTGGAAATTCGTGCGGCAGCTGGGCCCTAAAACCATCGATCGACGCCAGGAACAGTCAAGAGCAAAACGCCGACAGGGGGGTTTCGGGCAGGGATCCGTCATCGTGCAGAGGGGAAAGGCATGCTCCAAGGACTGGACTTCGCTGGATGTGCCTTGAAAACGGCTTCCATGATCTCATTTTAGCCACCCCCCATTTCGCCAGCGCGGTCGCGTCTTGTTTGGGTCCAGCTCATTTACAGCATACCTTCAATCTCCTCTCACCACTCTCGTATGCCAAGAAGATCCTCCCTCTCAAACGCTCACTGACTGGTCGGACGACACTGTTTGCGCCAGATTCCTTGATTGTCATCATCGACCCTTTCCTTCACCGTCTCATGCGGCTGTCATCACTAGTTTAGGTGGCACTGCTGGCAGACAGCCCGTGCGACTCTCTCACCTCCCACTGACGTCCTACCACGTCCCTGTATTAAAGGCTACCGACTGCGCACCCCCTACGCAATTTTGCTTCGGCGCTTTCCCAACCCTCCGTGCACTGTAAACGCTCCCCGAATTTGGAACAGATAGGTCTTCGCGACCCTACACGATTGTGATATTGAACCTGGATCGGAGAAAACAGTCCAACCATGCGTAAGTTCCAGATCAATCTGCGCTGCGCCCATCTGACTTGCGCCAGACAAATATCGCCATCAAGCCAAGGTCGCGGCGTGGTACGATGACCCGCACGATGAACGCAATTTGAACCTTCCCTTTGGGAACCCGTTCTCAAAGTGGAAGCCAAACTCGCGGTCAAATACAGAGCGGAGATTGGAAAATGGGTTGAACGGATCGCCTTTGGCCATGACGCAAACAGACGATCCAGATAACTACCGGCCCTCGAGCGAAGGCAGGGGTGAAGAGCTTGGTGCAACGCGCGCCCCCCGACATGCAGCCACAACGCCTGCAGCTAAATCAGGGACAAGACCCTATGAAATGGGCGACGAAGTCGACATTCTCCGGACCTCCAGCCCAATCAGTGAGGAGAAGGTCGTGAAAGAGGAATTCCCCGGTGCCCGGCATGGTGACGAGACTGGCAGCGATACCATCACCAATGGTAGACCCAGCCAACCCGAAGACACGGGCTCAATGCGGCAACGTGCTGCTGGCGACGGGCAGAAGAAGCGCGGCCTGAAATCGTGGTTTGCCCTGGGCATGAATGGCGAGGAAAAGGACGACAATAACGGCAAGGACAAGAACAAATTCACAGTTTGGAGCCAGATCCGGGCCACCTTGTTCAATTCGTGGATTAACGTCCTCCTCATTGCTTCGCCTGTTGGCATCGCCGTCTACTACGCCGGTGTCGACCCAGTGGCAGTTTTCGTCATCAACTTCATCGCTATCATTCCTTTGGCTGCCATGTTGAGCTATGCCACCGAGGAAATCGCTCTCAGAACTGGTGAAGTCATTGGCGGTCTGCTCAATGCCTCGTTTGGCAATGCGGTTGAACTGATCGTCTCAATCATCGCACTCGCAAAAGATCAAGTTCTGATTGTTCAGACATCGTTGATTGGCAGTATGCTCTCTAATCTGCTCTTGGTCATGGGTATGTGCTTTTTCTTCGGTGGCATCAACCGCATGGAACAGGCTTTCAACGTCACCGTTGCCCAGACCGCCTCGAGTTTGCTCTTCTTGGCTGTTAGCAGTCTGATCATCCCTACCGCGTTCGAACAATGGGCCAGGACTGGAAACAATTCCAGCAACACCGCGACCGCGACGACCGAAAACGCCAAACCTGGGGTTGCGGAGTTGAGCAGAGGAACGGCGATCCTACTTTTGATTGTTTACGCCTGCTACCTATTCTTCCAGCTTAAGAGCCACAAGGAGATCTACAACGCTCCCAGTGCCAAGAACGAAACTCGACCCGTGGGCGCCAAATTCAAGAATGCAGTCATTCCAGACAAGATGCGGTCGGCGAAACCGGCTGGAGCGGAGACGCCAGAGGCCACCGTGGACGAACCCGAAGAGCCACAGCTGTCAATCCTGGTTGCGCTACTCACCCTAGCAGCCTCAACGGTCTTGGTTGCTCTGAACGCCGAGTATCTCGTCGATTCGATCGACGCCATCACTTGCGGAGGTGGTATCTCGAAGAATTTCGTCGGTCTTATCCTGCTCCCGATCGTCGGTAACGCTGCCGAGCACGCGACCGCTGTCACGGTTGCCATCAAGGATAAAATGGATCTTGCCATTGGTGTCGCTGTGGGATCCAGCATGCAAATCGCCCTGCTGGTCCTCCCGCTTGTTGTGATTCTAGGCTGGATCATTGGCAAAGATGACATGACTTTATTCTTTGATGGCTTCCAGATTGCGGTCCTCTTCGTGGCGGTCCTGCTGGTCAACTACCTGATTAGTGACGGCAAGTCACATTATTTGGAAGGTATTCTGCTGATGATCCTGTACGTCATCATTGCGGTTGCTGCCTGGTTCTATCCTACCGCTCCCGGTCTCAGCGACTGCCCGGGTGAAGGATGAATTATTTCATTTGTACATTTTGCACTTTCCCCATAAAATATTGGTTGTCAGCGCGAGCGTTGGGCCAGATACGACAAGCACACGGCAGAGTTGAGGTCTTGATTTCGGAGCGAGCTTCATACAACTTGTAATTCAATGTCACCAAAAGACAACATGCTCTGGCTTTCTTAAGAAGCTACATCAAATGGCAACATCAAATGGTAACAGCTAGGCTTATGACTCCCCTCACCATATCACCACTCAGCAAGGTTACCGGAGCATGTGGAAGCGCGGGTGGATCCGTTGAACGGCAGAGAGCCATGTGTCGTCGGAAAGACGGGACCTGTCGAAAATGGTCCTTGCATGTTGCGTTCTGCTAGACAAGCGGGAGTTCAGTCGTGGGAACTGGAGATGCGCCACAGCAACCAGCAATGCCAACGCTCTGTGCGCCCAGCGTGCGCATGATGTACACCTAGGATGCAACGTCCGAACACTGGGAGCTATTCCTGGTCAGAGTTGCAAGAATGTGTGTTTTCTACATGGCACATACTACCAAAGTGATGAGGTACTTCGTGGGGACAAGGGCCCCAAGCCTGCAGACGATCGCGATACCTTCTCAGTCAGAACGCGTTGGGCTTGAAAAATATTCTGCCCTTCCACTTAGTCAGAATGCAGCATCTAGTCGTGAGGGCGGAGAGCTCATGGCACCAGCTGCAGGGCTGTAATGTGTAGCTTGACTGAGTGCAAACCAGAATGTTACGAAACATGGAAATGACTTGTGATAAGCCCTCTCTTATTACACTCACTACCTCCAGTTCGTGCGTTCTTCCATCCTAACACTCTCCTCGTGGGAGAGATTGTCAATTAGCAGTCAGCCTCGTCAGTGACACCGCACATTTTGCCGGCCCGATCACCGAGGCGGCTGAAAGTCGGAAACGACGACGTTGGTGCTTCGTGCTTCTGTCGTTGCTTCTCTCAGCTTACAGTAGCCTACCACATCAGGTCGACAACGGGTTGCCTGATCAGGAGGCCTGGCCTTGTCTTCCCCCTTCTTGGCCGAACTTTACAACGGCTTCGTATAATTCCTTGAGACGCTCGCCGATTTCGTGTTCGGTGGTGTTGCGTGAAGCTATTCTATCGCACCGCAGAACTCCGACCTCAGATCTCAACGTCAATGGTAGGCCCAAATAAAATCCCATTAGCGAGATATCTGTTCACCCGCCTGCGTCAACAAGGTGTGCAAGCTATCCATGGCGTGCCCGGCGACTTTACCCTCAAAGCACTAGACCATGTGTCCCCTGCCGGGCTGAAATGGATTGGGACCTGCAACGAGCTCAACGCCGGCTATGCCGCAGACGGATATGCTCGGGTCCACGGCCTCAGTACGATCATGACGACATATGGCGTGGGAGAGCTGTCCGCCATCAACGCCATCGCGGGCTCGTTCGCGGAATGGGTCTCAGTGGTGAGCATCGTGGGCACGCCTCAGCGGCGATTACAGGACCACCGCAAGAACGTGCATCACACGCTGGGCGATGGACGGCCTCGAGTATTTGCCGAGATGGCGAGGCATGTCACTGTCGCGCAGACGAATCTTGTTGACGAGAGGACAGCGGCCGACGAGATCGATCGAGTCATCGCCACCAGTCTGCGAGAGTCACGGCCTGTTTACGTGGAGTTGCCCGCGGACATGGTTGGCAAGGAGATTGACGCGGAGCGATTGGAGGAGAGGCTCGACGTAGAGAAAGGCACCGCGAATGAGGGTGAGGAAGAAAGACTGCGGGAAGAGGTGCTCGGCAGGATTTACAGTGCAAGACAGCCGCTCTTGTTGGTCGACAGTGGAGGCGGTGTCCGACACTTGCGCGACGAGATCAACGCCTTTGTCGAAATCTCGGGGATACCGACCCTGTGCATGCCCTCCGGGAACAACATGGTCGATCACATGCACACGAATTTCTATGGCGTGCACTCCGGCCCGGTGGGACAGATCGATACGATGCCCTACGTCCGCGACACGGATCTGGTCGTGGCATTTGGGCCAATGTTCTCCGACACACAGACGTTGTCGTGGAAAGTTGTGCCTGAAGGAGAGAAGATGATCACGCTGAACAAGAACTCCGTCCAGATTCCCCGCTTCAAGAAGGGAGAGACGGCCGCGGAAATCAACCTGAGCCGTTTCCTCCAAAGACTCACCAAGGAATTCGACCGCTCGAGAGTCACCAGTCCCGATGTGGGCTCCCTGGGCAACTTCCGCACTATTCAACCACCTGCGTATGCAAAACCTGGTGGCGTGAGCCTCGACGGTCCCATAGACCAGACATCCTTCTACCTCCGTCTCTCGGCCTACCTTCGACCTCACGACACCATCATCCTCGGCAACGCCACGCCAATTCTGGGCGGGCGTGATCTGGTCCTCCCGCCAAACGCGCAAATCATCGCCTCAGGCCAGTGGTTCTCCATCGGCCATATGTTCCCGCTCTCCATGGGCGTCTCACTCGCTCGTCAATACCAATGGCAAAACCAAGGACGTCCCGCCGGCCGGACGATATTACTGGATGGGGACGGCGGATTTCAGGTCACTGCGCAAGAACTCGGCACGGTCATCCGATATCGTATCCCGATGACGATTTTCTTGATCAATAATGCAGGGTACGCTTACGAGAGACAGATTCACGGCATGCACGAGGATTACAACGATCTCGCGCCTTGGAGGTATACAGAACTGGCCAGGGTTTTAGGGGCGAGTGAGGCTCAGCTGGCGGAGAGCAAACAATCGCAGAACTGTAGGAGAGGACTGGATTGCGAAGCAGGGAAAGGGGAGCCGTACACCGTGAGGAATTATATCATTCACACGTGGAGGGACCTGGAGAACCTGCTTGCCGACGAAGAGTTCTGTAAAGGGACAGGGTTGCATTTTGTGGATGTCAGGGTTGGGAAGTTTGATGTGCCTGAGAAGTTCAGGGATGTCTTTGAGAGAGCGGGCGAAGCACTGGGAAGTTGAGGCGGAGGCAATTTCGATCTCCTGTTCAGGGAAGATCGATGGAATATGTATAACGGCATGTATGGAGCGTATTCCATAGCATGTTTGTCGCAATTCGTCGACGTTTGCACATAGCTTGGTGGAATATCAGTGGCGTCAGCGCCTTGAGATGACGATCCTTCTACGGAACATCGAGGATCACGGGACCACCACTCGCTTAACTACTGATCGTGCTGTGTCTGGTGGAGAGCCGAAGCATCGTGTCGAGGAGAGATCGAAACCCCCTGAGATCCGAATCTCCTTCGCTGCAGTATTGGAGGCGGGGCGCTTACCGACTCCACTGTCACACGATGCTGACCAATCAGAGTCTGCCATACCTTGCTATCTCAGATCCATCTCACATTCTCTTCACTTCATTCTCACTTCACACTCACCTCGGATGGTTACCTTGATTGTCGCACCTCTCTGAGCCATGCACTGTCCACAAGATTGCTACTATATGTCTTCATGCTCGCTGAAGTGACATGCATTTTCCTGCCGGTCATCAGTCCGGGCTGGGAGCTGACGGGAATTTCGACACCGCGCCCCTTTCAGATCTCCTTGAAACAGCCATCAAACCGTTGGCTCCCTAAACGCCGTGAACAGTCATGACCGCCTCTATTCCTGGCCTGGTGAGCCCCAAACGTTCGGCTCTGTGACAAGCCGACGTTCACAGCGTAGCCGGGCATTCGTTGGCGCGACCGCGAACGGTTCACCTCAGACATGGAGTTTGACAAGTCCGCTCTGATCAGACCAAGGACTGTCCTGATCACTCGTTGATATACAGAACTGTCGTGTTTCCTCTTTTGCTCCGTTCCTTTCTCTTCTCTTCGTGTCGTCAGCCTGGTTGCTCCTCTGTCTATTGCATTCGCACTTCCCTACCGTCGTTTTTCACGAGTTCATCGCGTCGATTCCACTCCACCTATCCTTGCATGGCAGGCCATCGCTCAACTATTTGAAGCATACCATCACGCACAAAACAAAGCATATCGTTCCATTCATACCATACGGACCATACGAGCGAGCTTTCCGCCTCCGTACCAACATGTCAAGAGCACGTTCGTCGCGCCTCCCCTCGACGGCCCTCCTCATCCTCTTCTCGCTCCTCACAATCTCAACGGCCTTCTCCCTCCCACAAACGGAAAGCCACTCGCTTGCCACGCGCCAGACCAACACCTCCAACCCCCTCTGCCTGCAATACAGCACGATAGCAAACCTCTCGATCGTCGGCTCCAATGCGACCTATCGCTCGGCCTACCTCCAAGCGTCGCCCGAGGGGGGTGACCCCGCCCGCGCTCCGCTCGACTCGGCGATGACCGAACTGCCGGACTGGCAATTCAACAAGACGATCAATGACGAGTGCGGGAACTTGACGACCGTGGCGTTCGAGAGCGCGGAAACGAATTTCACGAACGGCATCGTGCTGCAGTTCAAGATTGGGGCCGTCAATTCTGCGGTACAATTGGGGGGAAGCGTGCTGGGGAAGGGGTTGATCATGGGCATTGTATCGTTAGGGTTGTTGGTCTGATCTGATCTGATTCGAATTGATATCGTTGTGATTTTCATTGTGATGCGACTGGCCGCAGAGGTTTAGGTGCTGATATAGATACGTATGTTTGTACGCAGGGAGTGCTACAGTACAGGACGAGCGATGCGAACGACGTGGCTTGATGCTCCAAGTACAATGTCTCTGGCCTACCTACAATATCTCGTGCATAAGAACAATTCAAGCTAAAATCTCGACAGGAACGGCAGATCAAGATCCGTTGTGATCTACCTTTAGAAGCCTAGGTGAACGCCCGCCTGCCTGCTTCGTTTCAAAAGTGCTCGATGCCGTCTGATCAAGGAGGATCTGTTGCCCAATGGTGTCCGCCCTGCCGTGAACGTGCGGAGGGCGTCATGTTTGACGCTGTGGGCGTTCGACAATTACATCGGCAAGTACTCCGTACCTGAGGCAAGCACAGTAACTAAGTATGTACTCGTATTTATTGGAGACCCCGACGTTGGATGTCCTGCATCTCGAAACATAGATTCATACATATTCGAACCCATCTTCTACCAGATTCCCTGGCATTTCCGGAATGGTTGCCGTGGTCACTGATCCCTCGCATATAATCTCAGGAGCTTGAACCTGAGCCTGAGCCTGAGCCTGAGCCTGAGCCTACAAATGGAGCCATGGGCTCCCCGGTTCCCATACACAGTATCGCGTCTTCACTACAATATATGATAACCTACTCCACCTACGTCCCCTCCAGTGCCAGTACGGAGACCTCCAAGATATACAGAAATCCAGGCCAGGTGTCGGACTGGACTGGACTGGAGAACGGCGTGCGTCTACACTACTCGGTACACCCTACTTGTACTGAATACTCCGTACTCTGCCAGAATAATAAATCCCCATTTAGTAGAAACGAGTGGTAGCCCTGGACAAGGCGAGGTGAGGCGAGTGGACTTTTTCTTTCTCCAAGAATCAGAGTCAGAGTCAGAATCCTTCCAGATTCAAATTCAAATGGCTGGACTCTACACTGTACGTACGTTCGTACGGGGTACAGTATTAGATCCTGTCCTCCGTACTCCGTAGGTATACATTGAGTGATCTGCTCGTGTGTGGTCAAAGTCCTCCGAAGCCTGCGGAGGAAATAACCATTGTACTCCGTACTCATGACTCGTGTGACGCTGGCTGGCCGGCCAACCGTCTTTTCCATCCTCCGTGTCGATTGTGGACATGGACATGATACCCTCTGTCTACGTTCCTCTAGAAACTCGTGTCGAAGCTTGCTCTCCTCTCGATTGGTTCTCCAAACGACGTGGAGTGTCTGCTCAGCGTTCTGGTGCGGCTGTGATTTGTGCCGCCTGTGATTGTGCGCGTGATAGTCCGCGATGGTGTCACCAGCAGAGCTTGTTCTTCGTCGTCCTCCGCATCACTGTCTTCCACGATGGAAGTCGTCCCATTGCTGGGCTCATCGCCCGGCAGGTAGACGCCGTCTTCCGGGTCGTCCATGTCTTCTTGCCTCTGTAGCCTTGGTAAATGGGCAGGCAAGATCAGCAGCGCGGAGATCGTGGCGAACACTATGGCCACAATAAAGGTCGCTCTCAGGCTCGAGGCGTAGGCGGTGATGACTTGTTTCTTGTGGACTGGGTCAAGACGTCGGATGGATTGGATCGATTCTCGGACGGTCCGGATGATGTGTTCTTTCCTGGTGGGATCCGCGGCCGTGACGTACTTGTTCAGGTAGATCGGGAGCGCGTTCTGAAGGACCCAGCTGCTCAGGGCTACTCCTAGGATTGAACCGAGACTGCGGACGAGGCCCAGTGTTGTGGTCGCCACGGCTTGGTCTTCTTGACTGTTCAGAGCGAGGACTGCAATCGTCGCGGCCGGGAAAAAGGCTCCTTGACCGATTGAGACGAACGGGATCAGCCAGGGGACGAGTCTGGCCGGCGTGTCAGCCGACAAACAGGTCACAGCCACGGCGCCACCTAATGCTGATATTGAGCCCACAATCATGGGCGGCTTCAACCGTCTCGTGAGTGTAATGTAGAACCCCACCGCGATGGCAGTGATGCTGGCCCCGACCAAAGGAGGGAAGAGATAGAAGCCAGAGGTCGTCGGCGATGTTTGCCGGACGGCTTGCAGATAGAGTGGGACGTTGAACAATACAGCGTTGACAGTCATGGAAGCGACGAAATTGCTGCCAATGACATTCGCAACCGGCGTGGTCGTGAAGAGTCTGAGCGGTAGGATAGGCCGTTCAGCCTTGCGCTCCACCAACACCAGCCCAATGCCTGCAATGACAGCCACCACCAGACTGCTGATAACGAATGGATGCGTCCACGAAAAGACGTTGCCGCCCAAGTTGACTCCAAGAATGAGGCCCGACACAGTCAGAATCATACCAACCGTACCATAGGCGTCGAAGCTCTTGAACCCTTCACGGATGGTCTTGCCCTGAGTCTTCGCAAGATTGGGTCCTAGGTTGTCAGGGCACGAGAGGACTGCCAGGACCCCGTACACAGCAATAAAAGGTAACTGCACATAGAACGCCGCCCGCCAGCCAAGCTTGTCGCACAGGAAGCCGCCTAAAGCGGCACCGAGTCCGTTTCCCACGCCATATGCCTGCAAGAAGTACGTATTAGTGAAAGATGCCGACATGGATGCGAGCAGAAAATCGCGGAAAAGCGTTATAAATGTGTGATATGGGCCCTCACGCGCCTACTCACCAGATTATAATAGCTTTGATAGATGCCTCTGTATTCGATTTTGACCATATCACTTGTCAAAATCGAGGCAAGCGACACCACACCACCAGCGCCTATTCCGCTGACGGCTCTTGCTGCGATGAACCCGCCAATGTCACCAGCAGCACCACACCAAGCCGTACTAGTGAAGAACATGACAATGACAAAAAGCAGCACGGGTCGCCGCCCGATATTGTCCGAAACGCGGCCGAAAACTGGCTGAAACACAGTTGAAGTCAAGTAGAAGACAGTGCTAAGCCAAGAGGCTGCATTTGACGCGTTGAAATAGGAGGTAATGACAGGGTGGGACGAAGCCATCAGCGTGGTGTCGAAGAATGCAATGGTGCAGCCGAATATGATGCTCCAGAACAGAAAATGGAATCGAGGCCCTGAAATGACATCCCGGTAGGGTACATCGCGAGGTTTTCCAATATCGCTCTTGGGGAGCAGAGTCGTGGTTTCCGTTGCGTGAGGCGAAGCGGGCTCGATCACATCGGCTCCGACGTATGAACCGGACGCCGTCATCGGGTCAACCAGGGACTTGTTGTGGACACCTTTAGTCTCGCGGGGATGGTGAGGCAGTTGGGCGTGAATGTATCTCCTGCGTTGAGGATATATTTTGCCCAGGGCTTTTGGTGTATATACTGACGTCCAATGGTGAGTCAGACGTCATATGGGGACTTCAGTACGAAGTTGCTGTGCCACAGGTGATCCTCAATGATGAGAGGCGAGCCCGGGTCCAGGGTCTCGTGAGGTCGGCAATAGGGAACAAGGCTGAATATAATAAAATGCTGACCATGCCCCATGTGGTGCTCAGGCGGATTACTGGAATAATAGCTCAAGGTCTGGTACCCTCGCACAAGATAGTCAGACGGGTAATCCGGCGGCCAGGAAACGCGTTTCTCATCTCAGAAGTACCTTCTGTGATGACGTTGCTGCGTAAACGTCGTACATGGCTGACTACCAGGATATGCAGGCCTGACGGCTGTTCCGAGGCTTGGAGTGGTGGCTGCTCGTATTCAATAATCAAAGGACGCGGTATCGCCCTTGATGTCGATCGCCAAGCGAAGCCCAGACGATCTGACGAGGCTGTTATGAGCTTAGCTAATTAGATGTGGGAGCAATTTGGATGAGAGGAATGCAAGGAGACATGTGAAGAAGACGGAAACGCTGATAAAGCGGATTTGTGCGGCGGGAGACAATTGTCGATCAAATGACACACGGTGTCAAAGCAGTTTCGCTGTTAGTGACATGAATGACACGAATGACGTGCTATCTATCAGTCGTCGACACCGAAATCTCCGCCGTCACCTTGTTGCGGACATTGTATGTGGCTCCCCGTGGGATAACCCTTGCTTCTGGATCGAGTGCCTGGCTGTCAGTGCTGCGCAGCGTGGGCCAGAATGAATCTTAAACTCCAGCGCGGACTGCGCATTGCGGTCCTCGAGTGCGACACGCCGTTGCCAGAGACGAAGAAAAGATTCGAGGGGTATGGTGGTGTATTTGAATTCTTGCTCAGGTCAGGGGCAAAAGCATTAAATCGACCGGACTTGGACCCAGAGAGCGGCCTGGAGTTTTCGTTCTGGCAGGTTGAATTGGATCCTGACAAGTACCCGGATCCCGGGGACATTGATGCCATTCTTATCACCGGCTCAAGTGAGTGGTATTGTCCTTGTTGGCGGATGAGCGATTTCGGCCCATGGACACGGCATGCGACAGGGAGATGTGTCAACACTGTCTTTGTACAGATTGACAAGTGACGGCTGGACGTACTGTGCGCAGAACAACAGCTAACACCGATACCCGAGTATAGAGCACGACTCGTTCGCTGATACACCATGGATCAACAAGCTCGTCGATTACACAGCAAAGATCTTGTCAGAAACGAATGTACGAGTAATAGGCGTTTGCTTCGGGCACCAGATCGTCGGCCGGGCACTGAAGGCAAAGGTCGGACGGAACCCTGATGGCTGGGAGGCGGCAGTAAACGATGTCCAGCTGTCTGAGAGAGGGAAAGAGTTGTTTGGCGTCGACAAGCTGGTAAGTTTCTGTGCAGATTGGGCTGGCCACGAGGTTCCTGACTGTTTCACAGCGAATACACCAGATGCATCGCGATTGCGTCTTCTATTACCCCGAAGGCGTCGAAGAACTAGGCTCCTCTCCGGTCTGCAAGGTCCAAGGCATGTATTCGCCGAGACGACTCATGACCACGCAAGGGCACCCCGAGTTCAACCGGGAAATCATGACCGAGATCATTGACACCCGGCACGCGACTGGTATCTTCGACGACAAGGCTTACAAGGAACATATGGGCAAAGTAGACCAGCCGCATGACGGCCTGATTGTCAGTCAAGCGTTTTTGAAGTTCTTGTTGGAGCCATAGTAGGCTGTCCAGGGCATTTTCCGGGAATCTGATTTGTACGGCGGGAATCGACCACTTCAAGCACGTTTGCATCGCCGATAGACGTAGGGCGCTCTTGGATATAGAAACATGAGCTTCTACAAGGGTTCGGGCCAAGTTCGTGCCGTGGACTTGCCGTTACACAGCCCGTCGATGCGCAGAAGGCCTGCCACACTCATGTTCACGGCGTACTGTCCACATTACAGCCTATGAGACCATCCTGTCAGCATCCGCTGCACCAGCAGGTATCCTACCCTCAGCCAAGTCCTTTTCGATTCTTTCAATCTCCTGGAAGCTTTTGGCGTTTTGAATCATGTGTTCCACCCTCCTCTTTTCCGACTCGGTCAACTTCGTCCGGACGCCTTTCTGGGAACGGGCAGCCTCGCCGTTGGCACCGACCGACGAAACGTCGAATGTCCGACTCTTCACCCCCTTGATCTTCGCCGCCAACTCTGTGGGTGCTTCCGCTGTGCCAAACAGTTCCTGCGTCTGTTTTCTCTCCACGTCCTTCACTTTCTGAAAATCGAGGAAACGAAGTGATGGTATTGACCATATCAGGTAGAGTCTGTAATGCTAAAGGCCAAACGTTAGCCTCTTGTCCATCACAAGTCTAGGCTACACTCACCTCCTTCTTCGTTACCGGATTTTCCAGAAGACTCAAATGAGTCAACGCTCCGCAGCCGCTCAACCCCTCCAGATCAGCCAACTCCCTGACATGGTTGTTCGTCAAGACCAGGGTGGTGAGATTCGGCAACTGTTCCGCTATTCTCTTATCCACATTCTGTATTCGATTCCGCGCGCACAGCAACGTGTTTAATCGTGGGGACAGGGGGAAGTTGGTGAGGGTGGTAACGTCGTTGTCAGTAAAATCGATGGCATCCTGCGAGCCTGCGACACCCAGGTTTTCGATGGTAGGAATTTTATGGCCTGTAAGATCCGCAAAAAGACAGGATGTGTGGTCAACTATGCCCTTGAATCAAAGTGTAGCATCTGCTCTTCTCAGACATACCTCGGAGGTCAAGTTCCCGTTCCTTCAGTGGGTTTAGGTAGGAGAGGGAGTTGTGGATGAGCTCAGCCGTGAGCCTCATGGCTGGAAATACCGGCGATCGTGATACTGTGTTGTTTTCTACCTCAGCACCATGCAAGATACATGTCCGGGTGGTCGTGTGCAGAGAAGTTGCGTTGACATGGATTCACAATAATTTTGCGACTGAGATGTAATTGGCTGACGACGCGCAGCCTCGTCGTCCAGAGTTGTGCCTGCCAAGGCTGCGGCTTTCAACTATCCTTGAATCTTCTCCGTCTTTGCCCTTCCTCTAGTAAGTTTTCCCTGATGTCTACTCACGAGAGCTCAGCTAGATATGCTGGTGATTGCTTCTGAGCCATAAGCCATTATCGAACCTTTGGCTTTTCGAACCATGGTAGCCCTATTGCCTTGAAACTGCTCTTAGCCTATTATGCGTAGTTTTCCCGAATCTCACGGGTAATGACCGCATTTTCATCCTGGTATTTCCCTCGTCTCCGAAGAGGCCTTGAAGTCCTGTGAACACCTTAACGTCGATGTCTTGATACGAGATATCCGTGTTCAAGGTAAAGCCACCATCGAATGTGACACTTCAAGTGCATTTGAGGCTGACATACTAATCCTCCCACTTGCGTCTTGGCACAGAGGAAAACTCAGCCATGACCGTCTTTGATAATGGGGACTGATTCCAGGAAACGGTTTCCCCTACTTTCGAAAATTCAAATCTGCGAAGAGCATGCTTGGATAAAATGATTGAACCCTGAGGAGAGTGGGTATCCATGAGGTGTATTTCACCACGGAGACTTAAAGCACGGCACCGATCTGTTCGCGGAGCATTAACCCCGTTCGAGTCATTGACGACCACTCCTACCGTCGTACAGTATGCTCCCAGGGCGAAGCATGACAGTTCGACCAGCTAGCTTGGGTCAATTGTCTATCACAACATGAGAATTCGTCATCGCTCAGAAGATCAACCACGTGGTGCGCCTTCCGCGAGCGATCGCTGGGTCTGAGTGTCTCCAGTCGGGCCTTCTCCAGCGAACTCGCCCGCAGCGGTATTTGCACCGACAGCGCCTCCGCCTTCGTCAGAAGATCCTAACCCCTTCAGCGGATCAGACGTTCTTGATGTTTCGCTGGAAGATGTCGCTTTGTCATGGTTGGATGTCTGGTATCGAAGAGCGTCAGATAGTGGCTACTGAAAACAAATAAAATTTCGACCTAGCCTAGGTAGAAAACATGACGGTCACGAATTGCATCTGGCTTATTAAATGGGCCTTCTGGGTGCCTTTGGTCACATGTGCAGCTGATATAAAGGGTCTCGCGGGATAAATAAATCGCTTTGGCTGTGCATTACTTGCCTTTTGGCCGCCACCGCCGTCTGCACCCCCTAGATATCGTTCTCCCACATTGCTACTATGCTCCCCTGACGAGCTCTGACCTGGCGGGTTGTCTCTTTTGCCCTCTTGGCTCGTGAGTGATGACATTGTTGTTCAGCAACTAAGATCTGTTCGATATGTTATGGAAATATTTCGCCGGCGTGTAATGATACTAAGGGGTGAGGGGGATAACAGATATCATGTAACAGCTTGCGATAGATGTCAATCGTCCAGTCAAGAACCGCACATGATAGACTACGTCAGAGTTCGCTCCCCAAGCGACATACGTCAACTGTGGGTAGGGGTCGGCAAGTCTGGGCAGATCGTACGAGGTAGGCTGCCTGAATGCTCTCCGGATCCATATATGCACGGAACGTGCATTACTCGTGGCTACGGAGTTCGTTGAAGCGGCGAATTGCGGATGTCATCTCCAGCCTAGTTATTCGACAAAGGAGACAGCCATTCTTCGATCGAGGAAATAGACGCGGACAAGGCCGAATGTGACGCAGGACCCCCATCCACGAGGCTGCGCGAGGCTGAGGTTCTCGCTGACATAAGCCGTGACGTGCATCTGGTGGGTGGGTGCATCGTAAAACATGGGGCACCTTCTCCAAGTCCTCGGTAAGTTCGAGTGTTGAGAGGTGCAGTCACTCGTCAGTCACTCGTTCGCTGGCACGTCGCGCCCATCCAGCCCTCTACGACTTGCGAATTGTCGGTCCCCCTC